AATAAAAAATCATCTCAACTTTTGCACTGGAAGATATCATTTCAAGTGTGCGTAAAATAATAGGAAATCGTCATCATCACGTTCTGACGGTTCATGATCATCATGATCCTGCATGGGCAGAGCAGGCACAATCTTTTCCACGGTTACACTCACAGTACACCTGGGCCGTCCACGCAGGTCACGTTCTTTCCTATCAACGCGTCGCACCCTTTAGCAGGATCCACTTCCTGTAACACCAGCTTGAGCGCTGTCGGACCATACTCGACGAAGAACTGGTCGCATTCGCTCAGCAGCGTGCCGTTGAAAAGTTTGCCGCACACACCTTTCAGGTGAGCCATGATCTTCGCCTCGGTGCTGTCCAACTCGGTGTAAGCCAGGACCTCTTTTATAATCATCTCACAGAACGCACATACCAATCCGTTAGGGCCCGACACCGAATCTGGCGACGAAGACAATGATGCTTCATTCCGTTGCTGTTCGCTAGCCAAGGGCGAGGGCAATGTCTCGCCCAAACTCGTGAAGAATGCAACGACAACCAACAACAGCAAGAAGTAGGCCGTGGAGCGAAGAGTCGACTCCATTACGCACCGGCAATCCGCGGTTGGTGACAATGGTCACAAAAACAATTCAATTTCAATTCAATTTCGGACTGGTTGATTGATAATAATATTATTCTGGCCTTCTCAGCTTTTTCGTCGTCCGACGTCGGCTACGGAACGATAACAACGATCTCTGATCTTGATCTTCGGGTCCTGCCGTTGCTACACAATACCCTGCAGGTCCATTCTAATAATTATTATTATTTCTAGTTGGTTGATGGTCCAGGTTTAAAAAAATGTGACCTCATGTCGTGAAGTCCCCGAAACAACCACCTACTGGCACTGCAAAGTGTAGTCTGCAGGCTGTCTGGATGGAGGCTCGAGGGTTTCGGATAGTTCTCGCATTTTTTTACTTCAGAGATTGCATGTACAAGGAAAACCATACAGTATGTCATGTACATGTACAATCATTTTACAGAACAGAAGATCACCTGGAAGTGCGAGTGTCCAGTACTAGATCTACTCGTAGACCCAGGTGCTCGAAGTCCGTACACGTTTACAGTGTGTGTTTGCCGAGCTGAAACTCACACTAGCAATGATCACTTGCCAGAATCCTGCTCGTGGATGGAAGGTATCTTGTCCAAGTTTGTTTTGAGGCCAGGCTCGATTGAACCAGGCCATCTTTCGATCCGATCTGTTTCTCTGGAGTTCGCTCATTTTTCATATCAAAATTTGGTGTCGCAGAGGGTACTCTAAGTCCGTACTGATCAGAGGTGACTCGAAATACACACATATTTCTGCTAATTGCTAACTTGCAATCCCTCGGTTACGACGAAAGCACCGAAGGGATATGTTTGGCATGTGCCTCCACCGGTATTTCTTGCAAAAGCGTAGTTTGTTGCCGAAATGCAAGCTGTTTTTAGTCGGCTCAGAGAAGAAGCAGCTGCGCTGTGAAAACCGCGGGAAAACAGTGGTGGAGATGCCAGGAGTGTCAACCTTTCTGCAAGGATTGGTGGTTCTCTGTAAATTCTTCTCCTCTGGCCATTGTCAGCTCTAAGCTGGCTCTTGATGATTGAGTGAAGGTCTGTTTGACGCTAGCTGTGTCCGTTCGAAATCGGTCTTGGCAAAGTTGATTTTTGCATGAAATGTAAACCCAATTTGTATTTCGTATGGACACTCGAAAACCCACTCCCGTGGTATGGGACTTCTGCTGATCGTAGATCCCTGAAAATTGGTACGCGAGGAGAACATACCACACTGTCCCCTCCATAAAATATTTGAGTCGAATACAATAACAGAACATGAAATTATGGGCGTACGAACTTAGGATACCATGTACGGACTTCGAGCACCTGGGTCTACTCGTAGTCGTTTTTGGTGACTCAGTCTTCTTTCTACACAGCTACCATGGCTACAGTCACTACAAAGTCATGTACATGTACAATCATAGATCTACACTGACTACAGTGACTACAGTGCTGGCAAATGAAACCCGACCCCCTGAGCGGTGGGCCGGGTTCATTCTTTGCGATGTGAGCGCATCGCTCAGGGGGTCGGATTTCAGTTGCCAGCACTGTACACTGTACTAGGTCAGTCAGTACACGGCTAAGTATCGTAGCAGTGCAAGTGCTAGTATTGGCTTCTTTCAATCTTTGTGCCGTTTTGACGTTTCCCAAAAAATGAATGTCGACTCCCAACTAGCCGGCAGTTGTATTCTCCATAACTCCGGTGTTTGCGAGCGCTAAGCAACACCATGGCATGATTGCGTACTTCGTGAGGGTCTAGACGCAGCTGAGCTTTGCTAGCGACGAGCAACGCGATAGTCGTGAATGGACAGCTGTGCACAGGGTTTCTTCAAATAATTTTAGTGAGATTTGTGACAGCTAGGTCGTGGAATGAATATTGGTACATGGCCTATGGTTCACCTAGTCTGGATTAATTTCTAGTTACGTGCAAGAAACTTGAATCGACAGGCCACTCACCAGCTCTCATGGGACGGCACGAGTCCATAAAGCTGAGTAAATCTCCACCGCGACGGAGCGAAAGTGGAGATGGCGGGGGTCGCGCTGGTACGTACAAATCTGCGTCATCGGATAGGTCCAGAACGACGGTGTCTGGCCGTCGCTCCAGTCAGCCCGGAACAAGGTCGGTATCGGTGAAAGGCATACGCAATTTCCGTACTCTGCCAGAGTCGGTGTCGTCAAGTGCACGCAGTAGCAATGGCAGTGTAGGTGCTGCTGGGTCGGGCAGTGGTAGCCATGGAAATGATTCCTACATTGGAAGAATATCACGTGGCGGTCTGTGCATGTTCCTGTTGGCACTGACGGCGACGGCGTTCATCACGACCTTCCCGTTCTACATGGTGTTCACTGTGTACGGCCCTATCCAGCTGGCCGTGTACAGCGGCGATGCAGAGAGCACGGTCTGCTCAAACACGTGGTGCAGCACGCTGAGTTGCCATGACACTACCACGGCAACGGACGGCGACAACAGCACGGCGGTGGTGCGGGTTGCCAACGCCGATGATGTGCTGAGGCCGCATCAGCGCGAGGTGACGTGGCCTGCTGTTGAGTTGCAGCGAGGCGGCCTGCATGAGCTCATCTTGCCAGTGAGTGACTCGTCTGATGTAGCATTGAGTGCATACATGACTGGTGGCTGCGCAGTTGTCACTGTATTCTTATTCAGTAGTCAGGCTGACCTGCAGGACTGGAAAGCCACCGGAAAAAGTCGCTGGCTCGACCGTCATAACCTGGAGTGCGAAGGCGATACTGACTGGGGAGTAGAGATTGCCAGTGGGGGTAGCCTGGTCGTGGCACTCAACGTGGAAAGTGTCAGCGCGGACGTGTACTTGTCTCTCTCCGGTACCGTGGTGTCCCAGACCGTACACAACAGTACCGAGTACGACGTAGTGTGCGCAACACTGGACACGCCGTGCAGTGTGCCGCTGCACTACCGTGACAAGTCGCAGCTGGTCGTGATAGCACGGGCCCAGAGTCAGCCTGCAGGTGGCATCCTGGCCACCATCAAATGCACATGCACAGCCCGCGCTGGCCTCTATGTTGCCGTCTTCGGTGGCTCCAACGTGTTCGTCATCTTGCTGCTTGTGGCTATCTACAGCTACCGGCAGCGGCATCGCTGGAAGATCTTCCGCACACTGCGGCAGCGGTCTGACAATGCCGCTGATGGGGAAGACCAGGAAACGCCAACACCGCCGGCAACGCAAATCAACGCCACAAACCATACCGAGTCAACATTGCTCTTGGCACAGGCTTAGCCCCCACGTGAATTGTTCATGATCATAGCACGATCTTGAATTGAACTCACGGGATGAGCCCAACAGTCATTATAGAAAGGAGCAATCCGGGGTTGGAGTTTACGTGTCATGTGACTGCATAATTATGTAACAGTCCATGCAATCAGTTTAGTGACAACACCAATTGCTGTGCAATCTGTTTGTCTATTTTCTGCTTGAATTGGTGGACCATTACTCATAACGAATTGTTACTGTTAACATTCTCTTATCCTTCTACTTCTATATTCTGAATAGTAGTGTTGATGATGGACGCGCTGGCACGTCACACTGAAAACTCTTATTTAAGTTAAAAAGTACCGGTACATGTAAACAGTTGTTCAGTTGCTATGTAAGATATGAGCGGATGTATATTATTAGTATTTTTAGTATGAGCGGCAAGGCCGCGAAGTTCCTGCAGCCTCATAATACCCCGGAAGTGGCATGGAGCGAACCTGCTCTTTTCCTGTCACTGTTTCAAACCTGATGACTCGAGGGCATGTCGATATGTAAAGAGTTGACCATAGTTACATTGTATGATGAAACCACGTTTGATAGTTGCAGAAGGATTGAACAGATATGCTCTACCCCACTTCCTAGTATCATTATGTTACTTCGCTTGATGTTGACAGTCATTCCTGCCAAGATGACAACTAAAATTATTCATCTTGATACTTCCATTCATTTTACCGAGACGGTGTACGCATATCAACTTCTTCCATAGATTTGGCCGTCACGTGTAACGCATCTTCCTCGCCGGAAAATGTACTTTCAAAGAGCGATGATGGGAGTGATCGTGAGAGTGCCGGTGAGAATGTTAGTGTTGTGCGTAGGTTTAGTGGTAGCAAGTCTTCAGGGTACAATCGTCTGCTAGGTAGTCCTGATTGTTGCAATTCGTCTTCCGACTCTTCTTTCACTGTATTGTGCCATGGTCGGCATGGTTATGGACTACAGTTAAACGTTTTGAAAGCCATCTATCAGCGTCTGTACAAGCCTAATTTGTGTCAACACTAAATTATTCAAGATTTTGGTTTGGCGATTGCGACTTGGCATTTACGGTTGCTGTGTGGGTCCAATGGCGATAGAAGCATATTGACCATGTTTCGGAATAGGCTCGCCCCTTAAAACTACCAATCCAACCGTGACACATTTCCCAGTACATTCCACAAATCTACGGTTCAATCATGTTTTGTTGCCACAAAGATCATTTACAGCCAGTGCAGCGCCCGGACCTTCCTTGAAAAGTTCCAAAACCACCTAGCTGATGATGCAGCATCAAAATTGATAATGACGTCATGGCGTTACATGCCGGTACTTGAAATCAGAGAATCCGGCAGAAGGATGCAACGCCGTCTACTGTGTAGTTATCAGCAGAGGCTTTTCAGTCACAGCGGGAGGCAAAAAACAGCTGCTTAGCGTAGGGCTAGACATACTCGTTGTCATGTCAAATACCTCTGTTAGTGCACCAGGGAGCATTCTGCAGATCGGCACAGCAACACAATGCACGTGTGTTGGCTAAAATGCAGCAATCAAAATCGGTTCCAGATACAGCACACCATAAATGAGCAGCAGCTGGAGGTGGTGGCTGGGCGGGTTCTGGCCTAAGGCCGCGGTCACACCAAGCGCAATTCAGCCATTCAGCAGAAAAAAGCGCTTTTTGACGTCATCGTCGCTACGGAAACGGCTGAATTTTCGGCTTCAGCCTTTTTCAGCAGTCAGCCGTTTTCAAAGCGCTGAATGGGAGCGCTGAATGGATTCAGCCACTTTCAGCCATTCTGGCGCAGTACAGTGGCGGGAAAAATAAACTCGTTCAAAGCGCATCTTGGCATGATCTTGCAGCTTGCATCGTGTTCTGCCACCTTCCGGCTTTCGTTGTTGGTGAAGCTTCTCTCCTTGCCTTTTTGTCGGTCATCATGGAATCCTGGACAGTAGCACTGGAGCGGCGACTACTGGAGCTTTGGTTTGAAACAAAAACCAAGTATGAGACCACTATGAAAAAAAATACCAGAAAGAGAGCGTGGATCTTGGACGAACTGAAGAAGTGTGCTGGAGAAGGCGGACGGGAAAACAAGAGAAAATCATATTCAAAAATGAGCGGGAAGAAAAAAACTCTAGCACACAAAAAAGTCCAGCCGATTTCGCGAAGTGGTGTGACCAACCACCCCATTCATCACAAGCCACTTTCAGCGCAAGCGGGAAACGGCTTGTTAGGTGTGACCGTGGCCTAACACACTGACAAGCTGCAACAGGATGCATACATGCACTTAAATTAAATTCGTTCAGTATGTGAATCCACCTAAGTCGGACAAAATCATAATTCTTGAGCTAATGTCAGGACTAAAACAGTGTCAATGAGGTCTATAAACTCATAGGCTATCAAGAGGGCCAAGAGGATCTAGCCGAGGGATGGTGCCAGGTTGTACACAAAGCGTGGCTGCCGTATGTCCTGGCTGAGATCCTGGCACAGAGTTTCCGTTAGCGGCACACAGTTCAGGTAGCGGCACCACTTGCAGTTCCAGTCCTGCACCACCCAGAAGAAGACGCAGAGCAGGACGAACAGGACAATGACAATCGGCGTTGCCACGGCAATCATGATGATCTTCCTCTTGCGCAAGTCCGGCTCGACGTGGGCCTCGCCGGAGAGAGCCGCATGTGGATTGCGGTTGACTTGCAGGAACGGAACAAAGATGGCGGCCAGCAGCAAGCCAAATATGAAGCCGCTGATGTTGGCAAAGTTGTCCACGTAGGGCAGTAGGCCGACCACGAATAGGAAAAGCACGACAGCAGACACTTTGAAGAGCTCCTCTCCTGGCGTCTCCAGCGTACTCCACTGCTGTATGATCTCGATGTACAGAGTGGCCAGCAAACCAAAGAGAGCTCCACCTGGTCCAACCTGTAACACAAATTGTATGAGAACACCGGCGAAAACAAGTGCTTGTAGGTAGTTCCACCCAGCAAAGGGTCAACCCGCCTACCCATGCATACACAGCACTTGGGTCATGCATCAGTGCCAGTATCACGAGTGACTAATTAAAAATGAATAAGAAGCAGAGGCAACGAGATGACACCCCCCCCCCCCCCCCCGTCATGCTTACTTCTGCAGGCCATACATAGACTACGACCGTGGAAACCTGATAGTGCAATGAAAAACACCCACGGGTGTATGGCACGGACTTCTAGAGTACACTCAAACTTGGATTTAGCAAAATTTGAAAGAATTCCCACATAGCATCATGCATAACACATTTCACATGTTCATTTTGACTCTTTTTAAGACTATCCGTCCGACCAAGGGGAACCAAGGGGAAAAATTCTTAGTTCCGGTGACACACCGCGTACCATTTTTATGATAACTTCGGTTTCCCTTGGGGGAAATTGGTACTCTTGGGCTTTTTGGAAAGCTTGACCGGGCATGAGGAGTTCTCTAGCGACCTTTCTTAGCATTTATTCGTAAGAGGAACAGAAATCCTTCCCCAGCCCCAATTTTTGAAGAGAAGTCCGGCTTATCAATATGTGGACTGTTTGTGGTCTCAAACTTGTACTTTTATGCTATCAAATTTTGAATCTACTATCAGTGAAGCCTCCCGGCATAGTTTTTGGATGGCACCATTATCATTTTAAACGGTTTCATGATGCGGAACCTTTTTTCATACATGGTGTGAAAATTTCCCAACTTTGGAGGCGTGTAACTTTTCTTTGGAGCCCGATGCGGTGCTCCGGGTTAGCCCTTGGCGGATAATGCTCGAAAAGGTGGCAGATTCTGCTCGAAAAGCAGTGAAATCGGCAGAACCATACAAACCTTATGGTGGGCAATTCCTCGAATTCGGCTCCATTTCTTTATCCACATACCAAACATGCATGAAACCTACCAGAAAAAATACCGAATTCTGCCAATTTTTCTGCCGGCATTATCCGCCAAGGCCTACTCCGGGTTTTGCAAAGGAAAGATGGGTCTTTCCTGCTTCTTTTGAGATCAAAATGGTGCAAATCGGATAAGAAATTAGAGAGTTACCGCTTGCTAAAGTCTTCGACGGATAGTCGTCAATTTTTGACTGTGCGGACGGATAATGGCTTTACAGTCAAGCATGGTAATGACATGCTTTACACAATACAGGTACCGGTATCCTCACTTCCCACTGACCGGCATGGTTATTAGTTCACCACCACAGAGAACGAACAGCATCCTCTGAGTTTGTTTCTAGTGAATCAGATAATCAATACAGGCGCATAGCACCGCTGTTGGAGCCGGCCGAAGGGGGGTGCGGGGGGGGGGGGGGGCTCCTCCGGGAAAAATTGAAATAGGGTGCAAAATCCTGCATTCTGGGCACTTTCGGCATTTTGTTATAAAAAAAAGTGGTCCGGCTTTGGCCGGACCGGCCGAGCCAGTTGCTACGCCCCTGTAGAATGAGAGATGAGCAGAACTGTGAGGCGCAGAGAAACTTGACCCCATCAGGATATTCCCAAAATTCGAAGACCTTGGTAAAACTTCACACACACAATACTCAACAAATGTGAACTTCAATAAGAAATATATATTTCTTATTGAAGTTCACAGACTACACACAAAACAACCGGTAACAAGGACTTGCAGGCGTCCCAGAATAGAGCACTACTCTTGCACCTCCAGTACGTGCCTTCACACACATCAGAATGTTCCACAAAACATGGTGAGAACCGTGATTCGTTCATCGCAAATGTGGTTCCTGAGAAAAAGCGAGAGACCTGTGGAGTGACCTGAAGCAATGTACGAGTGGTTGGCTTGGTCCCACTCGTTTTGCGGTCACATTTCTGCGCAACTCACTCGCCCATGCACTGTTCTCTGGCAAGGGGCGGTGGCTCAAGAAGAGTTCATGCTTCACCAGCTTCCAATGTCCCATTACACAGTACACTCCTAGTACCGTTGCACTACGTGCGGGAGCTACACTGAGATCATGACCTGTACGTAGTGCTCACTTTCATTTGGCTCTCAGCCGTACCTATGGTGGATTGATCTCTCCCTTGATGTGGTGTCATCCTAAGAAACGAAAATTGGAATTGATGGCAGAAGCTAGGAACTTGATACAAGTACACGTATAGAAAAGGTATGTGCAGGAGAACTCTGGCAACAAGTCCCAATCCGAAACTCTAAGGATTGATAAATTTCAACTCAGAAGATTACTTCCACAAGTACTTGTAGTGATTTCTAAAAATAAAAACCCAGGCTTTGATTCCTTGTAACTACAGCATTGTATACTGGGATCGTCCAGCACGGCACCACCATTGTTCGGTGGCGTTGATCTTTGGGCAGATATTACTATGTAAACTGCTGGTGTCGGTAGAGCAGCTGGTACATAGACTGACTAAATGGCAGGCAGTAGAAAGATATTCCGACCGGGTGGTAGGCATTTGCCGGGTTGTGCAATGCAGAGTCCACTCTGACCCGAACACGACTCTACATCAAAGCTGCACTTCCACACCGTGTGTGCACAGCTGAGTTGAGATATACGGACTGTGACAAACCATCAACCTCAAAACCACGCACGTGCACACACACACACACACACACACACACACACACACACACACATGCGCGCACGCACACACACACACACACGCACACACACGCACACACACACACACACACACGCACACACACACACACGCACACGCACACACACATACACACACACACACACACATGCGCGCACGCGCACACCATCACACAGTATGGCACCATAGGCAAATGCGTCAGCTTTCAGAGACAGAGACGTGGAACGCACAGCTAGGCTGAGAGAACTTGACATACCGCCGATCTCACCGTCGACCATGCAGTAACACTTGCAGTGATACCATAGCCATCACCAGAGTACCCACACAAACCCAAGAAAGTTCAAGTACATGTTGGCCATGGTTAGTTCTGACACACATGGCAGGATCTGGTCGAAAGGTCCACCGCCAGATCATCACAAAGCGTTTTCGTCAGCGGGATACAGTTGAAGTAGCTGCAGTTCTTGCAAGCCGGCTGGACGTCATAGAACAGCAGGAAGAATAGCAAGAAGAACGCTACAATGGCAAGGAAAGCAACAACCAGAGAACCAATGTGGTACAGGCGGAACCAGCGTTTCTCCACGCGGCTAAACGCATGGCCTTCGTCATTGACGCCAGCAAGAGACTGCCCAATGTAAGGGACGAAAAGCACCGATGTAAACAATCCCATGACGAAGCCACCGACGTGAGCATAGTTGTCAATGAATGGCAGAAAGCCCATGAAGATTGCCAAGGTGACAATGGCCAAGATCTTGGTGACCTCTCTCCACGGTCTCTCCAGCAGGTGGCGCTCCTTGACAGCATCCACAACCAGGCACGCCATCAGTCCAAACAAAGCTGGACCGGGACCAACCTACACAGGCAGGCAGGCATGCACGCACGCACGCACACACACACACACACACGCCATAATCAGGTAGGTAGGCACACATGTGCACACACCACAATCAGACATCTATAGCTGAAGATCACATGATGGAGCACCTGTACCTACCGTACTAATAAAGAATCCGATAAAGCATTTCTATGTAAAGATTTGCACCGGTATGTACAACAGCGCTAAAATTTCCACCGTTCAATCTCTGTTCAATCGAGTACACTGGTCGAGAGACTAACTACATCCACTCATGCATAGTTCATATGTAGACATCTTTAGCATGGATAACAAAATATCTTCATGCACATCAAAGAGGTAAAGGTAGACATTGTGGCATCTCTAGGCAAGATACGCTACGGCATTTACACATGGGATTCATAGCAATGTACATGACTGTACTTGCTAAGCATGAGTACATGTAATTGCCATTTGGTTACCATGGCTAGTATCAATGTACATGTCACAATACTATTGAGCGTGGTTATTACATATTAGCAAGGCTGTACAAGATGTGCAGAGGCAGGAGTTAGAAACGCTCGTGCCTCTTTCTGCATGGGTGTCTATCACAGAGAATTCCTAGATTACATCATCGTTTGATCACATCATCATTTGATTACATCATCGTTGATGCAGATAAGCGGTGGTAAGTGGCATAGTGCGTACGACTGAGCTGCAGTTGTGCAGCGGGAGACCTGCTTGAATCCTGCCTGTATGTACTACGTCACAACATCATTTAATGATGTAGTCAAGGAATTTTGATTTGACAGCAACCCACTGAAGCGGCACACTCTTGGTTTCATGCACTATCGTTATTAGCTAGGGGTTGCTCACTATGGTTAATAGGTTTAGGTCATGAGAACTTGACGGGATTGTAAAACATTCCATTTACAAAACAAGTACATGCCTACTTCAGTGACAACTAGCATAGTCTGCAATGCTACGCTAGCCCTAGCCATACAGAGGTTCTACCAATCATAGTGTTAGACATCAGTCATAGAAAGTGCATGAAAATTGCATTTACCTGTACATGCCGGATAGGTTTCAGTGATACAGTCAGTGATACAGGCATATGCACTCTGATTAACACATGCACAGATTTGAAGAGGTTACAACAGGATCCTGAGAACATGCCGAATGGTCATGCAGGAATCGGACACTCAACTGTGCCTTTACTGCATTTAGGCTTTAGCGCTCACTGGTCACCAGTATATGGCCATTTCACAAAGTGCATAAGGATGTGAAGTTGCCATCATGAGTCAGTACTGGGTTACGACCTGACTTATGAATCACTCAATGCAAGAATGTCAAGCACTTACCCATACCATTGTGCAGACCAGTCACATACACGGAGACCAACATGGATGCAGAGAGATCCTTGCGGGCAACAAACCGATGATGCGTGTCGTTACTCAACAGTTAGCCAAGCAAGAGAAGACAGTATCATGCTCTTCAGTCGAGTGTTGGCATTCAAAGTAGGCCCATGTCATCGAGATAGCAAGACCGGGTACTGACGTACACGTCATAATCATAGTAACATGGCAACGGACATACTGAAGTATTTAAAAGTCATATCATTTTAACGGCATGGTGAAGTGAAATGGCACAGAGAACTAGACTAAGAACTACAGTCCATTTCAAAACTATAGACGCGTACCTAGGCAAAAACCGTTATGCCAGCATCTATACCACATAAAATCTGTGATCACTTTGTGCATAAATTTTTCCAAATTGGGCGTCTGTTATCCAATCCTTTAGAAACTATGTGAGAGTAATTGTGGAGCGATCCTGAGCAATATTCCGAAAACTATTCTCAAAAAGTTCCAGCCAAATTTGAAATATTTCAAAAACCCTACGCGTCTATAGTTTTGAAATGCACTGTACATGTACATGAATGGTAACCTGGCACGAAATACAGCTCAACAAGGTAGTATGGTCATTCTCATCTATGTATAGTACAGCATACAAGGATAATGCATCATCAAATCCATGTGCACCAGAGAAAATAGGCCTCAAACAAAGCATATCTTTATGGAATTATAGCAAACCGATAAATAGCCACCATCATGCAAAGCCATGGTCACATGCAATTGCTCTATGGAATACTATTACCTTTTTCACTAGGCAGTGCATGTATCAATTATGCTATTAGAGACAAACACCAGGAGGTGTCATATACGGCATTGGAAGATAAAAAAATACTTGGTCCGCGTCAGCTATATTGTCGCTTATCTTTCAGCTTTGTTTATATGTCGCCAATGCTTACTTGGCAGCCCATTTCATCCCAATTTTTGTTAGCAAGTTAGTTTGCTAGTACCTGAAAGGTCTAGCTAGAGTTCGAGTGGATTTCGAGAGCGACAGGTGGGTGATTCTGATTGATACAGCGCCGCATCAAAATAGATTATCTTTTTACGCTGTGCAGGCAACAGCAGCGCAAGCCACAAGAAAGTAATCGGCTACTCGGAATCTGCTCCATTTTGCTGAACGGCTGAGATCGCTCACCCCAGGGATCGCTCATCAAGCTGAGATCGCAGCTCCCTTACCTCCACCTCAACGCTCGAAGTATCCAGCGCGTCGTGGAGATTTGCAAGTACTGTACGCATCGTCGTCGTTCAAAATAAAATCTTGCAAAGAACGGCGTCTGATTTGAACCACACAGGCTGTCGTGCTGCCCGCGCGAAGTCCTATAGAGAAGGCGACCGTCACGATCGACTTCTCTTTAGAAAATAGCCAGGCAGCGGAGAAGAAGAGAGATGAGCTTGCAAAAGCAAGAGAGTCGATCCCGAGCAAAAATATTTGTCGCCAGCGCCGAGAGCAGCGACGAGGAGGACCGAAAAAAGTATGAACCCTTCCTTGGACAATAAATTCCTCGCAGCTAGTTGTCATTCTATACCTTACCGTCCATCGTACCAAGTTTTATCACTTCAAGTGCACGCGTTCATGTCCAAAGCCTAAGTTCAAATTGTCGAAAGATAAGCGACAATATTGCTGACGCGGACCAAGTATGCAATCTCTCAGACAGTTCAACCGTTAGCAATACACCTGGTCACTACTTCAAGTAGATTAGTAGGGTAAACAGTGTTGAACTATACACACATATCCAACACACTATACACACATATCCAACACACTATACATACATACGCACACACTTATCCACAGTTATCATGCCCCCCCCCCCCTCACCAGCACCGCCTAGCCTCCACATCACCCCCCCCCCCCCATCCCCTCCCCCAAACCTAGCCTCCAACCCACTCCTCCCCCTCCCCCCCCCCCCACCCCCTCCACCACCATACGCACACTATAATGTAAGAAGTCAGCGGCGACTCACCTCAGCTTGATACGGTACAAAGACGGCGCTGACTAAATTTCCGCCTATGCCGCTTAGTACATAGATCATTCCCACACGAAACCATCCAATCAACTTCTCAATGTGACGCCCAATAGTCATGTGCATTATGAGAGTCAGAACTAGATGCAAAATGCTGTTGAAACAAAGACAGAAAAACACAGAGATGCAACATGCTGTTGAAACAAAGACAGAAGAACACAGAGATGCAAAATGCTGTTGAAGCCAGGATTAAAATCAGAACAAGCAGACGCAGACTGTGATGCTGTCGAAGCAAGGACACGTACTTACAACAGGAGAAGTGCACAGATTGCACGGAATAAATGTTTATAGCAAAGCATCATAAGAAATGGGCTTCTGCACGCATTGTGGCTCAACTGGTACACAAAGATCTGAGAGCCACCTGAAGCTTCTGTCTAAGCCACCTGCGAGTATCTCACTTGGTACAGAGTTTGACCAGAGCCCTTGAAGCTTGTACCAAGACTTTGGCCACTGACAGCCCTTCTACGTAGTAGTACAGAGTTTGACCCCGCTGAGAAAGCTGAGAGCCCTCAGTCAAGTTACTTACCCAACATGAAGGCAGAGAGATGTCCACAGTCGGTAGAACTGATCTGGATGGTCCTGGTTCAAGAACGATGTTAGACCACAGATGTCTTCCAGACAGTTCACCTAACAAAACAGAGCATCCACAGCAGATAGGAAGGCATTGTGGCTTTGCAACTTTAGCCACCGCAAAGCTTCAAGCCCTGGCCCGCCACTATAGATGTTTCGTAAAGAATGCTGGCAAGCCACCAAACACTGAGCTATTTCCATTCAAGTTCGACACATGTACTTGCAAGTATCTACATACAGGTATTGAGGCAAAGATCCAATTAGGATTGCTGTATACTTTCAAGTTTGAGTGCATGTACTGAAAGAGCACTGGCCAAAGGCAGATGAACCTTACCCTATGTGTATGCTGTTACATTCCCACTCACAAGAACACACAGTTGTGGAATGTATTAGGATTATTTACAAAGAGAATAATCCTAATACATTCCACAACTGTGTGTTCTTGTGAGTGGGAATGTAACATTGGCGACGAAGATGGAAGACGACAAGCGTCTTCAGAGTTTTGATACGTCAGGCCCAGCTTCCCAGGTGTCCATCCGTTGGCGGAAGTGGGTGAATGCCCTGAAGCTTATCAAAAGACTATTAGTGCAAACACTAGCATACCTCAGAGCAAAGGCGCTTGTCACCATGGTAGAATCCGTTCACATAGTTGCAGTGCTCCTCTGTAGCAATGGTGCACACACCCTGCTTGCCAACACAGCAGGGCCGGCCGGTGACCTCACAGCTTGTACTGGGCACGTTCACTACCGAATCATCCTCAGCGCACACCTATAGAAGCACACACACACACACACACACACACACACACACACACACACATACACACACACACACACACACACACTTACATACACATCATGACAGAGCTGCTAACTTGCTTGTCAACCGAGCACCATGCAGGCCAGTTGTAGCATTGGCATACACCAGTACAGCTCTTCCTAAGCCAGCAGTACAACTTCCCAGCATTGAAGATATGGTCGCTTTAACTGACAACTATGTACAGATACGGAATTGGTGGACTTCCTTCACTTGTTTCTTCAATAGCCGCCATGATGGAATTCAGTGACTCTGAGTTCAAATCCTTGTTTTGGTTGAGACTAACCCCTTTTTGGTTGAGCTCAACTCATTTTTGTTCGCGCTTAATGCTCGCTTTGGCAGACACGAGCTGGGGATATGATCAACAGGGTAAGCTGAGATGTTGTGACTTTGGCGGTAATTGTAGATGAATGCGACTACTCCTAACATTGGAGCCCGTGCTTCCTGCCAAGGGTCAGGCAGTAGGCAGGAAGTTTGAGCTCCGGCGCCAACTACATTTGAGATTTTGACTGGATGGACAGGGGCGTAGCCAGGATCATGGTTTAGGGGGGTGCCCATAATTTCTTCCATAGTTCTTTTGAGGAATCTTGTATATGCATGCTAGTGCGGTGTACACCTTGAATTTATGTATTATGAATGTCTCCAGCTTCCCATTCCAACAATCTATATAATTACACATTTGCATTGCATTGTCGACTGTTCTCTATGTATCGTCATGATGTGAATAGAGCGAAAACATTCAATAAAAATTTGGGCCTCTTCTGTGTGACAGCTAGTGTACTGTATACTATGCTATTCTTAAAGTGATAGTTTGGGAGTAGATATCCGATACTAATGATGTATTTAGAGCAAGCAAAAATAAATAGTATGCAGGTGACTGGTGACTGGAAATCAAGTCAGGACCCACAGTTTAAGCTGAATCTGGTAGAAGAAGCAACAGGTGCAGCTGGAGACGGCACGGCATGCTGGAGATCAAAGAAGCAACGGGAGCAGCTGCAGACACTTGACTCGGAATACTGGGAGAAGGAATTCGGGCACTCGACTCGGACTCGGAGTCTCCAGGTTCAACAGTTTCAGAGTCAGAACTCTCTACCACGTCTACCTTTTTCCGCTTCGCTTTGCTGAAATACTCGAGCAAGGACATCGTCGTCGATCAAAATATGACTAAGCGTTCAACAATCTCTCTCTCTCTCTCTCTCTCTCTCTCCATCTCTCTCTCTAGAACTGAACAGTACGCTGAGCGTATACGCAAATGCTGAGCTTGTAGCGAACGTCGTATTGAACAGTACGCTGAGCGTATACGCAAATGCTGAGCCTGTAGCGTGACCAACGCTACAGGCCGGATCACGCGCCACGCGGCTGCATGGAGTAATACTTGCACACTGACTGCACACTGACTGGAACGGAAAAGTGCAAGCACGTGTAGTACAATGCATGCAGTACTCGCAGATCTACGTAGCATGCACTGTCCCGGTTGAAAAAAAAAAAAGAAAAAAAAAAGCCTGACCCATGGTCGAAATTTTTGAGGGGGTGCTTTGGCACCCAAAGCACCCCCCCCCCCCCCCTGCCTACGCCCCTGATGGATGTCGGCCTCAGAGGTTTCAAAAGCTGTACTTACAGGCCATCGCGAGATGTCGTCCACCCATTCAAACGGAGCTGTTGATGCTGGCCTGATGCATGACCTGAACAACACATAACCATACATGACAACATAATTTTATAAACATGGAAACATATCATATCCATACATGGAAACATATCATATCCATACATGGAAACATATCATATCCATACATGGAAACATATCATATCCATGCATGGAAACATATCCATGCATGGAAACATATCCATGCATGGAAACATATCCATGCATGGAAACATATCCATTCATAGGAACATATCCATGCATAGGAACATATCCATGCATAGGAACATATCCATGCATAGGAACATATCCATGCATAGGAACATATCCATGCATAGGAACATATCCATGCATAGGAACATATCCATGCATAGGAACATATCCATGCATAGGAACATATCCATGCATAGGAACATATCCATGCATAGGAACATATCCATGCATAGGAACATATCCATGCATAGGAACATATCCATGCATAGGAACATATCCATGCATAGGAACATATCCATGCATGGGAACATATCCATGCATGGAAACATATCCATGCATGGGAACATATCCATGCATGGAAACATATCCATGCATAGGAACATATCATAGGAACATAGCCATGCATAGGAACATATCCATGCATAGGAACATATCCATGCATAGAAACATATCCATGCATAGGAACATATCCATACACAACCTCAAGAGCATGAGCCGCGGTAAGGGGGAGCTACAGCAACAGTAGCAACTGTCAGCAGGCCAAATAATACTCTAGAGGCATCTACAGGGCTATCCTGTAGGCCACAGTGATACATACGATTGCACTGGAAGAGAATGAACGTGAGCATTCCTTGCCAGCTCACAACCCAACAACAGGCACGTATCTTGCCGAGCAGACACGGCAAGTCTCCAATCCGGGTCTTGACAATAAAGGGACTGATGGACTAATTGTAGCACTGCGCAACAATCTGTAGATTCTTGCCCATAGACACGGTATCATGCATGGCGTGCTTACATGGGATCCTGGCCGCACACAGAGCCCGACGTGCGGTAGCAGCGTGTAACGTTGTTAGCGGTGAAGCACGTTGCTGGATTGGCCTGGCTCACTAGGCTGGGCGTCGAGTACGTGGGCACAGCCACGGGTATGTTGTTCGTGAACTGCACTGTAGCATTGCCAGTCCACTTCAGCCAACGAAAGAAGTTCTGCAGCACCGGCGTACAAGAAGTTCGCACAAGAATTTTAAAACACACGCCGGCCTAGGTACAATGAATTTCAACGGGGTGCCATGTATTTCACAGTTTTTTTTCTATCTTTGGTCATCCACATGATAGCATGATCACATGATAGCATGATCACATGATAGTGCTATGATCACATGATAGTGCTATGATCACATGATAGTATGATCACATGATAGCATGATCACATGATAGTGCTATGATTAGACTCAACATACATGTACAGTAAAAGTTGGTGTAAGCCACCTCTCGTTTTAGCAACCACCTGCTCTTAACCACCATTTTTCCATGCACGGACAGTTCTACACCGACACTGTGGGACCTGGTTCTAAAGACCACCTGGCCGTTTAACGACCGCTTTTCCTTGCACCGTGAGGTGGTCGTCTAAACTAGGTTATACTGTATGTGTGTATATGCATGTGTGCATTTCCAAATACAAGAATCACTGAGGCATGCACACAGTCATCATGCCGCTTGGCCACATCTGATGAAGACTCGGATATTTTTCGTCAAGAGAACAAAACCTGCAAAGAATGTACAACTGCCTACACATTGCCTACACATTCTCTGCCCAGTGCTGCTGCAACGGCAGAGTGTGACACAATCGTGAACACGTTCAAAATGGTGCGCAAACAAAACAGTGCCGCTAGTAAGTGGCCATCGGAGACTTGCACTCAAAGCGGGGGTCGCTTACAAGCCTGTAGGTAGCAACGTATCATACAAAATGCAGAGTGCAGGCAGTCTGCATGGATTTCATGTCATGTGAAGAACATGTAACTTTACTGCTACCGTCGTGGACTCCATAGAGTATAGTTGCATACCCTTAAGTTCACTATGTATTCTGGATGCAAGTGGGACATCCCACAGGCCACATGCCTAAAGAAAACAGACCAGACAATATGACCAACCTCCGTGCATTGGGCCTGCGTACTCTGGAAGCAGATCTGCGAGTCGGTACGCACACAGCATGCGGTCAAGTCGCGCTCCACACCACGCTCTCGAACAATCTCGTCAAATATGCGCTTGTCTTGCCGCATACACGGACCGTACTTGGCACCCAAGTGAATGAGGTTTGTCTGCAAAATAAGAAGCACCCCACACATCCCATAGATCACAGTTAGCCAGGATTACAAGCACCCCACACATCCCATAGATCACAGTTAGCCATGATTACAAGCACCCCACACATCCCATAGATCACACATAGCGCAACGAATGATTTGATGCATCGTAATGGAACACACTGTACAGTGTATGCCTTTGCAATGAGTCAGGAGGAATAAGGCTTAGTCCGAACAAAGAGCATGTCATTGTGAAAAAAATGTGACAAGCATTGCTAAACACATCTCAGTGTTTTGACTTAACCCTTTGTCCTTTTGCCCAAAATGTATGTGAGGGGTAACTGCTTCAACAAATCCACTCACCATTCCCAAGCAGCTGATATTTTGTATGTACACTTTATATTTTCCTGAAAGCTTATGATAATTGTGAACTAAAAGTGCAGTTTGGGTTGAATTCCTCAGATAGGCGTGGCTAAACAAGAGTATCAAAAATGATTTTTGGCAAAAATTAGCAAAATTCTAAGTTCAAATTCTTTCCTATGTATAATAATGTGCAATTTGTACAAGTATGACCTGGAGTAGCACCCCTGGCATGTTGGGCAAACACGGAGCATTAGCCAGAGGAGTGCCAGTGGCAACATGCTCGACATTGCGGCCCCGTGCGGCTACTCTCCTCGCTCTGCGCGGCTGTCGACCATGAGTTTGACGGCGCGCAGGTGACGGAGATCTGGACCTCTCTGGGATCGGACTACGCTCCCGCTCCACATGCTGCGGCATTCTAGCTGACCCTGCTGCTCCACGACGGGTAAGACACGGCGGTGGTACACTCTCTTCACCACGCGAGTGCTGTTCTGCCGATCCTGCGCTCAAATCGGAGCGGTCGACATGTCCGACAGTTGGGTCGACGGTTACGACATCATAATCCGCGTCTTCATCAAAATCAGAATCAACACCTTCTAATAAGGCTTCGTCCAGTTCGTTCTCTTCATCAGAGGACATAGGATTGTCGCTTGGGTCACTCCAGCTATCCTCAAACAAGCGCTTCATCTGCATCAAGCGACCTGCGTGCTGCCATGTCGGAAGTTACGGCGCAAGCAAACTTCGACTTTGATTTCCTGAAATTTTTCAAATGGCAACTAGCCCCAGCGACCCGTGTATTATCCTCTACATAGCATAGGCTGTGTGCACGTGAATTTTCATGTGGATCGGGTGATCCGCGTAGCTTCCAGGTCGCTTTGAACATGCGTGGGTTGAACCGTACACAGGTGTACGGTTCAAGTATGGGCGAAAGGACAAAGGGTTAAGGCAGTAGCCAAAGTGCCTGACATTGAACAGGGAAGTACGTGCACAAATACTACAAGCCCCGGCGCAGCAGCAGCAGCAGCACACACTTACAAAAGTTGGTCCAAACCAGAAGTTGCGCTCGATCTCTCGCTCCACAGACACAGAGCCACCGGTAACTGCGGCAACCTGAGTTTCAGAAATAAAAGCATCGCAAAAAAAAGACGGAAAAGCACTAGCTTTAAACATCAATCAGACAGAGAGACAGTGGGAGGACATAGCGAGAAGACAATGCATCATTCCTTGTGCACTACAGCATTATTATTATTACGCACACACTCATGGCCAAGGCCAATCAAGGAGGAGGTGAGGGCGATTATAGCCAGCCATGGCAAAAAGAGAAGAAAGAAAAACAAGTGCAAATCAGAGCATGGTCACTGTTAGACTTCCCTGTTCTGCACACGATGTGATACCCAAACTACAGGAACACGTTCGGTGTGTCTTACTGAAGTACTTACATTCGTTGTCTCCACTTTGTTACCAACACCGACGGGTGCAAATCCAAATTGTGCCAGAGAAATAATCAGCACGAGAATGTGTACAGTGGATGCCCAGTACATGAAGTATGGCCTGATGCACATATGGCATGTCACACGCACACACGCACACGCACACGCACACACACACACACACACACACACACACATGTACAAACGCATACACATGCAGCAATATATACACACATACACACACGTACACACACACACATGACCACACATGAACACATAATTGTAGTACATACAAGTCATCAGGCAATGGACAGCCGAAAAATTCGTTGCTACTCTAAGTTTTGTGCGAAAGCACCCATCAGATATTTTCATAATGAAACACAGTAGAATACACCAAGTAAATAGTCTACACTGGAACCAGTCTACACTTTTCACAAAGTGTTGCTTTGCTGATGGTGTTCTATGGCTATGTGTGGTTGATGCAATATAATGAAGGTGGATAGAAATCAAACATAACCTACATGCATGTTAGGTGCTAGTCTGGCAGCTGTTCTTTCTCTACCAGCAACAAGGTTTACATAGCCTGACTTCCCATGCAGATCTTGACTAAGCAGACAAGCAATACACATCTTAAAAATCAACTCCCCGGCTCTGATGAAGAGTGCAGCTGGTTCAGCACAGAAGGCTTACCGGTAGCTGTACACATCGCTGAGTTTGTCAGCCGTGGCAGAGTCAATTGTTCCTGGCTTGTACCTACGGCCGAGAATGAATGAGATCAGGCCAAAGTTGGTCTTGGAGCGGTCTGATTGCCGGGCTGGTTTCTCCTGCTCAATGGTGCGATGTCCGCGGCGAGCATTACCATCTGTGGCTTGACGCTCCGCCGCACGCTCTGTGAACACATCTTTCCTGTTACAGAAGAAGAACAAAACCCACACGAAGAGTCAGAAGTAACCACGGGTTCCATAGCTGAAAAGCCAGATCAAATTAACGAGATAGCTACGCTGGAATGCTTTCAAAGTAACCCACGGCACTTCCGACGCACCTACAGGCTTTTTATCTCTGTCTAAACGTCGTCCTTTAGCCGATGGGTGACAGCTATGGTTCTGAAGGCTTCTCTATCCTGCGTCACGCAGCACAGTTCTCCACATGGTCAGCAATTGTCCAGTCAATGCCATGATGTTAGTCGCCGAGATATGCAGTAGGGGTCTAAACTCGGACCACCTACCGTATGGGGAACTCTAACACAAGGCACGCACACAAGGCACGCACACAAGGATTTAGGGTGACGCACCAAGACACCATAGGCTCAGCCATCGTCTCCTCCCAAGCCTTGAACCTTCTGTCAGTTTGGGTTTCACATAGCTTTACTAGTACTATTATGGTTACAAAACTTACAGAGGCCTGGCCAAACTGGACGACATCAGTTCAGGCCCGTCGGTCTCATCCTCACCATCCGCCGAGAAGGAAAGCGGATACGAGCGGCTGTCAAAGAACGTCAGCTCCTCCGGTTCCTCGTCTTCCTCCTGTGCAGTAGAATGACCATGCTAACACGTTAGTGTACGCAAATGAAGTAGAGGCTCTGCAAGAAAGAAGCACAGTTGCACTGCGATATTATGCGATCTCATCTTACACTGCACTGGCGTATAAGTAGCTGCCTCCTTAGCGCAGTAGGCAGCGCGTCAGTCTCATAATCTGAAGGTCGTGAGTTCGATCCTCACAGGGGGCACGATTTTTTTATTTTTTTTATTCAGAAGTTTGAGGGAGTTGAAAACTGGAAACATCTGATGAAAAAATTCAAGAAATTGACTGTCACCACCAAGACTCGAACCAGGGACCCTCGCTTATGGCCAGCTATGCTCTTTAAAGCTATGGTATGGTCAAGTTAATTTTTCCTAACTTATCATTCTCTCCTCCACTCAAACACTGTGTCAAAACAGCATGAACAAATCCGGTGGCTATCAGAAGCAGAGTACAAGGGACTAGCAATAATGTTTCTGTTCCTCTGAGTATCCCCCTCCCCCCCCCCCCCCCATCACGATAGAAGATATTACGGTATCACATCGGCTCAAATGTGTAATCAGTACTCAGTTGAAATAGGCAGCCCACGAGACGATCTTTCCACACACAATGCCGAGTACATGTCAGGGTCAAGTTCTAGCCAGGTAAATAGTAGGGGGGGGGGGGGGGAACAGTTACTCTAATTTCAGAAATTTTCAGTGCTCAATATATTCGGTATGAGGGCAAAAGGACAGGTTAGTTGAACAGAAATTCCAGGTACAGAAAAGCAGTTCCCTATTGGATTATGTGTGTTGGCGTTTGTTCGGTGTATTGAAAATTTAGGTATGAAACAGATGCACCAAAAGTACCGAAAATAAAAGTACACCGAAAATTAGTGAAATTACAGTTCCCCGTAACCCATTTTTCCATTTTCAAAATAACTGTCTTACAATGCGAAATGCAACGTACAGGGCGAACACCTGACTTCACCCCAGACAAATGTGCCTTTATGAACCCTGTAGTACTGTCTATCAACTGCATTTTCGTTGAATTGCATGAAAAAACACAAAAATCGGAAAATGAGTACGTGGCGGCACTTTTTCACAAGGGGGGGGGGGGGGGGGTGGGCACAAACAGAGTGGGGGGGGGGGGGGGGGTGCTACCCCCTTTGGCTAGAACCCTGCATGTACATGAATACGTTACCTCAGATACAGCTCCGTCGGCACTGTCTCTTGACTTGATATCCTCCACAAGTGTCTGGAACTGCTCAACAATGTTGTCTCCGAATGCTCTGACCTGGTGACAAGCGGTAAAGCAGTAACACATCACAATGTCATGGCAAAGCTTGCACAAGTGCTTTCTATCAGCAAGGCCCAGCATGCCTCTTTTGTCAGGCATGATTAAGTGTGTGTGTGTCTGTGGGGGGGGGGGGGGGGTCAACCTCCTAGCCTAGACCGTTCCTATCTTCATGTACTACAGTCCATGCACGGTGGTTGAGTCACCGTGTATACATTGGTATGCTGTGCTTGGTGAAATTCTAGCTTGGTCGTTCTTTGGCGCCCGATAATACTGTAATTAAACATGTCACGGCGGTGACCACATAAATTGAGATTATATAGTAAAGGGGGTGCGGTCATACAGCTATTGAGGTTATGATAATAACGAGGATGATGTGCGCGATAGTATTGCAGGTGCAAGGTGGATACCCGCAGTCAAATCTCAGTGCCCTCGACTGACCCACGTGGTGGCATGCAAGAGCGGCATGACTCACGAGCGGGGCCCCCAGGCTCTTCATGTGACTACACAAGACACCCTGGGCATGAGCTAGCAATATACATGGGTATTGCAAGTGAGCCGGCTAAAGGGCAAGCCAGCCAGTGACGCAGCAGACCAGCACCAGCAGCCATAACCAACCGCGACAGACTCACCTGCACAGCTCGGTTCTTTCTCCAGATATTCAGCTAGGCAGGAGGAGATTGCGTAAAACAAAACAACAACAGACATACATTCTCTGCTCTTGCCAAACAGTGTACTGCCACGCAGTCTATAACGTTGAAGTGCTGTACCCTGTAAAGCGTCGCGGATGTCTTTATGATGCTAGTCTGGGAGTTGGAGAGGTGGGGTGTCCACAGTGACGTAATGATCAACACAATGATGAACGGTGAGCATGGATACTGGTGGATCAATGGTGTCTGGTCGAACATGCATGTATCTTGGCGCTCCAACCCAATACCAAGACCCCATACACCAGTCAAGGCTGTGGAAAGACAGAAATAGGTGATAACAGAACAAGATGAATACCATTCTGAGCAGTCTGACTCACTCGATGTCCGATATACTCCAGAAACTCCCAGAACATGACCCACACATGTGCTTTCGATGGCGGATTCGGCCTGCACAGTTGAAAACATCAAGGTCAGCGATTATAGGATACTGATAGCTGGACTACACCATTGTTGATGAACTACATGAAATGGAAACAAACTTGTGGCTGACAGCAATATTTGAACTTGCCCACTCATCGTCCATAGTCACGTTTTTTAAATATTAATTAATGCTGTTGAAACTGAGCTGACAAAAATACTGGAAATAGCATGTACTAGTTATACCAAGCTTACGGTTTACAAAAAGGTTATTACAATCGAAACAGTTTGAACTGGATGTCGAATTTATCTGTGGCGGGCCAATTCAAAATGCATGATGTTTTTATAATGTCAATATCTCATTTCATGCTGCTCACCTGCACAGTTCCCGGTACTCAAAGCTTCTTCCCGTGGAATGCGCCGGGTCTAGGTGTAGCCGCTCTTGGTCTTGTGTCTTCACCTTCCAGCGGAAGCAGACTGTATCCACCTCGTCAGTCTCGTAGTCGCGCAGTTGGGGTACGTGTTCCCGCTTTAGATAGCCCTGTAAGTAGGTTATATTCCCATGTTATAAAGAAGATGAATACATAAATCAGCGTGTTCACTGTGCAGCAAAATGAGCATCAAGCATACAGCTACATGTATATAACACTGAATGCAAACTGCACATCCCTCACACTGCACATTCCTCACTTACACCACAGATATACACATTCCTCAGTATTTTTTTTCTACAAAATCCACATATCTCCAGACACTGGGGTGAATGATGGAGTGTGGTGGTGGGGCCCATTAAGCTCCGCCAGTTACACAACAGATATACACTGCACATTCCTCACTTACACCACAGATATACATGTATGTGCATACCTGAAGAGCAAGTGCATGGCGGATTCTCCAGCTCTTCAGCTCCGCTTGGTCCTCATCTACGCCGAAGAACCGAGCCAATCGCTCCCAGAAAGATCTGCGGATGACGAAGGCACGAATACACCGTACAAGCACATGTTGTTACTAAAACTACTTAAACAAGTGATTCAAAAGTTCACTATTATCTTTTCCAAGGTGTGACAATGGGGCTGGAACATGACCTGCTGTTTCCCTTTGGTTTGGAGTACCACGTTGGGTGTTTGCTTTCAAGTTACCATAGTTACCATAACCCATAGTTACCATAGCCCATAGTTACCATAGCTACCATAGTTACCATAGCCCATAGTCACCATAGCGTTAGGAGAGAAAATGAGTAATAGTCGGGTGACCGAATTTCCCGAAATTCTCTGCGAAGTCCAAGCTCGAAATTGCCACATCGTCAGCAACCATTTTTTCTGTGTTGGCTTCAGTACACATTGCATGCAGATGTACATCCTCGTCAATACGCATGTCAGACTAGTTCTCGTCCGTTGTAGATCACATACCATACTCGTGCGATTAGTGCCCCTGGGGCACTATTTTTTTTTTATGCTGGTACATTTCCGTCATCCAGCACAAAACATAGAAGGCGAAGAAAAACAGGGTCTAAAGTTTACTGTAAACTATGACGACTCAACAGAAATGGCAACAAGAACTGCGATCCTGAAATCACCAGTGCAATGAGATGGACAAGAACATAAGCAAAAGAACACCAAACTAGCCCATGTGCTTGGTTACAAGCGGGGGGGGGGGGGGGGGGGGGGGAAGCACAGCTCAAGAGAGGACTTTGTTAAAAAAATTCACAGTGACAGGCTCTTAGAGACTGGGGCACTATTCGAGACAGGGCACTATTCCAGAGAGGGCTCTAATCGCACGAGTACAGTATAGACACTGAATCACACAATCAGCCCACCACCCACACACGCCGCCCACATACACACAACCCCGTGTATTGTGCAATTTCAAGTAACTTTGACACACATGTAAGAAGGCATAGTTGCCTGTTTGTGATGCGACTTTAAATAAAGTACAACAATGACGACGACAACAATGCCCATCTCACGTGCCTTCAAATTTTGAAACGACGTACACACCTACGCACAATACTACCAATCAAAAGGCAATAGTTAATCCGCTCACTTTGGCGGAGGCGGCGGGTCTGGGAAACCCATTATTCGGCGGACGGACTGTTGACTGTTGTTTCTCAATCGCAGGAAGTGATTCTTCAGCGCATCCGTACTGCTGACCTCAATAACCTAGCGACAACAGAAGGACAACGGTGTGCGGTTGAGTTTAGAAGCAAGATAGCCAGACATTTTCTATACTAACACACGTGGCGACAAAGTCAGTTGAAAATCCGATGAGGCCCTTCGGACCATTACTTCTCAAATCGGTACACCGTGATATTGTGCCGAAACAAAACAATGTCAATTTGTACAGCTTTGTTGGCAGTGACGTGGTGATAAAATCTGCACTAGTTGGAACTGATGGCGCAGATTGCACAAAGCATAAGAGCACTGTAACAATCACAAGGAGGCAGGCAAAAGCCTCATCAAACTAGCTTTGTCGCTACATGTGGTAGTATGTTTCACTGGGATAAATCCCTCTGGCGGTGTTTCAAGGTGAGACCAACGGTGACTTATTGGGATCATGTGTGAGAAATGTTTGAATCGATGATGAACAGGCGAAACCCAGGTCACATTCAGTTCGTACGGAAATGGACACGTGGAGGTGAAAGAAGCACTTGTACGGCGCTCAACTTCATGCCTGACACTCGTGTTAAAAAACAAGCTTCAGAATCGCTCAAAGCGCTGGTGGAGGCGAACCTGCAACATTTCGTATACTTTTCAATGTGCGGCCTGCCTGTTCACCACAATCTCGGGATGATCGCCGCATCGCGTGTCCTGGAAACAGTTCTATTCATGTTTTTACTGTTGAATTCCCCAAAACCGTATCATGCAATAAAGTATATACTGCTACATGTGCAGGACATTATCAACATCATCATCATCATCATCATGCAATAACTGGCCACGTTTAAATGTTACTGTACATTGTAATTTTGAATCATGAGCCACTGAGCTTCAACGAATGACCTACATGTACTTGCATGCAAATGTGGATCCAAGTATTAGTTAGTTCCAATGAACACCGTCATGTGCACACTGTGCGTTCACGTGCTTGCGTTCAGTTTGCCTTGACTAAGACTCAAGACACTAACAGAGCACCTGTGTAATCAATGGAGCATGTACAGACTTTCTTACTCGAGTCTCGCCATCGACCTCATCTTCTCCGCGACTTCCGTCGTGTGTCGCAGCACTGAGCGGCTCCATGTTGTTGTCACTGCTCCTTCTGCTAGTGCTCCTGCAGCCTGGCGGCACTGGGGTCCGTTGCTGCTCGGGCTCGGCGGCCCAGGCAACACGACGGACAGCGGACTTGCCTGCAACTGCTAGACCGCTACCCTAGACACGGACAAGACACAGCGTTCAGTCAGCTCTTGATCTTGTGTAGCAGAAAATTTCTGGACTGCATGCCGATAAAAATTTCCTACTGATTGACAACTCTGTGCACCTCCACCACTAAAACTCCGGACAGCAAAATTATGAGTGAGTTTTTAGTGCTGAAAACTCCTCATCATGCATGAACTCAGGTCAGGATGAAGATTGTTCCGCGGATCTGGCCCATGCCATGGCGCCATGGCCCAGAGCTAGAGTCTTACCTACAAAAGTGCAGTCTTGAAAAAGAGCATTTTTTGCTATACGGCGGAACTCACCGATTTCAGGGGCGAAGCCACGTTGTAAAGACGATACCTCACTCAGTCATCGGGTCATCTAGCTTGCCATTTGCGTTTCGACACACTGCGTCGAGGAAGCCTGCAGAAGCTCGCGGGCTTCAGAAAATTCTGATGTTCAATTCATGCTATTTCGAAGGTAAATTGCTGATCTACTAGTACTGCTACAGTACTACATAACTGTGTTACCGTTACTGCTAATACAGTACTACTGACTGTCAGTAGGGAAAGAAGTGGCACAACAGAGGTACTGAGGTCTATCTATGCCTATGGGGCTGTCGGGCACCGCCACCACGGTGCCGATCTGCAGGAGACCTACCACCACTCGTAGTGCCAGTGGCAGTGGCGCGGACTAATGCCGGAGTAGGCATACACTGTCACAGCTGTCAATGACTCGAATGAGCATCGCTAGCTTGCCTTGCAAGCTTGTGCAACCGGCCATCCCGGTGCCCCTACCACTTGCCGGGATCTAGACTTCTACTTTCTAGTAGGAGTGCATGACTCTTTTGTGTACGGTAAGACCAGACTACAATTTACAAAGGCACATAGTGACATACTATAGTAACTTACTGAGTGACACACAAGACTACAATAGTCACTCTTACTTGGAGGATTGCAAATTATTGAAAATAATAGTTATGATCTGCCATAGGCTCATTAGTCAAAAAGGCGATCGGAAACACACACAAGCCTGAACACACTGCTCATAATTATCATTTCTTGCTAGTATCATTGGCAAGGCCGTCATGATATCAGCCAGAGCACATAACCCCTGGGGTTATGCCCCCTGGTGTTATGAACGCTTAATACCCGTATGTGCAGTGCAACACTAGTAAGTACTAGTATACAAGAGTGTGTGTGTGTGTGGGGGGGGGGGGGGGGCTGTTGGGATAATACAGTGTATTCGGATGATTGGAGTTATGATCGCCCTGCCGTTTCCCTCCGTAATGGGCATGCTTCAACTGCAATACAGTATGTCTAGAACTAATTCCGGGGAGGGTATGCGGATACAGAACACCAGGACACAACAGTTCACCTATTCATAGTATTCAAGAGATTCTTATCTTCTACTTTCATATCGGATTAATACACGATTGTACTTTAAATAGTATGTGTAAATCATAATAATTAATATGCATATTGCCACAGACTCCTACTTTGCAAGTAGTTTGTTTTGAATGTGACGATGGTAACTATGGCAATGAAAACATTCCAAACGATATCTGCAAGAGGAACTATGCTTACGTGCTGCGGCAGAATGTAAGAAGTGGACGTCAATTTAAACTAAAAGATATTGAAAATATGGTTATTTGCCGAACGAGACTCAATAAAAATGTGTTGACGAGTATGCAGTGGCATGTGTACTGCATCTGTTACATTCAATGTCTTAGGGCAGAGTATTTGTGAGCTACAATTGAGGCCTAATGATGAAAAGAATATCAAAATGCCAGTGCTTGCTTAATGAATGGAGAAATATCTGCTGAGGTAGTTACTGGTGGCTGAATCAGCAGCTGCTCAGGGAGATTGGTCCTTGGCGAATGATACGCAGAGGCGTGCAACCTCGGAAGATGCCAGTGTGCCGGTTCCACTGCCATGTAGAATGCGAACACCGTCCGACGACACTACTGCTGAAAGACCAGCCCCATTTGTGGCACGAACCGAAGCAAATACGATATCGTCCGGCTGACTGAGTGCTGTGGAAGCCACTTCGGCAGAGAGCTGGGATCCCACCGATGTCCACGGCTGTATGTTGTCCATCCCTGGTTGAGTGCCGATTGCCCAGTGGTAATCTGTTATGTAACTTTCCTGGTCCACAAATCCGCTCCACTGAGCAACCAATGGCTGTGAGGCATCTTGGCAGTCAGCATCCGACATTCCACCGCCGTCAATAACGTGTCCCACATCTGGTGGTGTATTGTCGATGTGCATTGCCGTTGAGGTGGTCAAGGAATACAATCCCGCCGCATTGGTTACTTTGACAATAGCATAGACTATGGAGAGAGATGAGTGCAGGCCTTGGTGACGGTAGACTGTTGCGAGTCCAGTAGGTTGCCACGGCAGTACATCACATTGCTCTGGTTGACTACCAATGCATACACTGTAGTCTGCTATCGGACTGTCCGGGTCTTCAGCCGTGGACCACGTGATGGCTATGGTTGTGTTCTCGTTGACAAACTGCACATCTTGTCCTGCAGCCTTGTTGTTCAATGTTACTGTCACTGTCCCTGGTGCTGTTGTATCCACGGTGATGCCATCCGAAGTAAACCAAGCCAGTTTACGTGCGGCATTCTCTGCTCGCACTGTAGTGAAGTATGACACACTGCTGACAGGAACGCAGCGAGGAGGATCGCACCAGGCGGACGTGTTCAGTCCAATAGCAGTGTATGGCAATATCTGTGTGCCGCCTGGGTTCGTTCCTATAGCCCAGTAGAACTCAATGATGTCACTATCTGGGTCCTGGATGCTCTCCCAGTGGGCCTGGAGGCGAGTACTATCGCTGGTGAAGTTTTCATCCTTGCTACCGACTGGACCGTCCAGCACTGTGCCAATGGATGGCGGTGTGGTATCATAGACAATTGGCTCGGTTGTGACTTGAGAGGAGAGGCCAACCCGGTTGCTTGCTGAAATTGTTGCAGAATATACTTCGCCGTCGCTGAGATTTGCAATCGGAATGGTGAAGGTAGTGTTCAGCTGCGTTACACGACTACTATGCAGTGTCATGTCGGTAGCATTATCCACTACAGTGATATCAAAGTGGGTGATGTGCGACTCAGGGTCGTCAAACCCACTGCATATCACCAACAGAGCATCCTCTCCTAGAATTGTCTCAGTCCAGCCTAGCTGTACAGTTCCCGTCACTGGGAGTGTCGTATCGAGGACAAATCCACTCGACATGTTGCTTGAAGCCAGTCCAGCCTTATTGATGCATTCAACACGAGTGAACATTTTCTTTCCCACAGGAAGGGTGATGTTGGGTGCCAGCGGAGATAGTGATTCAAGAACTGCAGACCTTGACCAAAGAGGTGTTTTGTCTTCGGCTAGGATAGACACGGAGCAGTCCCGAATGCTGGATTGTTGGTCCACAAAGCCACTCCAATAGATCAGTGGTGAGATATCTCCAGCCATGTACTGTACCGACGATGTTGGTGTGTCTGTTCCTTCCTGTACACTGCCCTTGTTGGGGGGCGATGTGTCCAGGGTGATTCCATCAGATGACACAGATGTCACCAGGCCTGCCTTGTTTCTTGCTCTCACTGTGATGTAGTAGGTCACACCGGCCGACATGATGCACGTGTGGCATGTTGCCCGCGTGGCCGACCCAACAGACCGGCATGTCATGAAGTTCTGCTTGAACTTCGCCAGGCCGATGCACCACTGGTAGGTGACAGAGGTCTCGGCGTCACTGAAGCCGTTCCATGATGCTGATATGCTCTCCGGTGTGGAGATGAAATCCATGTCCATTGATGTACTTTTCCCATCTTGTACCAATCCTGCCGTCGGTGGAGTGGTATCAATAGTTGTTTTGCAAGTCACTGTTGACAGCATGCCTGCAGAATTACTAGCTTCCAGTATTATGTTGTAGTGTTCACCGTTGACAAGGTTCAGTCCTGTAGCACTCAGCTGACTCTGATCTGAGTCAATGCCACCTGTTGTCCAGGACAAGATATCATCTATATCCTGGTGACCTACAGCCCAGCGCAGACTTACGGCCGTTTGGCTGTCAAAGACGCCTGACCAAACTGCATTGATCTGAGTTGTATTACTGGTGTAGGCATCGCACTTCAGTGTGCCGTCCACCGGTTTGCTAACATCAATATCCAACGTCTTGGTAACACTTAGACTGACGCGGTTTTTACACATCACATCGACGCTCAGCGATGTTGCTGAGTCTTGCTGGGTGATGATGGCAGGTAGAAGAACGTCAAACGTGCAATTTTGACATTGACAGCCAGTAGATCCTTCTGAAAGTAGTGCAGAGTTGTTCTTCAGCAGCCATGTACATTGCTCAATGCCCGCCTCATTATCCATGAACTTCTCACAACCAATAGTGATTGTCTTGCTTCCAGCAGCTTCCTTTGCAACGTACACTCTTCCGGCAATAGGTGCAGAGCTGTCCACCGTGATTGTGCTGGTGGACATGTGAGTGGTAAGGTTAGCGTTGTTGATGGCGCGGACTGCAATGTAGTACTTTTCGCCAGACTTGATGCTGCAGTTAGAGCATGTTGCGTTCATTACATCTCCAATGAAGGTATTATCCAACACTTGGCAGCCACCAGGACTGACACCGATGGACCATTCGTACCCACGGATACCGCTAACAGAGTCGGTAGCTGCTGCCCACTGTGCAGACAGTGCGCTATCAGTTAGGTCAAAATCCACCTTGACCGAACTGGCAACAACCGGAGGTGTTGTGTCCACGGTGAAGGCCTGTGATGTCATCGTCTTGGTAGAGCCCGCTCCGTTCTTACAGATGAGAGTGATGATGTACGTCCCTCCCTCTGTCATGCGGATAGTGTCCGATCTAGCTTGGAGGCTGACGCCAGCACTGGTGCTAGCCTGGGTACTGTAGAGACTGGCTGGCGTTCCAACACCCCAGTGGTAGTCAGTGATTTCTGAATCTCGATCAATGCATGGAGCCCAGGTGAAGTCCAGCTCTGATGACTTGGGCCAGTACTGTGCAATGTTGATGTGGCCAATCATGGGTGGACTTGAGTCAAACAATGCAGGCACAGCTGACGTACTGGAGGCGACTGCTCCAACGCCGTTTCTGCACATTACACGGCATTGATATTGCTTGCCATCCTGCAGGGGAACAGACACTGGAACGTTTCCTGATGTAGTGTTGATGCTCTGAAGCTGCAGAACTCCGTGGATGGTACCGGAGGCGAAGTCTAGGATCTCGGCTGTGCAGTTTGTTACACCGCTCTCATGATCGGTTGGTTTGCCCCAGGAGCATGGTACCTTGCCTGCAGTCCGGAAGAACTTGGCCGAAGTGTCACCCAAACCGATGGTCACTTCCTGCATGACGGGTGGTGTTCCGTCAAACCAAACTGGATCTGTGCACACGCTCTTGGAGAGGCCAGCACGGTTTCGAGCCACGACGGTGCCGTAGAATGCCTGCCCTGTGATAGATGTCAGAGTGCGCTGTGCACTTGTCGTTCCATTGGCCTCGTTGAAGTAACCGAACATTTGATTGCCATTGCAGGATACTCCCATGGCCCAGCGATAGTACCATACTGAGCTTTCCTGATCCACGACACCGGGCCAAGAAAGTGTGGCACGTGTGCCCTTCAATTCCAGTTTGGGCTTGTATTGGAATACAGGCGGTGTGTTGTCGATGATGATACCGGCACTGCGACTAGTTTCGGTTGATCCAGCGTTGTTCACTGCTGCCACTGTAACTATGTATGAAGTGCCGCTGACAAGGGCCAAGTTTGAAACGATCGTCGACAGCTTTAGACCGACAGAGTAGTAATTACGAATGGCAGTGGCATCGCCGTGTGTTCCAACGGCCACCTTGAACTCGGCGATGTCGCTGTGAACGTCTTCAAATGCTGACCATTGTGCTTTCAGTTCAGTTGTGCTAGATTGGTATAGCTGACCTTTGAGACCTTCACCAGTCAGAATGATACCTTTGGTTGGCGCGGTGACATCAACCAGGCTGCCATCTGTTGTGAAGCACTTGGATAGCTTTGCCCTGTTCACGTAGCACACGGTCAAGTGATACTCCGTCAGATCGGTCAGCTTGAAGCCCGTCAGCGTGTAGGAAAGCAGCGCTTTATCAATGCTCACCGGTGCGCGTACGTCAAGCGCCGATGGACGTGTGCCAGCACCGATGGTGATATGAGACATTCCTGACTGCGCATCGGCGGAGGCTGACCAAGATGCTGTGAGCGTTGAGTTGCTGTCTTGGTGGTCAATGTCGTCGCTCAGTGTCGGACCGTCAACGACAAGGAAATCGTCGGGTGGCGTGATGTCAACAAGGACGCCATTCGACCAGGCCGTGGACATCAGACCGGCTTTGTTTACGACCCTGACCTGCATGCAGTATTTCACACCTGTAGTGACAGACACTGCCACTTCACTCCGCGTTGCCGTGCCAGCATCAATGTCACTAGAATGAAGGAGAATGGTGCGCCCGCAGTAGGCATAGTTCCAGAAGTAACCCTTTATGCCGCTCTGGGAGTCTGAGAAACCGCTCCAGCGCAGGGAGAACTTGGTGTTGCTAGCCGTAAAGTCGATGTCATCGAGCGAGCCACAGTTATCAACGCACAGGTCAAAGATACTGCCAACCACAGGTGGACTCGTGTCTACTGTGACTCCATCGCTGGACACAGTTGTAGTCAAACCGGATCTGCTAGTGCACTTGATGACAGAATAGTACTTTGTGCCGCTGTTCAGCTTCAAGGATGACTTTGTCCCCATACTTGCTAGACCGTAGCTTTGCATGGCAATGACATCCGATTGGCCAGGAGCAGTTCCGATTCCCCACGAGTACGAGAGTATGCCACTTAGTGCTGTGAAGCCCTGCCATCTGGTCTTCAGACGGGCAGCGTCGCTCTGGTAATCAATGTCAATAAGCGATCCTCCGCTAGGATCGATGTCCAGTACTGTTCCAGCTGCAGGTGGTACTGCATCGATTGTCAAACCATCTGAGCATTTCTCTGCTTTGTTGCCTGCTCGATCCACAGCGTTGACGCAGGCCATGTAAATTGTACCGTGAACCATGTTCAATCCGGTCGTCGTACCTGATGTTGCTTTTCCAGCATTCAGAACATTGCCCAGGCGCACCTTTCCTGTCTTCTTGTAGACGGCCCACTCATAATGGTCAATGCCCGTGTCCACGTCCTTGAAACTGTTCCAGTTTGCGCTGAAAGTCGTCTTACTACTTTGATACATCAAATCCCCGGTCAGACCGTCATTCACTGTGCCCACTACCGGTGGTGTTGCATCGACGCGGAACGACTTGCGCACTTCAGACGACAGTCCAGCATTGTTGGTGACTCGTATCAGCAAGTTGTACACATGGTTGTCGATCAGTCGGGTGGGCAGGGTGATCTTATCAGCCGGTTGTGTTATGGTTGTAGTGCATGGGAACGATGCACAGCTGAACGGCTTGTATCCTTGAGTTGAACACACAGTCGGGGCTGCTGTAGTGTCGCAGAGCCACCACACCAGTGATTTCAGGTGACTTTGTGGATCGCTCGTGTGGACAAGTTTAAAGTCCAAGCTTCGTGTGGCTTTGTTTTGCACCTGAGCTCCAGTGGTGTCTGAGAGAAGTACCGGCAGGTTCGGGAATGACAGCTGTCCTGCATTCGGTGGTGAATTATCAGGTGTGACCCCATTGGATGTTAACCGAGTTGTGACGCCAGCGCGACTGGTCACATCCAAAGAAGAATAGTACTTTGTGCCGCTCTGTAGGTTCAATCCCGCTACACTGCACACACCCTTTGACAAGTCTGCTAAAGTGCATGCGGAGCGAGACACAATGTCATCGCCTCCAGACGAAGTACCAATGGACATCTTGTAGCTGTTCAGGTCAATTCCGCTCTCCGCATCCCGCAGGTCTGCTATGTTCCAGTGAATCCAGAGTTGATTAGTAATTGCCTGATAGTCTACATCCGCAAACAATGGAGTGGAAACTGGTTTGTTTCCATCATAGAGCTGTCCGCTGAGTGTGGGTCCAGTTGTATCAACAAGTACAGGCAGCGAGTAGGTGGTGAGTGTATTTCCACGAACATTACTGGCTGAAACCTGCAGCCTGTATACGTTATTCTGCAGGAAGCTTGTGCTGATTGGTATAGTTGTTGGTGAGTTGCTGGAGGATTTCGCATTAAAGTTTTTGATCAAATTTCCGCCAGATGGGATGGCAAAGCTAGTTTGCATATGGTAGAGAGTTACCGAATAGGTCACATCACCACATGGCACTGTGTATCCAGTAAGAAACATGTCCATCGATGCTGAACTTGCCAAGTAGACACCCGATATTGAGCCCAAGTTGAAGTGGTTAATTGGACCGGCTCCAAGACTAGTTATTGTACCAGTGGCCCGTAGTGCGATTGAACCAGTGACAATTGGTGTAGCAGTGAGAGGTTTTAGTGTCGTCACAGGGCACGCAGCTAGGGTGCCAGTGCATTTGGTATCAGGGTGATCACACGCATCTTGGTTGCGGTAGCATACCACCGACGAGCTCTTGTAAGCGGGTACACAATTGTGTGGAGGTGCATTGCCATTGCATGTGTTCGTATCCATACACGGACCTCCAATGGGACACGTGTAGGCTTTGCCAGCGCATGTGCCGGTCTTGCATTCATCCTGGTACGTGCACTGGTTACCGTCAGTGCATGTTGTGCCGTCCGGTATCCGCGTCCAACCGGTCGGATTAGCGCCGTAGTTGCAGTGGTCGCATTGACGGCCAGGCTGCAGTGCCCGGTCTGCATAGCACTTTCCGCCTATGTAGCAACCGCACTTGCCGCCGATTTCACAGCCGCGCACATTGACACAAGTTCCACCGGCGCTGCAGTCCTGGCATGGTGATGCACACTCGTGCTTGTAGTTATAGCCTGGTTGGCATTGACCGTTAGCGTCACACTGGTCGTTGCGAGTACAGTCATTGCCGTCCGAACAACGTGTTCCTGTTGGTCTGTTTGTCCATGAGCTGGCACCAGTAGCCCATGATGTTGGCGCATTGCAGTACTGCACAGGGAACAGAAAACACAGCACGGAATCAGCTCATAAGAAACCCTTCGACGACATTGAATTTTCGAGCACGGGAGAAGCAGATGTCCACTGGCCCAGCAGATTAACGATGAATTCAGCCGGTGACATTGCAGCTTCACTTCAGTACATTTCTGGCACACTGCTGCACTTAGAAGGGTGAACGTGCCTCATAGCTTTGTGTGATCAAAGAGACTGGAAACATTAGCAACCTCTTGTATTGGTGTCAATGATAACATAAATGTTGGTGCTTTTAAGTCCTCTCTATCATTGTCCCAGTACTTGTCGGGTCCCCAAACCGAGACGGACCTGCTAGGCGTGGACATTTCATTGCAGTCATAATCGTGTTTGGGAGCACTGTATCATTCCTCGGACATCGCTCAAATATGACATTCACCTTGGTCGGTTTTGCAGCGGGGTCTGATCAGGGCATGCGCAGGGCATGACGCAGGACCAATTGAGCTAAAACAGGAGAAAAGAATCTGGATGCACCAAGCGGGGCTATCCGATTGGCATGTGGCTTAGAGCCGTTTGATTCTAAGGAGAAACCAACCTCGTCAGTGACTCATTTTGAGCGTATGGAATTACGATAGTTTCAAAGTCAGAACACCCCTATAGGGGCTCTTTATCGGGTTTAGACTTGAAGGAACACATTCTGTGGCTAGCAATTACAATGGTGCATGCGAAGGATCCAAATCCAAGGATCTTGGATGTGCCGGGGAGGGTGCGTTCTTGTCGAAAAGTTGCTTACCTGGCATTGGGGAGAGTCTGGATTGGTAGCACCATGGCTGTAGCATTTTCCCTGGATCTTGCAATAGCCTTTCTTCACAGCACAGCCACTCCCAGTGCAATACTCGCAGGATGAGCATGTGAAACTAGTGCCGCGGCATACTCCACTGCTGCAGGTGTCATCCTTTGTGCAGGCATTGCCGTCATTGCACTTGGCTCCCGATTGTTTTTGCCATGCATTGCGAGTCGCAGTGCTTGCATCGCAATACTGCAGTAGAAACAGATGAACGGGCCAGAACAGAAGCAAAGTTATTCTTTTGTTGGATAAATAAATATTGCTACAGGTGCTCAAGCTCCAGCTCATCCACTTGATAGCATTGATACACCCTACACCAGCACTAACGCAAGTGCTCTCTGCGCTGCAAACATGCACAATTTGAACCAACTTTTATAGTCAGTAGTCATCAACACTCAAAATTGGTAAGGTGGCCTACATTGTATATCATACAAAAACAAGGTGGAGTAAATGTATGCCATATGCCGCGATAAAATCTTTGAATCTTACGCGTCATCAATTGTTGGCTTGGTGGCACTGAGTTTATGCTCGCTTGCAGGAATGCAAAAATTCATTTTGGACTCCCTACTCGATCTGAAAGTTGGAGCGTAACATGCAATCACATTAATCCAGGTGAATCTAGGTGTCACTATTTCCATGGTGGACGAACTTCAACTTGTATTGTGCAATTGTCGGCAACACCGCTGTCCATTGTTTTCGTCCTGCAGAGAAAGCGCTCCGTGCACGGCCTCTCCGGACGATGCAGACTCCTTCTCATGGTTTGAAATTCTCAGATGGTATGGGATGTCCAGACTACAAGACGATCGAGTCCGTGACGTTGTAGATCTCAGCTCCAAACCACTTCGATTCCTGAAGTCCAGTCACTTCGATATCGAGTCTCTTCAGCTCGTTACAACAGTATTGATCTTCCTGTCCTCTACTAGTCGATATCTAGTTCCTGTCCTCTACTAGTCCATATCTAGTTCCTGTCCTCTACTAGTCGATATCTAGTTCCTGTCCTCTACTAGTCAATATCTAGTTCCTGTCCTCTACTAGTCGATATCTAGTTCCTGTCCTCTACTAGTCAATATCTAGACGCAGCAGTTTCAATTGGGTGTCAGCATTCATGAGTGTTCTGACATTCCACGAAGCAAAATTTAGTACAGAATCGCTTCTACTGGGGGGGGGGGGGCAAGTTCTAAGTTCAAATGCGTCTACTGTGATTTCCGTTTCAGTCTAGTGCAGCTAAGTACCCTTTCACTTGGGCTGCACCAAAATACATGTGTGCCCAGGCCCCAGACAGCACCCTCTAAGGTGCAAAATTCTGGCAAAGCGTGCTCCTTTTCTCACCACCATTGCATCTGTTTGTGCATGGTGCCTAGGCGTGTTTTACTGCTTTAACCACCATTTCTCTATTGCTTTAAGATAGGGTGCATTGGAGTGTTCACATCACTACTTCCTCCGCGTCATTAAAATTGTCGCTTCCCAGAGCGATTTTTCGAAATTATTTTTGTCCACTCGAAGGGCAAAGAAATCAGCTAGAAATGGAGGCGGAGCATTTTCGACGCACCAAGCTTTAGTTTGTGACCCCCCGCTTCGCTGCACTTGCAACTAAGGTCAACGTCTTCACCAGAGTTTCAGGCAGACCCTTCAGCACTCAACAATACGCTGAACAAGACGCGCGTTCAAATTCAGGTCAAGAAACTTCGCTTTCAAGCGATCCATGCCTCCAGGTGGCAGGCGATGAAGGCAAGGTAGCATTTTTCAAGTACACTGTAACGACCTTCCAGCGGAATAGGGTAAGCAGTTCCGCAACTTCTTTCCTTGGCAAGCGCTTCGCTGATTTTGTTGGTGTTTTCGGACCTGCTACCTTCGCAGCAACATGTGCCACAAGTAGCGCATTTTAGAAATTTCAGACCACTTTGTTCTTGCCATCGTTAGCTTCAGCAGTTCGTATTCAGGAGAGATACCAGGATTCTTATACCCGAGCTTGCAGTCTTGACAAATGCCCATGCGAACGATGTGGGACTGCACGAACTCCAGAAAACGAAATGTGCTCTGGGGCGGAATAGTGCGGAGCGCGATGAATTTGCTTGGTGCGGAAGAGAGCTCCGACAAAGTCCGAGACCACCGCAGCGTCAGTGACAAGTAGACATTGCGCAGGAAGGGTCACACCAGTGTTCGAACGCAGAAAACAGTGATTCCGACAGTCTGACTAAGACGAGCCAAGTCACAAATATTGCGATGTGCGAAGCGACAATTTTAATGACGCGGAGGAAGTACATCAATATAATATGTACCCTAACTTTCTGCTCACTGTACATTCAGCCACTCTGGGGTGGCGATAGACATGGGGAAGTCGTGGTTCTGATGTCGCAGGGCCATTCGGCTACGGTAGGATTACACATGATCGCTAGGCACCGAGAGTGTCAGAAAGTGATATGAATAACAGGACTGGAATCTTACCCTGCAAGTGACAGTGTTGATGTAACCGTTATCCCAGCATTTTCTGTCAATGTCGCACTTGTTCAGATGACTGTTGCAGCCCGTGGCTTGGGCCAGTGTAGGGCAGCCATAACCACGATCAGCATTGCGGGATACGTAGCGGTAACGAGAGCGCGTGCCTGGATAGCAGCTGTTCGTGCACGAACTCCAATTATTCCACCCATTGACAAGACAGTCAACTGCAGCAAGCAACACAAATACCGTACTCACTTGATTAGAAGCTCCTCTCGAGTAAAAGCCCCTCTCTGTGAACAATAGCCCCCCCCCCCCCTACAAGGACTGTTTGAAAATATACAAGCCCCTCTCGAATAGAACCCCGGATTACTATTCGCAAAGCATGGGGTGACCAGGTAGTGCCATGTATGAAGGTCAAGTGTGCAAAAAACATCTCGTGCATGTTCATATTGGTACATGTCCTGGTCGACGTAGTGTGTGCAAACTAACTCGGGGCCGAGTTGCTGTGAATATGAAAGTTTTAGAGATGTGATTGGAATACTGATATGAAATGAAACAATAAAAGCCCCTCTCGAATAGAAGCCCCTCTTGAATAGAAGCCTCCTCAAAATTGGTATTGAAAAAATAGAAGCCCCCGACTTCTAGTCGACTGAGACGGTATGCCCGGTATGTCTGAGCATTGGTGGTATGCACAACGGATGATAGCCCCGAGAAGGATAATGAAAACTAACGGGTGAAGAAACAAACACACACATGTATGTGTGCGTAACCAAAGTGTCCAAGCTTCCAATCCTGAAGCTTGGACACTGACCATTCGATTCAGCATCCCGAAGACTATAGGTTCTGAGTGTGTCAGTTTCTCACATGCTGCTATAAGAACGAATGGACGCTTTCAGTGAAAATTTCCGCACAAAATCCCCATCTGGTAGGGCACACTCGCCCAGTTTTGTGGAGGTGTGTTACATGTGTAGTTATGCTAAGATATCCACACAGTATAAGATACTCTGTACTCACTATTCGTATTTCCCGCTTCTTTGTCATAGTGATTAGAACCCATCAGGTATAGAAGAGTGCATGCTCCAGTGGTTCTTGTCTTATCTACTTCAAAGCAAGTTCTAATTCTTCCACATTCCTATACTGCGTTCGACACTTCTGTAACAGTACTTCGTAATGAAACTATAATACCATCCTGTGGGAGTGTGTGGGGGCAGGCCTGTAGTTACTGCCGTTTCGCCTGGTGGGTCTTCGCCACCGTAATATGATTCTTTGATGATGCAGTGAGAATTCATGAAGACTTACTGACACATGAGTTGCCAGACTGACGCGAGCCCTGGCAGCACCTCCTTCTATTGACTAATATATTCTTGTTGAAGTACCTGTGAAAACCAGCAAAATGTGCAGTTCACGAAGGGCAACACATGTCATGATTCATGGTTTTTTTTAATGCTTTGCATCTTATCAGAAATGCACTCAGTACATAGAAATACCCTGCAGCATGTGCCATCTCAGAGGGTTAGGGTCAAGTGCAAACATTACCATTGAATTGCAGCGAACGTTTAGTATAATGCACCTCCAGGTAACATGCACATCAGTTCTACCATCCTACTTCCGTACCCGGCAATATTCACCAGCCGGCCTGCACATCGACGACTACTGGCTGCTCTGAACAGGCTGCTGGTTTTCTCTACCAAATCGGCTTACGTTTTGTGTCGAACACATCGGCTGTTGCCCCACCATCCACAGGAGTTGTAGTAGGTGGTCTTCCATCTCTGTGTACCTCTCTCTGTGTAAGCACACGTGTAGGCCCTAGTTGTCACAAACCAGAACAGAAACGTAATCACACGCCTCGTTTAGCTCACAGGTTTTCCAGTTCATGGTGCGGTTGGACACTTGTGGCATCTGCATGTGAACACAATACTCGCATGCCAAAAACTGACAACACACTAGGTACCGTTTTTGCCGAGTATAACGTGCACCTGAGTAACATGCGCATCCCCATTTTTTGAGCAACATTTTGGCGATTCAAGGTACATGTATATCCGGAGTGTAATGCGTAGCCTTGATTTGAGACCAATATCGATCATAAAGACACGGTACTATAGTGCCACCATTGTCAGAATTTATCATAAGATTAGTGGTACGTACATTTGTCCAATGCATATGCTACCGATGGGGTCTCATACCCATCACGCATTAGCAGTGCAGCTGGCAGTAGACACAGATAATGACTTGCGCATGGGTGAGAGGTGGCAAACTTACCAACCACTTGATGCATTGCACTACGCTTTGAAGTACATGCATTTTCATGTACGGAGCATAGTGCACACCTGCAATTCTAGGGCCTGAAATAGTACATCTAGCGTGCGCACTATACTCCGTCAAATATGGTAGGTAGGTCAATTTGGGTTGTTGATTGTAGTGTTAGTGGTGCTGTTGTTGTTGGCTGGCCACGCTTCACCACCACCGGCCCTGAGGGCAGAGGATCGGGGCGGTGGGGGGCAATGGTACTGGGAATGCAAGCGACACTTCCTCAGCCAGAGTCCCCGCAGGCACTGGCAAAGGGTTCATCGAGGGTAGCAGGCAAGGAAGTGAAATTCTTCAGCCTTGCAAGCTGCTGAGTGGTGCAATTCCAGCACAGGTTGCCACGGCTTCTGCTGTAGCATCGCTATCATTGCCTTCGGCGATGGGCGGAAAAGGTCAAAAATGGAGAAGGTGTGTGCAAGTGTGTATTTACCCAAGGGCTAGTGTGTGCAAGTGTGTATTTACCCAAGGAAAGGTGTGTGCAAGTGTGTATTTACCCAAGGGAAGGTGTGTGCAAGTGTGTATTTACCCAAGGGAAACGTGTGTGCAAGTGTGTATTTACCCAAGGGAAGGTGTGTGCAAGTGTGTATTTACCCAAGGGAGGGTGTGTGCAAGTGTGTATTTACCCAAGGGCTGTATGGAGTATAACTACCGGCGGGATACAGCAATGTTAGTGGGGATTGTTCAAATACGTAATGTTCCGTTGATGCTGAAAGACCAGTATGGTATTACTGTTCTTTCAGCATCATGTATTACACGATCTCTCTGCTTACCCGCTGGGATCCGCTCTGGCAGCAGTGGTAAGGATGACCACCAGCCAGAGTGCTTTGCTCACCCATTCAATCACAAGCATCTTGCCAGCTCATGGACACGTCTGGATATGCATGGTGAAAACAAGACATGGTGAATGTGAACCACACAACGCATACGCAGTGTTAGGTATCAATACTTTGAACTGTACATTCCTACATTCCCACCTCACACTAGCATCCAGACCATGCTTGCCCAGTCAGCAACCATTGATGCTACATGTGGCACTGCGGGCTCACGGTACGAATATTCACGTGGACGGCGGTGGCAGGTGTAAACCGACCACATGAATGTGTGTGTGTGGGGGGGGGGGGGAGGGGGGGGGGGGCTGAGCGCCTTCCACTGTGTGTGTGGGGGGAGGGGGGGGGGGGGGCTGAGCGCCTTCCACTACAGTCAACACTAGGCTGTGTCATGAGCAACGGGTTGTTGTCCTTTATTGATGGGTTTGGGTTTCACCCAGGGCCATTCAGGGTGTCTGCATAGCAAACGTCATGTACCGACGGTGAAGTGAGTGTCTGGTCTCTCAAGAGCGCCCCATCGTGTCGCATGTCCTGCATGTGCATGTGCATGTGCAGGGGCAACGTCGAAAGGTTGTGTAGGATGGTACGGTGGTCAGCCATCTGAGGTACAACTAACTTATTGGGAGGAGGGGCTCTGCAGCTTTTGAAATTTAAAGCCCAAATCAGTGCATTTGATTGATTCACGGGGCACCTGGCTAGCTGGAGCACCTGGCTAGCTGGAGCACCTGGCTAGCTGGAGCACCTGGCTACCTGGGGCAACAAGTGGTACGGTCAATACTGTAGTGACCGTAGCAGCGAGTAGTCCGACGCCACCGCTGCCGCTGATATGACTTTGTAAATGTGTGGACGGTTGACCAAACGAGGTGGGAAGAAAATCATAAAGGAGATATGGAGTCAAATAAGAATCCGAACTCACTATTACCATGCACTCTTTGGCCCAGTTTGTGTGCTGGTCAGTGCAATTTTGCGGACGTTTTCATAGATTTGCGTATTCGATTACCGCTGGTTAGCCTACCCTATTTTCCGGAGTACCTGTACAAGCCGCACTATGAACACCAGAAGTGCATCCCTAAAAGTTGGTGCGGCTTTTGTTCAACGATGATCAAACTAACGGTGACCGGTGGTAAACGGGATAGATGTTTGTATTTCATGACAAGAAATCTGGGTGCGGCTGTTATACTCCGGAAAATACAGTAAATATGATCCAGGCGTATACATACCCATATGGCTACAACGGAATAAAGACTAAGCTGCACTGTAGCTTACAATCTGTTGTCATGTACATGGTTCAACCAGTATTTCCCTCACATTCCGTGCTACAGCATAATAATAATAATAATAATAATAATAATAATAATAATGAAACTCGGATGTTGAGCCATAAATAAATGTAGAAGAGAAAAGGACATATGGATACGAGTTAAGAGTAACTCTCCATCACTGTAACATGATACTTTATACAGTCAGAAAGTGCAATAACTAGAAGGCTGTCGGTTAGCGCTACGGAGATGTGTTGAAGCTAGGTGTCAGGACGTCGAATGTTTCAGTACTCTGTCAGTTTTGTGCCTAGTTATTGCACTTTCTGACTGTATAAAGTATCATGTTACAGTGATGGAGAGTTACTCTTAACTCGTATCCATATGTCCTTTTCTCTTCTACAATAATAATAATAATAATAATAATAATAATAATAATGTGGAAGAGAAAAGGACATATGGATACGAGTTAAGAGTAACTCTCCATCACTGTAACATGATCCTATATACCTGGATCCTGTATATAGGATCATGTTACAGTGATGGAGAGTTACTCTTAACTCGTATCCATATGTCCTTTTCTCTTCCACATTTATTTATGGCTCAACATCCGAGTTTCAAATTGCACACCTGATGAGCCGTCACGAACCATACGGCGAAACGTACGTCGTGTGAAACAACTTGTTTTGTAGTCAACTAGTCCATCACATTGTCATGCATGAGGAGTACTGTAGGAGTTTGGCTTTCGGCTTGTACAATTCGTTTTCGCAAAGCTTCCCTTTCTTTACTTATCTTTGATATTTATGACCCACCCAAGTTGGGTGGTGTGCTGCTTTGCTGCTTCGAATTGTAGTTAGACCGCTTTGTCAAATATCGTACTGGTCTCGTCATCGTCCAGTAACAATCGACATTCTTTGTTCCGTTGGGACTGTAGCTTTTGCTCGTTTTCGTTGCGCTTGCCTTCCCCTCTTTGGTCTTTTCCATAACCTTGAACCTTCCAAGTTGGAAGGCTGTCGGTTAGCGCTACGGAGATGTGTTGAAGCTAGGTGTCAGGACGTCGAATGTTTCAGTACTCTGTCAGTTTTGTGCCTAGTTATTGCACTTTCTGACTGTATATAGGATCATGTTACAGTGATGGAGAGTTACTCTTAACTCGTATCCATATGTCCTTTTCTCTTCCACATTTATTTATGGCTCAACATCCGAGTTTCAAATTGCACACCTGATGAGCCGTCACGAACCATACGGCGAAACGTACGTCGTGTGAAACAACTTGTTTTGTAGTCAACTAGTCCATCACATTGTCATGCATGAGGAGTACTGTAGGAGTTTGGCTTTCGGCTTGTACAATTCGTTTTCGCAAAGCTTCCCTTTCTTTACTTATCTTTGATATTTATGACCCACCCAAGTTGGGTGGTGTGCTGCTTTGCTGCTTCGAATTGTAGTTAGACCGCTTTGTCAAATATCGTACTGGTCTCGTCATCGTCCAGTAACAATCGACATTCTTTGTTCCGTTGGGACTGTAGCTTTTGCTCGTTTTCGTTGCGCTTGCCTTCCCCTCTTTGGTCTTTTCCATAACCTTGAACCTTCCAAGTTGGAAGGCTGTCGGTTAGCGCTACGGAGATGTGTTGAAGCTAGGTGTCAGGACGTCGAATGTTTCAGTACTCTGTCAGTTTTGTGCCTAGTTATTGCACTTTCTGACTGTATATAGGATCATGTTACAGTGATGGAGAGTTACTCTTAACTCGTATCCATATGTCCTTTTCTCTTCCACATTTATTTATGGCTCAACATCCGAGTTTCAAATAATAATAATAATAATTTTAATATGGCAATAAGTAGGACGAGCTGAAGCGACATGTGGACTACTTTATTAACAATGTAAGCGATGGAGACGATGCAAGAAACAACCTAAAGGGTAAGGAAAAATACATGTAAGAAGAAAAAGGGCAATGGAAAAAAAAAAGATGATTCGAACAAGTTTTCGTACAACACTCTTCAGGAATCACCGTTGTACTAAAGAACAAAATGAGAACAAAGGAAATAATATAGCAATCAAGGTAGGGTGACACGATACAATGACAGCACTAGAATATCGAGGTGCGATTTCTCACAAAAGTGTGCAGAAAACAAGGGTATACAAGTAAGAACTAAGCGTGACAAGTGTGTATCAGCAACAAAAAACAAAAAAGTGAGAATGAATGATAATAATAACAATAATAAACAAGAAGGTGACAAAACACATTTAGGCACAAGTGGCAACAACGTTGCCACACTACACAACAGAACATTATTTGAACAATTTTAAGGTAATAACACTATCTTTCTGGACACACAAATTCGGCTTATGAATGCGCTGACAAACAGCTTCCAAAACTTGTAACTGCAAAAGATAACCATGACGAGCACGGCACAAAACAGAAAAACAGGAATCAGAATAAGTACGACAACAGTCAGTACTAGTCATTGTATCGTGTCACCCTACCTTGATTGCTATATTATTTCCTTTGTTCTCATTTTGTTCTTTAGTACAACGGTGATTCCTGAAGAGTGTTGTACGAAAACTTGTTCGAATCATCTTTTTTTTTTTTCCATTGCCCTTTTTCTTCTTACATGTATTTTTCCTTACCCTTTAGGTTGTTTCTTGCATCGTCTCCATCGCTTACATTGTTAATAAAGTAGTCCACATGTCGCTTCAGCTCGTCCTACTTATTGCCATATTAAAATTATTGTCTCCTCGTCGAATTTTTAAATAATAATAATAATAATAATAATAATTGTTATGTTTCTATTAGGCAGGAAATCTTATGCCAACCGGGCCAAACCCGTGCTTCACATTTCCGTAAAATTACGGAGAAACACAGGCGGCTGGTCGCGCGATCGCACCGCTAATTAGTTATCCAGCAATATCTACATTCCAACATTGGCCAATGGCGAGAGTTAATTTGAATGGAAGGGGCGTTAGTCAGCCATTGCAACAGGATTGACAAGGACAAAGGCCGTAGTAGCGGCAGAGAGACTCGGAAAGCAGTGCAACGGTCGACTGATCCATCACTGAGGATTCGTATGCGCAGCAAAAAGCGGGCGACAAAGTGAACTCTTTCCAAGAAATAATTATAACTTGATCAACACCGATGAGTGCCAGACGCCGCCGGGTGTTCTACATGCCATCTTCCTAACCCTTATCCCCGTTATCCCCGTTATCACGGTTATCCTGCGGTGCATGCTCCAATTCAAAAGACAAACGCAGCATCTATCAGGATTGCTCACAGCACGAGTCCAATGAGTAAAATAGCAGTGAAACGAAGTCGGGTTCGGCAGTCAACCCAGGGACGGCTTACCTGATTGCCTTCACGTGGTGTTTGGTCAAGCAGGCCAAAGACACCCAATCCAGTGGCGCAGAGACGCCTGGCAGCCAGCTCTTGCGGTTCAAACACACTTAGTTCGAAAGACGGTGGTTTTCCGCAAATTAAAAGGTCCCGGTGCCTGTAGCAGGCCTGGGAGCTGGAGGTTTGGGACCGGATCGATGGGATTCTTCCCTACTCTGGGGTAGATGTACTTGTCAGATCTCGAGTTGAAGATTAGCGAAGAAACTAACTCCACACACCCACACACACTCTCTCTCTCTCTCTCTCTCTCTCTCTCTCTCTCTCTCTCTCTCTCTCTCTGCCTCCAGTGAGGGCTTGCTTGGCCCTGGCTTAGAGCTCGGTGAGGCCACCATGAACGAAAGAAAACGTTCACTGACCTACGATCATCGTGCCTTTGCGTTCTCGCTGAGCAGAACTACGTCGGTCTCTCCTCATCCAGTGCAGCTAAGCATGTCGACCAGCTAGCAACTAACTTAGTCGACATTTCGGCTTGCTGTGTATCCAGGTATCCTGCTATCCATGCTCCGAGAGTGTACTGCTAAAGAGTACTGGTCAGTCGAGGTCCATTGCCTTGACAGCTGAAAAAGACAGTTTGGCAGAAGTGCCGAATGCTCCGCACCTGGTACGAGTCTCCTCTGGAGCTAGCCCCACACCTGGCTCATCCACTTCACTACGATCACGTCGTGATTTCGTGGCGCCACCCCAGGCAGAAATGCAGTTTCGTGTGCTTGGCGAGAAGTTCTCGGATGCGGAAATACTGCCCCATGAGTCGGCGATATTGGCCCGTGCCGGACATCGACCGTAGAGTGGTGTTGCCTGTTGGGCAGTGTACGAGCAATGCACGCTTACATGTACGCATGCTGTGAACATGGCCAGGTGTCCTTGGCTTTGAGTTTGGCTTGAACCAAAGTTCAGAGGAGAAGGCAGTGAATTTATTTCATGTCTGCACAACCGAAAGCAGAACTGGACCAGTATCTTTTGGATCTCTTTCAACCATTGCAAAGGAGCGCGTTGCGTTTCGTTCACCGTTGGATCTACAACGCTGGGCTAACTACTTACAGTCTTGGTGGTTGGATAATGAGCACGTAACGACCTTCTCTTGACCCTACTGCCATGGTGTCCAAGCTAGCGCTTTGCTTGATGCTCGCCATTATCTGGCACGAGTCGTCTACCCTGACAGTGAAAGCAGGCTCCATTCAATACAAGACCGATGAAACGAAACAAGATGCGGCAGAGGTAACCCAGCGAGATGATGAGTCGCGACAGCTTCCAAAGCCGACCGGCAATATCGGGTCCGAAGAAGATGCCGACACAGCTCACAGCCGCCCCGGACTGTCCTTTGAGGAAGGTGCGTGTGTCCTCTACCAGTACGATATGATCTTTGGCGGCCGCAAACCCAATGAGAGACGTCAACAAACTGCTGGCATTAGCACCGATGTAAGTGCAAATAATTGTTCGCATAACATCACATGATAAGATACGTGTAGGAAGGTCTGCCCTTTGGCATCGAGCACTGTGTAGCTACGTAGACAGAGGGGAAATTCTACTGTGTGACCTAGTAATAGTATACGCTTGTTGTTGTGTTGAAAGACAACCGGCGTGGTCCTTCAACTTCTAGATGCTGCACCCCTCGTGTGGGGGAAGGGTCTTCCATGAAAAGTTAAAATTATGTTTCATTAAGAGATTGAAAAATCGAACACAACATAGTGAAGCTCATCCATGTATGACGGAACCTATTGAAAATTTGAAAAATCATCGTCGGCTGGGCAATCTATTAATTTTAGTTCCAAGACCCATTGCGAAAAAAAGAGGACGAAATTGAATCTGAACAATCTGTATCTGGAGATAATCATAATAGCTGTGAATACCATTAACTGCGCACTCAGAATACTCCACAAGGTTCCATGGACGTTTTCTTGTGACAATGACAGGGCTGCCACTTGTCCTGATTTTTCGGAAACGCTCTGATGTTTACAGGTCATGCCGACACACCGACCGAAACCTATCTTCACTTTCTTACACGGATTGTTCACGAAAGTGCCCTAGTCTATTGTTTCAGGCACTTTCAAAAATTCTAGACATGCCTTGGCTTATAGTGGTAGCACTGTGTCCTGACCCCTCAGCGCATGCCCGGGGACACCCACGGACCTGTTTCAGATTTCTTCCGCCAGAAAGGGTGGCCAACATAAATACAAGTACATGTACCCGGTGCACACAAGGAATGTGAAACATTTAGGCAGAACATAGCGTATGAACGCTAGCCTGATAAAAATATTGTAGGGCATGACGAAGTGAGAACATGGAATACCCGAACACGGAACTGTATGAATTACGGAAAGAGTGTGAGTGCAATGACGGTGTCTTTCTGAATGCAAAAGTCTGGCTGGCACTCGTGAATTTAAACGGTTTCTAGCACTTTCAATTGAGCGAGAAGAACTTTTTTCTATTCATCGTTGCTCGACTAGATAAAGCTGAGCTATGCTCTATTGATGGTGTTCAGAGGTGTGCAGCTTGTAATGCCAGGAAATCTGCCTACGTGGCTGTACAGTGGTGCAGAATAGGCATTGCAATTTTCCCGGTCAGTGTCAAAAATGAAATGAAGTAAAATGTAGAAAAGCCGCTTTAATGCCGGCTGAAGGGAACCAACTTGAGCCATTCCCTGTATGATCCTTGATGGGAAGGGAACGAAAATGTTTGGATACTATAATGACAAGTGTTTTATTTGACTGGATGTGTGTGTGTGTGTGTGTTTGCGTGGATACTTGCGAACTAATACTTACCTTGGTTTGGAGATAGAGGGAACCTCCTTGTTGAAAAGCAAAGTAGTATCGACACTGTAGCTGGGCCAGGTTTTGCCTTTGTGATGTACTCTGACAAAGGGTCACTGACCGAAAGGTCATCATGACTGCATACCGTAAAGCACTGTGAGACAATCTTGGCAAATTTTGGAAACCTACAACTCTCAGGTAGCAAACTTAACGTAAAAATTAATTTAGGGCAGCTACCCAAAGCATACAAGGTTTTAGGCGGCAGCACTGTGTCCCGTTTTGATACTATGATTCAGCAAAGCTTCCTCACGTAATTTACAAAAGTTCAAAAGTGCTTACAAATATGTGTAGACATCCAGTGGCATACACTATACCTATCGCAGTGAGCCATGGAACTGATGAACTGTCTGTTCATTTCTCTGGTAATGTCAATATTTTCTTTCTTATGGAATCCGGGAGCTAGGAATGCAAATACCCGCCCGCAACCGTTGTGGGACAAGGCCAGTATATGGAGGTTGCTTGCCTGATGGGCTAAAACAGAGATTGCTAACTTCACTACTATACTAGCACTGCACGCGACAACTCCATTGCCAGGCTCTGAGTTCTGGCAAATATGGGCATGGTAAACGAACCGTGGTCGGGAAGCAACGATTCGTCGCGGTTTGGTGGTCGTCTGCTCTTCTTGCTGGACGATCTGAGACTGATTCAGCATTGACAAATGGTAGCTGTGAACACGTGTATCTCCGCTTGCTAATCATGTCAACCACTTGTCTGCCAGCCACACTGGCAGTTCACTTGGAAGGGGCGGATCCAGGAGAGGTTCCAGGGGTTCCGCGGAACCCCCTAAATTTCCTAAATGTACTACTGGCAACCATAGGAGTGTCTGTGTACACGTATCAGCTATTCAGTTTTGACTATACTGGAACCCCCCTGTAGAGATCGCTGGATCCGCCGCTGCTTACTACTAACATGCTATGCTGGTAGAGAGGTATGCCGAGGCTGCCTATTCTCTTCAATCCTCACATCACGGCAGTGATACGTGTGGATAAGTGAGAAGTCCGGCAGTTATCCATGGTTCACTTACTCAGTCTCAGGGGACATCGAGTGCATTGCGCACCTACCGCCACTCCAACCCACCCTGGTCGTAAGTGAAATCCAACAACATGAAAAGAGCGAAGCCGTGTTCACTGCACAGTCCACTGTTCATGGTATTAGGGCTACACAGACCCGGCGATGTTACAATGTATGCTCATGAAATGGATTTCGCTTGCCAGCTCTTTTCCACTTGCACTTGAACTGCGGTAGGCAGTCTTCGTCTAGACACTGGTGTCAGAACATCGCCACGTCCAAATGTTACTCATCACGGTCTAGTGGAGGAAACCACGAACATCATCTTCTTGAAGTTCAGCCCTGTGGTGAAGGAATCAGATGCACGTTTCCACGTTCCGAGCGAGTACACTGGGAAGTGGCGAATACCATAGTATGTAGAATGCACATGCGAATGTGCCAAGCGTCGGCAACTAGCATCTAATTATGGCACACATGATATCAGAGCGTCCAGACTGAAGAGAAAATAATTAATCGTGACCGGTGTTGACGGATGCTGCCTTTGTCGTTGCAAGATCAACGGACTACATGTACATGTATATGTGTTGTGTTGTTGTTCTCTGTATCAGTGTATCAGTGTATGACTAAGTACATGTAATGACTAATGGTATTGCATTGTCCGCTGGACTGGCTGACAGTACATGTACATACCCTTGCCAGGGAATGAACTATTGACGCAAATGATTGTTACCGGCTTACAGTTGAAATGAGCTAAGCACCGGCTGTCGCAGGTGCCCGACTGATCTGTAGTCGCACTGGTCCATGTGGTTATTCATTGAGGTATTCATGAGGTGTTCAGGTATTCATGAGTTATTCATGACTTCAGCGCTACGAGTACACCTCAGTACATACATACCAACTGTGAATACTCTCAATCTGCGGATAGAACTGTTTCGTCCTTTGTGGACAGTGATCAGGGAAGCACTGAGGAAATGAGGCCGAACCTGATAGCAGTGAAAAATGAATTTTCCAAAGCCAGATTTAAACGAGGCCTGAACGTACCTTAAGTGCATAAAGAAATTATCAGTTGGCCAGCCTGCCATACACATCTTCCTCACAACCAATGTTGATCTTGAATAACTATCGCGGCGGTCACTGATTGTTCATAGGCATCATGCATGATGAAAACAATGGTGACATGTTTTGGTCAACTAGTATGCTGTGGGGAAAATCAGGGGCAGTATTTTTCTGGCTAATTGCATATTTCAAGTCATGTCCATTCAGTAGTCACTTAGAACTGGCTTGCTGATTGCTGATGCAATGACGGCATTAGTAATATGGTCGGCTGAAGTCTTCCCCATGCTTACCTGCTAATTGTATTTTGCACGTTCATGGTACTAGACCGGCTGAGCCCAAGGTCGTTACCATACTATTGGTATGATATCTGACAAGCAGCTACTGACTACTGTGGCCAGCTAGTGTGGCCAAGTAAGGTTGTGGATAGCCTTTCACTGGCTTCAGAGCATGATAGATCACGGTGCATGTTTTTGAGAGCGTGTGGTCAGTGGTGACATGCCATGTTGACTACTGCTGTCACTCAGTGGCTATGCCAATGGCCCTAGTATGGGTATGGTGTGTCAACTACCAGTACTGGTGCTAGTAATAATTATGCTGCCACCGGGTTATGGGTTGCAGCCACCCACAGACAGTGCTCTGCATAATCCTCAACTCATACTAGTGCACCTGTGGCAAGTCGAAGTGAATGGTGATCACATGACAATGCATACGTATGTCAACTACCCTGCTGATATGAATGCAGTGCGCAGCACATTACGACAGCCCCGAATTGCTCAATTGTGGGTCGTTGATGTCTGCTAGGATGATTTTCCTGTGAAGGAAGGTGGACTTTCGTGGTGCGCCCTGACTTCCTTATTTGGTCATGAGCACAACGCCACAGTGAACCAATGCTTCGCGAGAGTGTGCATAGATGCCAAAGGCCCAGAGGCAATGTTTGACACAACAGTATATAATGCAGGTTGCTGATGGTCTAAAAATGGCGTGCAGTGCGAGTTGCGTTTCGGCGCTATTGCACACGCATTGTCCACTTGACCTGCACGCGGTCATGTGTGCAGGTCGTGTGAAACGACACATGCACTGTGCATCGCTCATGCGTTCGCATCTTGCCATCATGCGCTTGAAGTAGGAGATCGTGAGACTCATTTTCACGGACAGCACCATGCAAGATTAGTGGAGAAGACAAAGACAAAGGGGGGGGGGGGGGGTCGCATTAATGTCGACTACAGAGAACAATACCCATTGTGCCGAGTGCAATATGGAATATTACTGTCAATACTCATTGTGCCGAGTGCAATATGGAATATTACTGTCAATACCCATTGTGCCGAGTGCAATATGGAATATTACTGTCAATACCCATTGTGCCGAGTGCAATATGGAATATTACTGTCAATACCCATTGTGCCGAGTGCAATATGGAATATTACTGTCAATACCCATTGTGCCGAGTGCAATATGGAATATTACTGTCAATACCCATTGTGCCGAGTGCAATATGGAATATTACTGTCAATACCCATTGTGCCGAGTGCAATATGGAATATTACTGTCAATACCCATTGTGCCGAGTGCAATATGGAATATTACTGTCAATACCCATTGTGCCGAGTGCAATATGGAATATTACTGTCAATACCCATTGTGCCGAGTGCAATATGGAATATTACTGTCAATACCCATTGTGCCGAGTGCAATATGGAATATTACTGTAAATACCCATTGTGCCGAGTGCAATATGGAATATTACTGTAAATGATCTACAAGATAACACTACAGTGTGTGTGTGTGTGGGGGGGGGGGGGTATATGGAGAGGATGTGTGTGTGTGGGGGGGGGGGGGGGTATATGGAGAGGATGTGTGTGTGTGTGTGGGGGGGGGGGGGGTATATGGAGAGGATGTGTGTGTGTGTGTGGGGGGGGGGGGGGTATATGGAGAGGATGTGTGTGTGTGTGTGGGGGGGGGTATATGGAGAGGATGTGTGTGTGTGGGGGGGGGGGGGGTATATGGAGAGGATGTGTGTGTGTGGGGGGGGGGGGTATATGGAGAGGATGTGTGTGTGTGTGTGGGGGGGGGGGGGTATATGGAGAGGATGTGTGTGTGTGTGGGGGGGGGGGGGTATATGGAGAGGATGTGTGTGTGTGGGGGGGGGGGGGTATATGGAGAGGATGTGTGTGTGTGTGGGGGGGGGGGGGTAAATGGAGAGGATGTGTGTGTTTGTGGGGGGGGGGGGGTTATGGAGAGGATGTGTGTGTGTGTGGGGGGGGGGGGGGGTATATGGAGAGGATGTGTGGGGGGGGGGGGGGGGAGAAAATCAGTTAGTGCAGCTCCCTTTCTGATGACCATCATTTATTTTTTTTCCTGTTTGAACCGCTTTGAAGTTGTACATAGTCATTGAACTATTGAGGCAACAAACTGAAATAGATCAAAAACAAGCAAACAAAGTGCAGGGACTTAATACTGTGACTGCTGGTAAAGTTTTATTAGTCTAGAGTAATGAAAAGGTTCAGGGGTACCTTCATGCAAAAATTTCACATTCAAAGTCTGGCGAGAACCACTTTTAAACAGGTACCCAAATGTTGACTTACGAGTAGATGCAAACCGTAGGGATTAATACAATCATGTAAGTATCCAACCCGACCCATGGCAGTCCTTAAAAGCCCAATCTAGCCCTATTACAAGTGAATGGGTGATCGTAATGTGATATTATGGCTGCATGGGTAATAATTATAGGACCAGTCAAGGATCACAAGAATTAGTGGAGGGTGATATAGAAGAGTGATTCCGCTGTGGTGTAAACCGTGCTGAAAGTGCATTCTTCAATAGAAATTGGATCCAGCCTGTCTGTGACATGCTAGTAGTGGTTGCAAGACCTACTGGACCTGTGTGTGTGTGTGTGTGTGTGTGTGTGTGTGTGTGTGTGTGCATGCACTGGCCCGAAGTTTTGTTCCCGGTCTTTTGTTTTAATCTGTTTGGAATAAATCACTGTGTGATATGTTCTGCTGTAATGTGTTCATACCCGTGCACAGGTGGAAATGAAGACAGTTCGTCAAGTCTCTACAAATCCAGACATGTGGCTAATAAAGGCGACAATTTCTCGTCCGCGCCCATGCATAGGTGGACAATGTCAGGGTGTTGACCATGAGCTGCAGGAAACACTAGCTGGTGAACTCTTCTTTGAACAAGATACCACTGGCCATATCACTCACATCCTATTTCCAAAGGATGATCATGTCAACGCTAATGTTTTCAAGAGAGGTATGTTTTTTAGGTCGAGGACATGGTTTCTGGGACCCGGTGAGCAAAGTGTTTTGCAGTTACATCCCGTTTATTTTCATTGAAGCTCACACATGCAGTTTTGTGATACTATACTGTGACCTCCCTTCTAGACATGTTATGTAGATGAGTATGAATCATCACGTGGACAGGCTTTTGCCTCCCCCGCCATTACTGCCTCGGTCCAGCACCCTTCACTTAACACCATTATATGATTAAGATTATCGGCAATGTGAAATTCGACGGGGCCTTTGCCTTTTACACCAGAGGGTTGTCCTTAAAACTTACAGTGGATTATTACTCGAGGTCATAATTTGGAGAGGGAGAGATAGAAATAGAGGGAGTGAGCATTGGCAAATTTGTTTGTACTTGGACAGTGCCAGTTTTCAGGTAAAAATAGGTAAACTCGGAATGACATGATTTGGTTAACTAGTGCTAAAACATGGCCATTGTTTCCTTCCCATCTTTCTTTCTCTGCAGGTCTACTGGCCAGTATCCAGCTGAACATATCAAACCCTGAAGTTCGGAGCTACATTTCTGAGGAGACGGGAGAAAGTGGCCGGTACAGGTCAAACTACACCGTCCACTCAATGGAGGTCAACAGTCAAGGCAAAATGTCAATTGACCTAACTAAAACTGTGTCTGGCAAGGACTTCCTGCAGTTTGCTCATCCAGCACTGGAAGAAGGCACAAGTACAGCTCAGTACGAATTCGACTTTGCCATCAAGGAAGGTGTCCTGGATTCAGTGGCTTTCAAATACAACAACCATCCTGGCTCAAAACCAGCTCGCCGATACGAGAAAAACCCGTCACCGGCGAGTGACTTGGAAGTGTTTGCGAGAGGACAGCTGAAAAAAACTGGCTCATGCAGCTCATCAAGATGGCGACGTTCGAGTGAGACAGACAGCGCCGTCCGTGATGCTTATGTGAAGGAAAGCCTAATGCACACAACGGATCTCCACCAATTGCCATACTTCAGCTACCCTACTGATGAAGATGAAACGAAAGAGGCCAAATCGCCTTCAGAGCATCTGTCATACTTTGCAACTTGCCTGACCAATGCCCAAAAGCCTCATGATGAAGGAGACTGTCTGAAGGAAGTCCTAACGGAAGCGTCAGAGAATGATGCCGTAGTCTCAGAGGCAACAAGCCGTCTTTGTTCTGGTCACGTTTCGTCTAGACTTGAGCTCCGAGTTCAACTGGCTGCATCTCTACTCAATCTGAACGCTCAGCAATGTTTGGCTCGAGTACTACTGAATAGCACGCAGCCTCATGAGCACATTAGCGACATCTTGTTGGAAGGTCATTTCATAGATGACGTTCATCACAGCTTTGCCTCGGCCATCTTAACAGTGGCAGAGCAACATTCTGATCTGGATGTGCAACTTGCTGCGACACTGGCACTTGGATCGGTGAGTCACACAATCAGGGACGAGCATCCCGCACACAAGGCGGCAGCTCTGAAACACATCCAGAGCAGACTGCTTATATCACCAGTCCACCTGTCCCACGAGGACCAGGAGTCCTATACGCATGCTCATCTGGCAGCGCTTGCCAACAGTCGCGAGTGCAGCACTTTCTACAGCTTGCTACCTTGGCTGCGTGATGAGCGCATTGGCGTACGTCAGACCGCTCTACATGCACTGGCACATTTCAACTGCACGCGAGCGGAGGATTTGTACGTGACGGAAATGCAACACGTGAATGCGACTAGCGACGACAAGGCCGTCATTGTGCATAGCCTGCGCACACGACACCGGAACATTGGCATCAAACCATCCACCTTGCAACACATACGCGAGCATGCTCTTGCTGAGATTGGCTCTGAGAGCCCCATGGAATCTGCCCTACGTGCTTTCTTTGAGAAGAATGAAGAGATCACAGACGAGGACTTCGAGTTCTGGCAATCGCTTCAAGCGACTGGAAAGACGGTCAGAGAAACGAGGCAGCGCGTAAAGAGAGCAGTGACAGTACGCCAATTCCTCAAGCCCCTCGTTGATGCCCAAATTGGTATTAACAAAGAATGGAGACCCCAAAAGCTGGGATTCAAGTATGCGTCTGCTGAGGCCAGCTTGGTGCTCCGTAACCTTCTCAACGTCTACCTCTCCGTGTTTGATGGCAAAATTGATATCGACATCTACAACCAAGGTCTAATTTGGTTGAACGCATTCGGCACAAAGTACGACCTAGTTGATGGACTTGTGGAATTCAGCGCTGCCCTCACCTACAAAAACCTCATCCCGCCAGACCTGCTGGATTCAGCCTGGGCCGTGATAAGCAATGCTGCCTCATCCATCAAGTCAGCGACGCAGGTCGTCATGCAGCAAATACACAAGTTCATTGACCTTCTCGAGAGCTACATCCAGCCCATTGCCAAGCTCATCACCAATCCTCTCATAGAATTTGTGAAGCCGGCCAAGAAATTTGTGGACAACGTGGACAATGCTCTTGCCAAAATCGAGGAAATGACCGACTTTGATAAGTTGGCCAAGAAGCTGCTGGATCAATTGCCACAGCTCCAGTTTGTAACAAAGACATTCAATACTCTTCAGAACGTGTACAACGTAATCCAGAGTAAATTCGACAAACTGGAAGGAGTCTGCAACAACATCACCGGCCCAGTGTCCGGTGCCATCAACAAAGTTGCGGATCGCATCCAAGACACTCTGACTGAAATCCAGTCCTCTGCTCTGCTCATCACGGACACTGTCTTAGATAAGACGGTGAACGCCCTGGACACTGTGGAAAACATGTCGACAAACATCATTCAATCCATCGACATTATGGGACAAGTAAAGACCGCTTTGCAGCCTGCCCTGGATTTTGGAGATACGACATTCAAATTTTCCTTGGTTGTAAGCTGGAGCACAACTCTTCCAACGGAGATCAATAATGTCATAACGGACTTGAATGTGACCGTTGAACAATCCAAGGATGCCATTCACAACTTCACAACATACGGCATAGCTTCAGGCACACCAATAGCAGTGCGGCAAAAGATCAAGCAAAAGTTTGCATCGGCCATTACCTTCGTTAACAACTCCATCAACAAAGCTGATGATAAGATTGAGCAGCTGAAGACCATTGCAGATAGTGCACTGACTTTCTACAATAACCTTGATCAGAAGGGTGGCCCGGCTATTAACGCGTTGATTGCAAAAGCCGATAAGGCTATAATCATTCTGAGTGACATCAACGCTGCAGCGTCAAGGAAGTTGTCGTCAACTGTGCAGACTGCCATGGTCAAGTTGCAGCAAGGTGTGAAAATTGCAGAAGACAAAGGTGCTGCACTTTTGAACAAAGTTGACGAGTTGATCCTTACCGTTGAGAGCAAGGTCAATGCCTTCATTGACGATGTTGCTAACGCTCTACTGAACTCGTTCATGGATGCTGGGAAAAGGGTCAATCTTGGACAGCTTTTGGACAAAGCCAGCAACCTTCTTCAGGAACAAGTGACAAAGCTGGCAACATTTGTGAACGACTTGATCGCCCTGAAGATCAAGCCCTACATACAGAAAGCTATCAATGCCGTGCAGGGCTTTATCAATGACAAGGCAGAAGTCGTCATCGAGTTCACGTTGAAGAAACTTAATGACCTCCGCAACTGGGTACTTGATAAGAGCAACAGCACATTTGGAAAAGTGCTGCAACTGTCACGTGATGTGTTGGATGGTGCAGCTCGCTTCTCAAAACATCTCAAGTTTCTCGGCCCTACTGGAGAATCCGTCCATAAATTTGTCCAGATGGCTAACAACATTGTTGTTGAAGGAACTCGAATCGACTTCATCGCTAACCGCCTGTATGATGCCTACAACAAGACAACCAAACTGACAGCTCCGCTACAGTCCCTAATCAATCAGAAACTTGACTTGGTTTCTGGGCTTGTCTCTCAAAAGGAAAGTGAAATCAACGGTCTAATCCAGAAGACACGGAACAGCATCAACATTATGAGCAGGATACAGTCGTTGGTACAGGAGTTCAAAGCTTACAGTCGCTCTCTAATTTCGGACGGCGTCTCTGTTATCAGATCTCGGATAAAGAGCTACCACACAATATTAGCTGATGTGGCAGATCAAGCCAGATCCAAAATCAACCTGGCCGGCGAGTTTGTCCAGTTCAAGATAAATTCAACCAACATTTTGCCCCAACTCACTGCTCTCAAGACAATTGCTACCAAAGTTTCAACCTACCGACAAACACTAGCAAGAATTGTCAACACAACAGTACCGATTGTGGAGCGCTACTATAAAGACTACAAAAGCCTGCGCTCCAGTGTACAGTTTATGCTGAACGATCACATGTCTCAACTGGATGACTATGTCAACTTCGTCTGCGTTCCTGGCTCGGTGTGTGTGACGGATGTATTGAAGGATGACTTGGCTGTTGTCGTCAAGGCAATGAATACACTACAATCTCAACTTGGCACCGTGTCAAACTTTGTGAATAATGACTTGGGTTTTCTGAAACAAGGCACCCTTTCATTGACAAAGACATTCCAGCCGTTTAAACCGCTCCAGCAAAAGGCACTGAAGTATATCGCCTATTTCGCGAGCCTGGAAAAGCTGGCAAAGGACAGTGTGTTGGGTGTGCTGACAAAGACAATTGGCAAACTTAGATCAAGCGTTGAAGTTGTGAGAAGCACAATAACATCGACAGTTACAACAACTCTCTCTAAGGCAATTGGTCCCGGTGGTTTTGTGGAGAAGATGCGGACATTTGCAAATGACATCAGCACATCATGCTCCTTCGTCAATCGACTGTCATCGGTTATACCTAATCCAGCACAACTTAAACCTTGGCTGACAGCGGTTGCCTTTTCTGAGGCAATCAAGCTGTTCAAGAGCTCCTCAGTGTACAGGGCATACCAGACAGCATCTGGCTATCTTCAACAAGCCAGAGAGGTGGTGAGAGCCGTGAAGGGTGTACTGAGCTTTGACATTGTCTCCAAGGTCACTGGCTTCCTCCAAGACATCCTAAAGATCCCAAGAGATATCCTAAAGAAAGTGAAGGCATTCCTGGACAGCCTGCAATGGCAGAGCCGCTCAATTGACCCCTCAACATTCAAGCCGTGGTCCGACTTGAGCCAATGCTCAGATACTGTGTGTATTCGACAATTAGCGCGCTCTACAATAGCTTACCGTGACTACGTGGCACCGCTGAAGTACATTCATTTCTTCACACTGTCTCGGCAACAATTCATAATACCCGGCCTGTACGAAGATTGGAACGCTCAAGGCATCACCATGCTGGACAGGGACAAGGACATTGTGCTGCAGACGCTATTTGGCACTGACTTGAATGCCGGAAAAACACCACTGATTGTAGCAATGAACAAGAAAACCGGAGCATTCCTCAAAATCTACACAATAACGGATCCAATGTCCAAGCTGGAAACAACTCAGTTTGGTATTGCTGAAGCCGGGAACTATATCTACCTCTTCGGTTCGTATCATGTCTCCAAAAAGCGTCGCAGTGTTCTGCATGCCATTTTGAAATCAGACTTCCTGTCAACGCTCAGCACCCCGGGTCCATCTGGTGTTTCGATCAAGAACACTTACCATCCAGATGTGTACGGGTATGGCGTGTATTTCGAGAAATCAAAGGGCCTCCTGTGGCTGAGTGACTACTACGACATCCGTGGAAAGGAAGATATTCCCAAGAGCCACAAAATCGGCGAAGGCGGCATAGCCATCGGCGTGAAGCTCAACAGCGATGGCTCAATACAATCCAGGTCAATGCGTCCGTCTGCTGCTTTGCTCGTTGGTCCTGGTGTCCAGGACTTGGTCGTTGCAGAACGTCCTTTCGGCCGCTATGCTGCACTGCTAGTCTGCATGAAGCAAATCGGCTTTGCATGCCGTACCGACTTCAGGAAGATACCAGTCAGTGGTTCGTCCTATCCCTACAAAGGAGTGTCGATGAAATCCCTCCTCAAAAAGGATCCTTCTCGCTCTGTGCGTGTGCCTGATGGTGCATGTGGACTTGGATACACTGGTAAGATTGACGATAATCTTGTCATCACGTTTGACAGCGGTGCGCAAGCTAACCAGGCTAACATTGCGCTCTCCATTGCCGATGTTGAGGACAGCAGCTGGACATTCACGTTCCCTGTAATGGAACAGCAATTGGATCCGAAGAAAGCGGTCATAAAGAATCAGCGCTACCTGAAGGTTTTGAATAAGTACGTCGTATCTCCTAAGCCTCTTATCAAATTTGGAAGCGATAAGTATACCGCCACCAAGAAAAACAAGAAGCGAGAGAAGCGGTCACCTGATGATCCTTTCGATGGTTGCTTCACTACTGGCGGTGTTCTTCTCAAACCAAAGCTGAAGAGACTCCTCACGTACAGAATCTACTTCGTAGTGTTTGTCATCCCGATGGATTTCACAATGCTGATAGATGCCGGCTGGGGTGTGGATTACACAGCTGGCTTATGCCTGGCAGACCGCAGTATCAAGGGGTCAGTCATCCCCTATGCTCAACTGGATATTGCCGGCCAGTTGGCGGTCAACGCTTTTATTGTCCGATTTGGAATTGAGCTGCGCGCTACCATCATGAAGACCCAGTTCCTACCGACCGTGTCCCTCGGCTTGACAACCTCCGGTGCACTGAAAATCTGTTTGCTTGTTGACGTTGACGCTACTGCACTGACACTGTCGCTGCGGGCCTTTGTGAGCTTCAGGATTTGCATCAAGTGGAAATGCCTCGGAGGCAGCACCCCGATCTGCATACCTTGGTTCGACTGGTGTGACCCTCTCTATGCTACTGTGGCATCCTTCAGCGTTGGCCGTTTCAATGCCAGGGTTCTGACATTTTGCCTGAAGCCTCCAGATAAGACCTACCCGAACCCAGGAACATTGCAGGCCAAGCAAACATCTAAGGATAGTATCTTTTCATCTTGGGAGGGCTTCAACGACCCGGAGTCTCAAGAACTGAATTATGATATCAGTGTGGGAACCTTTGCTGGTGGAAAGAACATTCTGGCCCAGACCGACCAGGCATCTGCATCAACAGCCTCTCTCGGAAGTCTCTCTCTGCCTCACAACAAGCAAGTGTTTGTCACGGTCTATTGTCGCAATGAAGAGACCCTTATCACTCCAGTGACATCCAAGCCATTCGTAGCCGATACAACATCACCATATGTGACACTGCGCGATGGTAACTACACGCACACTGGTGATGTGGACTATCAGTGGAGCACGGATACCCTTCAAGCCGTCATGACTGTCAGTGATGAAACACCTATCGCCAGTACAGACTGGGCAATAGGCACTAAACCTGGTGCAAGTGACGTGCAGCCATTCATAAATGCTGGCTACACAAACGAATTGGTGAACACTGAGCTGAATCTGCAACACAATCAACGCTACTATGTCACTGTGGTCTCCACCAATAAACTTGGTATGGTGACTACAATGAGCAGTACCGGAGTGCTCATCGACACAACCCACCCTGTGGCAGGCAAGGTCATTGAAGGCTCATATGTCTATGATCAAAAGAATGATAAGGACTACCTGATCTCGACGGTGAACATCAAGGTTGCTTGGAGTGGTTTCAGTGATCCTGAAAGTCCCCTCGTACACTATGAATGGACGATTATAGACTATGCCGGTGATGAGCTGTTTGATTGGAGGTCCGTTGGCCTGAGTACCAACGCCTATGCAAATGGTCTGAAAATGAAGCAAGGCCAAACGTACCGCACGTTTGTCAGAGTGTGGAACAGGGCTGGTCTCATCACAAACGTTACATCAGATGGATTCACTATTGACTACACCTTTGCGGAATGCACCCCTGTCCTGGATCTCACTGATGCAACTGGACTATCTACAGATGTTGACTACACGGCAGTCTTGCCGCAAATCAAGGCGTCTTGGTCCTGCCAGGATGAGGAAAGTGGTCTGGTCAAATATCGTGCAGCCATCGGATCTTTCAAGGGTGGTCAAGATGAGCATCCGTATATGGATGTATCTATTGGCAAGAACAACACTGGATCTGTGACCTTCTCCTCCTTCTCAGTTGTACCCGGCAAGACCTACTACGTGCTGATCAGCGCCAGCAACGGAGCTGGTTTGGAACGCACAGAGTGGTCCGATGGAATTATGTTGGACATTACAGCACCCCATATTGCTCAGGGCTATCTTTACGACATGTTGCCCACTGGTTTCAATCGCTTTGATGAAGACTACCAAACTACAGCGGCAGCTTCATCCACCCAGTGGAAGTTTGTCTTCCTCGACTCAGAAAGTCCAGTCACCATGTATACCATTGAGCTAATGGATAGCGCTGGCACTGTACTTGCTGATGCAGACTACCCCAAAAGCATCACCGCTACCACAATCTCAGAGTTGAAGCTTGACAATGGTGGAATATACAAAGTCAGAATCAACTGCAGTAATGAGGCCGGGCTGACATCATCAACCGAGACGGACGGGTTTATGGTCGACATAACCGCACCTCGTGTTGGCATTGTTGGTGACGGACAAAAACTGGGTACCGACCTCAACTACTGGCACCATGCTACATCAGCATTTGGCAATTACAAGCTCTGTATGGCTACGAATGCATCTGACAACTGGCCTCCAGTGGGTGCAGTAAAAACACCTGACCCATCAACGTGCAGCAAAGACTCATGGTACGACTGGGAATCTGGTCTGCAGTACGCCGAGACAGCTGTTCTGTCGAAAAGTGGAACTCTAGTGATTCCATGGCAGTACGTTAGTGTGGATTTTGATGTGACTGGCAGAACAGGTGACTTGGTAGATGGTGAAAGCTATGTGTTTGCACTACGTCTCTACAACAAGGCTGGTCTGAAGAGTGAGGGAAAGAGTGATGGCTTTACGGTCGACACTACGGATCCCATCGTCAAGGATGTATTTGTCAGTGACCCGAATGACACCCTACCTCTAGATATGGTGAAGAGTGACTTTCTGGATCTGACTGTTCACTTCACAACATCTGATCCCGAATCGGGCGTTGTAGAGGACTACTGGTTCATTGGCACATACAGTGGTGGCTCAGACTTTATCCCTCCAACTAAGCCTCCAGCAAGTGGACAGCCCTCTGCTACTGTCGGTCCTCTGTTTGATGGACAGGCATACTACCTTACCATCACATCTCGCAACGGAGCCAATCAGATCACAAGCGTGACGAAGCGAGGATTCACTGCAGATAGAACGCCGCCGCAGCATGGTGTCGTCACGGATGGCTGGAGCAAAGTGGACAGCGACTTCCAGTCATTCAACAAGACACTGGGTGGCCAGTGGAAGTGGACTGGTGACAATGTGGGTTTGGCGAGCAGGGAAGTAGCTGTTGGATCCACTAAAACCACCGACGACATCATTCCCTTTACACCTGTATCGATAAGAACATCGTCGAAAGCTCTCACCGATGTGACTGGGTTACCAAGTGGAAAACCTCTCTACTTCCTTGTGCGAGAAACAGATCTGGCTGGATTTGTGACAGTGTCAGCTTCCAATGGTATCACTGTGGACTCATCTCCACCAGTGTGCAGTGGGTCTATAAGAGATGGCCTGCATGGTGAAGCTGCCTGGGTCACTCAAGACAGCTGGTTTGCAGCAAACTGGGACACTTGCACAGACAGTGATTCAGGAGTTCAGCAATACTACCTGGGCCTTACCGAGGATCCAACAGAGCTGGTAGATAGTGCATACAAGTTCAAAGCGGTCGGTATCACAAAGCAAGCCATCGTCTATGGTGCCAGCCTGGTGAACAACAAGAAATACTACAGTCTTGTGAAAGCTGTCAACAAAGCTGGCCTGTCAACAACGGTAGTAAGCAATGGCTTCCAAGTGGACAGCACGCCACCTAACTGTACACATGTGCATGATGGTTTGACTGGCAACGTCGACTGGACCACTACAGCAGGCATACTCAGCGTCAACTTTGACTGCACTGACCCAGAGAGTGGTATAATAAAAACGGAATGGGCAGTCGGAACGTCTCCGGGTGCACAGAATGTGAAGCCATTCTTTACTCTATCTAATACGGTCAAATCACAGCAGGATTTGTCCTTCACGATGAAGGAAGGTACTATCTACTTCAGCACTATTCGTGTAACTAATGGTCTGGGCTGGAAGGAATCCTACAGCAGTGATGGAATGGGCTTTGATAGCACCCCGCCAACCGCAATATTCATCAACGATGGAAGCAGTCGACAGGTGGATACGAATTACACGTCAAACAAGACTCATCTGCAGGCAACTTGGAACATTATCGACCTACAGAGTGGCATTGGCAGTATTGATATTGGTGTTGGATCTAGCCAGGGCAAGGATGATATTGTCGGATTTGTGAGTGTGCCAACGTCCAAAACATCAACTGACATACCAGGCAGTTTTGTGCAGAACACAATGTACTATACAACGGTGAGAGTCACCAACAAGGCCAGGCTGCAGGCAACACTGTCATCGGATGGTGTACTGTTGGACCTGACACCACCAGTGTGTACTCATGTCTACGACGGGTCCGTGTATGCTACCGACTTGCTGTACCAAGTAACCACTGCTACTCTCGCAGCAAACTGGCAGTGTTCAGATCCGGAGTCAGGAATTAGTTCTATCACGAGAACTACTCCAACAACAGCCATGTTACCATTGAAGCTGTCGGAGAATGTCTCTGTTGTGAGTGGCTACACTTTGGTCTCGGGGACAAAGTACACTGTGAACATCTCCCTCTCCAACAAAGCTGGTCTCAAGTCAGTGTATCAGACCAATGGCGTAATTGTAGACACAACACCGCCCAAGATAACCACTGCCAAGTTTGCGTACAGTCAGTCAACAAATGCCATTACTGGTACCTGGGTTGCCACTGACGTTGGCAGTGGTGTCCACAACTTCAGCTTGAAAATCGGTGATCAGTATGGCGGTGACAACATCCTCCCCACTACAACTGTCGGCAGTGTCACGACAATTTCCACATTGGACTTTGCTTCAGTTACCATCCAAGCCAACAAGCAATACTTCCTAACTTTGGAAGTCCAGGATAAGGTTGGTCTGAAGAATGTGCACAGCGCCAGAGTCACGACCGACACCACACCGCCAGTTTTCGGTGGCAAGATCACGGGCAACATCTTGTACCCAACAACAATAACATCATCAACGTCTGTTTCCGTGAACGTATCTGCCAGGTGGTACGGTATCACAGATCCCGAAACGGACATCAACAGCATTGAATTGGCAATGACAACGGACGGTACGTCCACCAGTTCGTACAGCACACTTAGCTACCAGAAAGTCAGCAGATCGGCAGCTGGTGGTATTGCTACCAGAGGCCAGGTGACTAGTTTCACCGTCACCAACAATGCCAAGTATCGCGTGATTGTACGTGCCACCAACGGAGCCGGTCTCTCATCGTACGGAAGCTCTGACGTGGTGACGGCATCGTTTGGTATATTTGTTGCTGGTGTGGTGAATGACGGGCCGGATGATGCCGACTCAGACTACCAAACTGTCACTACAGCAGCATGGTGCAGCTGGCAAGGTTTCCGCGATCCAACACACGGAATCGCACGGTATGAGTGGGGACTCGGTACAGCGTCTGGTCTTACTGACATCATCGCGTACAAAGACGCAGGATTGAAATCATCTGCGGGTTATGTTCACGGCCTGAAGCTAGTTGACGGCCGAACGTACTACGCCAGTGTTTGCGCAGTGAACAAGATTGGACAAAAGAAATGTTCCGAATCAGATGGCGTGGTGGTGGATCTAACTGCTCCTGCCATCAGCATGTTGTCGTTTAGCACCGCCAGGAAGTTTGTTAGCTCTCAAGAAGAAGTACGGGTGCAGTGGACGGCGTCTGACGCTCAGAGTTCAATCTCTCACTCGCTACTATCTCTTGGCACATATCCCCACGGTCACAATGTGCTGGATTCCAGCAATCTTGGCCAAAACTCAGACTTCATAATACCACCGAACTTGCTCGACAAACAAGGTCAGCCTATCTATGCCACTGTCAAAGTGTTCAACAACGCTGGACTGTTTGCAGTCACATCAACGTCGCAGTCACTGTCGGTTGATAACACTCCACCACGAGGTGGAGTGGTCACAGTTGAATTGAAATCCGATATTTTCAATCTGAAGTGGACAGGGTTTACAGACCTGGACAGCGGTGTAACCAACTACCGCTGGTGCTTGGGGAGCAGCGCCGGGCAGGGTGATGTATGGAACTGGACTGACGCTGCCATTTCGACAGTCGCCTCCACTGATAAGGTCAACGTGAAGCAGGGCAGTCTACTGGTGGCCACCGTCGAAGCTTTCGATGGCGCTGGTTTGAGCACCCAATCATACTCCGATCTGTTTGTCGTTGACAAAACTCCACCGGCCATGGGAAGGCTTTGGGATGGTCTTGAGGTGGGCGACATGGAGTACCAATCTGATGGACAGTTCATTGCTGCATCATGGAGTGGATTCAAGGATGATGAGACTGATGTCACAAAGCTTGAGATTTGTCTCGGAACGAAGGCAGGCCTGTGTGACGTCGTTCCAATGAAACACATCGGAATCGTCTCGTCGTTTACATTCAAGAATGCCAACATCACGGAAGGAGACAAATACTTCACAACGCTGAAAGTAACCAACGGTGCTGGACTGTCAACACAAGCGTCAACCAATGGTATCATTATCGACTCCAGTGCACCTGAGGAGGTTTATTTGATTGCAACCGAAGACGGAACAAACCACATTGAATACTCCAGGAGCAGCCAAATCACAGGGAAATGGCAGTTCAATGACATGCAGTCTGGTATCAGATCGTATGAATGGGCTCTGTGTAACAGCGAGGACAACACGGTGTGTCTACAGAACTTCACTTCGGTTGGCATGGCAACAAATTCGACCAATCCCAATCTTGCCCTCGTCAGCGGCCAATGCTATGTTGTGCTGGTAAGAGCTACTAACAATGCAGGATCAACAACAACAGTAATTTCTAAACCAATCACATTTGACTCAACGTCACCATTGCCTGGACAAGTGATGGACGGAAGTGGTCTAGCAGATGCAGATTATCAAAGTACAGCATCTATAGCATCTGCCAGCTGGACAAAGTTCAGTGATGTTGAAAGTGGTATACTGACGTATGACTGGTGCGTTGGTAGTGCGCTGGAGAAGTGTGATGTGCTAGCATGGACCACAGTTCAGGGCGCAGACTTGAAGGCAAGTGTATCAGGCCTGGCATTGGCACATTCCGGCACATACTTTGTGGCCGTGAGAGCTACAAACAGAGCAGGTTTGTTCACTATCTCGCACTCAGACGGCATCACAATCGACACGACGGAACCAGCATGCACCTTGATCCGAGACGGCAGTGCACGAACTGATTCCGACTACCAGAGCTCTGTCAATCACGTCTCTGCTTCATGGGATGCCTGCACCGACGCAGAAAGTGGTATCGTGGACTATGAATGGGCCATCGGTTCCAAAGCCGGGTACAGTGACGTCTTGGCATTTACCAGTGTTGGTTTGAACACAGATGCTAATGTAATGCTGAGGCCTATCACCAGTGGAAGCAAGATATTCGTGTCCGTGCGTGCAATCAATCCTGCTGGAAGAAGTAAAGTGATAACGTCCAATGGTCTCACCGTTGATTCCTCTCCACCGACTATTGCCAGTGTGGGTGCCGGTCCCAGGAATGCAGTGTACGGTGCCTACGAGAGCATACAGTCCACATTTGCAGCCCACTGGACAACATCTGATGCAGAAAGTGGCATAGGCAAGAGCGAGTGGTCCATCTGCTCGCTTACGCCCACTGGTGAGCATTGCATTCAGAACTTCACCAATGTCCTGAAGAACACCAATGCCAGCTCCTTCAATTCTCAAATCAAACCCGGTGTCTGCTACTTTGCGAAGGTGAAGGTAACGAATGGTGCCGGTGCAGTCGCCACTGCTGACTCAGCTTGCACTACTTTTGACTGGACGCCGCCAGAGACTGTCATAGCAAGCAAGAAAGCCGACCGAACATCTATAACGTATGTCAGCAAGCTGGAAATTAGCACTGCATGGGAAGGTTTCCTAGACCATCAAAGTGGTATTTTGAATCAGTCTTGGTGCATCGGTTCATCACTGACTACTCTCGATGATGTCATGCCCTGTACACCAGTGGACACTAAGACGACAACTGCAGTCTACAACTCAGCCAAGCTGAAGGAAGGAGCGACATACTACACGACAGTCCGGGCAGCGAATGGTGCTGGCTTAACACGCAGCATCCTGACAAGTGTTGTGGTGATTGACTTGTCGCCACCACGTACTGGTCTAGTTCTGGATGGCCTGAGTGATGTGGACTCTGATTACAGTAGCAATACAGTAGCGGTGGCAGTTTCCTGGGCATTGTTTTCCGATAACATCAGTGATATAGACCACTATGATGTGGCTGTAGGATCAGCACCAGGATTGACTGATGTTCGCGATTGGACCAACGTTGGTGTTTTGCTGGAAACAACATTGGCGTGCACACTGAAGACAGGTGACACGGTATACCCCACCGTGAGAGCCTGGAACAAAGCCAACCGGTCAACGCAGCTGTCCACCGATGGTGTAAAGATTGATGCTTCACCGCCTCGATCCGGTCTGGTTTGGCTGGATAGCAGTGTGGGATACCAATCCGACTTGACGGGCATCTCAGCCAGTTGGAGCGGATTCATGGATAGCGACAGTGGAATAACACACTACATGCTCAAAGTCTGTTCTCTCTCCTCCAGCAGATGTCCACTGAACTTCATCAATGTTGGCAAGCATATGAATGCCACGAGTTCAGTTCGGTTGCTAGATGGTGATACGTATGTTGTTGTAATCCGGGCATACAACGGAGCAGGCCTGTTCACTGAAGTCACATCTCTTTCATCTGTAACAGTTGACTCAACGCCACCAGAGGTCAACTTTGTGTATGATGGCTCAACTCTCGGATCCGATACAAGCTACCAGACCAATGTATCTGAGTTGTCAGTGAATTGGAACATCCAGGACAGTGAGAGTATGATTGATTCCTTCGAAGTTTGTGCTCATGAGGAAGATCATCGCAACATCTCAATCATTTGCAAGAAGATATCAAATAAGATGGCAACATCCGCTACCCTCTCTCTACCTCTTACTGATTTGAGTCTTTATGTTGTGAAGGTGACTGCTACCAATGCTGCAGGAATGTCTACTGAGGTCTTCACTAATGGTGTTGAAGTTATTACACAAGCTCCACCAGCTGGTGAAGTATATGATGGTACTGGAACTGAAGACATTGACTATCAATTTAGCAAGACAGAGTTGTCCGCTAGTTGGAGTGGCTTTGCACACAATCACACAGACTCCCTGGAGTACACATGGAGCATTGGCACTCAGCCGATGAAGGCCGACATTCTGCAACCGACAGCTGTTGGGAAGGCAACAAGCGCGGTGATGACGGGATTGCAACTGCAGCACAACCAGATGTACTTTGTATCCGTGACCGGTACGAACAGGGCAGGATTGATGACTACGGTCACGTCTGATGGTGTACTTGTTGACCGAACGCCCCCACGTGCGGCCCAAGTCTTTGACGGCTTGTCACAAGATCCTCAACAAGAGCTGGACTATCAAGTGGATGCCACTACAGTCAGTGCTAATTGGCTGCCGTTCAGCGACAGCGAGAGTGGAATTGACCGTTATGAGTTTGCTATTCTAGAACAAAAGCGTTCTACAGACGGCGATTCATGGCTACAGGCAGTTTCAGTGCAGAATTACAGCACTGCTGGATTGAATACAAGTATTGTGGCATCTTCTAATTTGCTGCTTCCAGAGAGGAGATATATCATTGTGATCCGAGGATACAACAATGCGCAGAGGTTTGTGGAGGCCCGTAGTGATGGCTTCACAGTAGAGGTACCAGCTACCCAGTTTAGCGTTGAAGGTTGGTCAGGTGGTGAAATCTATGCGTCGTCGTACGTCAGTGACCCGGTGAATATTGCCTCGTCCATTGTGTTGTCTGGAAATGTCAGCACTGCTAATGGAACAGTGGCAGTTGGTGCTGACGCAATTGCTGATGGTCGCCACGCTCTCGACCCAAGGACCGTGTATCACCTATCCATTCCAAGCATTGAATTGGGCAACTCTACCACCAACAACGACACAACATTGGCAACAGACTACATCCTGACCGGTGACTATGCAGGTCAGAACATCACCATGGGTATTTTCGAGGATTCGGACTCGCCATGCTGTGCTTCTACACGCCGTGCTGCTGACACATTTGCCTTTGGCACACAGATGTCTGTGGTGGGTGTCGATGCAGCTCTTTCCACTGTGGCGATCTCGTCGTCTGGATATATTTCACTGGGAAGTGCCAGCCAAGCTCTTGTGTTCCATGCCGATCTTCCTTCGGAGTTGCTGTATCGCCTGGAGGAAGCTGCTGACAGCGACAACACAACAAGTTGGTCCAGTGCTAGTGATGGCAACTCACTAGTCTTGATGTCGGCAAATCGACTTGAGAACCTAGTGTTCAGTGGAGCAACACCAAGTAAACCAGCAGTGAGCCAAAAGTTGAGTGTATCTGATATTCCAAATGCTGTACGTCTCCACACGCCACTTGTCATCACCAACACGTACACTTTCTTTGTTGTGGAGATGAATGGCGGAAGCTATCTACCGTGTCCATTTGACTCTAGTGGGTTCTCACTGTCGGAGTGCACTCGACCTGTTCAGGACAGGAATGATCTGCACATTGATGGAACTGACGACTTACTTGCTATTTCACAATCACATCTGGATAGTGTGACTCTACTAGTAAGGACTAGCAGTGGTCGCTTTGTAAACAACTGCACAATGCCATTCAATGGTCCAGTGCAATCTGTGAAGCTGATGAACATCGGCACAGAGAACTATCTAGCAGTGGGACTGGGAAGCAAGAGCAGCAGCCCTGCATCCAGCAGCTCTAGCGGCGAGGTCAGGGTCATCAAACTCACCAGCCAGTCAGCAACACTTTGTCCAGCACCGACCTCTACACCACAGTGCACACTTAGAGGAAAAAAGCTCAGCACGGAACGATTTGGCAACTCACTGCAATGGCAGGCTGATGCCAGTGGTGACGGTGGAGTACTGGTTGTGACATCAAATACCACTCAAAAGGACTATATCAACATGGTTGATGTCCAGCTGGATCAACAAAAACAACGTGTAGTGTGTACTGGAATTGGACGTACAGAGAACACCGCTTCAACAGATGGCAACATTGGAACAGACTCGGTCTCATTCGGTTACGAGCTACTAGCGAGCATACAAGCAAACAGTACCATTCAAGTGGCACCATTCTGCAATAGAAACAACAGCAGACAAGGCACATCAGATCTGCAAAGATTGCCATTGCAGTGTAAACCGTGTGAAGGTGGCTCCCTTTCCAGTGGTGGTGTCTTGGACGACTGTCGCTTCTGCGACAAATCTGCGTCGTGTCTTCGTCCAAATCAAAAGCGTATCAACACAGTTGTGCCTATTGTAACTGGCCCTGGATTGACCCAGGCTGAAAGGTATGTGCTTCAGGTGAACTCAACTAGTCCGTCTGGAAGAAAGCTGTCTTCAACATCAGCTGTGTTTGAGCTGGATGTAACACCTCCAATTCCCGGTGATGTGCTTGATGGCACTGATGGAAACGACGCACAGTATTTGGACGTGAGCACATTCGATATGGGCTGCACATTCGGTGGATTTGATGACGCAGAGAGTGGAATCAGAGAATATTATTGGTGCGTTGGTACAACGCCTGGAGAGTGTGACTTCATAGCACTAACGCCGACAGGAAACACGTCGTTTGCGTCGGGTTGTTCAGACTGTAGGATTGTTGACAAGCAAACATACTATATAACCGTAGTGGCGTACAACTGGGCCAACCTGTCAGCTAACGCAACATCTAATGGACTGGTCGTGGATCTCACTCCACCTGTCATGACGGTGGTGAACGACGGCTATTTCCCACCAGATGAGATACGCATGGTGTTCACCGACGCTGTGCCAACCAACTGGATCGGAGCGGACGAAGACAGTGGCGTGCGCCTGTACAGGATCTCGGTCGGAACGACGCCAGGTGGAAATGACATGGCTTCTGGCGTTGAGGTGGGAGTCACTACTCAATACATTGTTCCTAATGTCAAGCTCTTGGTCAACTCAAAATACTACGTTACTGTCGAGGCTGAGAACTACGCTGGTCTGACATCTAACATGACTTCCAATGGCTTTGTCGTCGGTGAAAGTCTTACTGAGGTGGAAGTGTCCTTCGACGATAGCACTTTCATCTATTTTGACTCCACCGATCTGTCTTCAAGTGTCGGTGGTGACCGACTGAACGACAGCAGCGGAGAGTTGCTTGTCAATCAGACCGACTCCATAGGTGCTTATAAATTCAGCGCAGTTGACTACAATGGCGGGCTGAATATCACCGGACGTCGGTTGGAGAATCGTGACTTCGCCACGGGATCACGCCGGAAGCGAGGTGCCGGCCCTTCGTACGTCGACCCCGCCAAAACTGCTCCAAATGTAAGCACGTCTCTGATGTGATGTCCGCCATTGCCGTCTGTTGTCTTGTAATTACTATGCTTGCCTGAACCCTCCATATGCTGATGTGATAACATCAATGTTATCCTTTTTGCCACATCGGAGCCTTGTGTCAAAAACCATTGTTTCTGATAATCACTGGAATGTTTTTTTTCTGACTGCTGTGGCTGGTGATGTGTGTACATGTACGTGCATTTCTGGCTTTAGCTGCACCAGGTTTGCTGTCACTGCTCATGCTATTGCAGTCATTTCTGGTTTGCCATGGTGGTTTTAGGAGGTATGCTTGCTGGGTGACCGCGGGCAGTGCCCTCGAACTGTTAAAAAAGCTCCTGGGTTCTGCGTAAAACCTCTTGTGGTCACTATGAACTACATGTACTTCAAGTAGAGCTTTGGTAATTTTATTGTAGTTGGAAGTTGTCAAAATTCCTTTTTTCACATCTGGATTGATGATAAAAAATATGCAGTTTCTGAAAAATTATCCAGGCGAATGCCTAATGGTGATGAATTGCAGTTGCAGATTTTACCAAACCTGGAGGAGAAAAAGATAATTATGGTATAGGGCAAAGCGTTGCGCACTGCTTTACAAGGGATGCTAAATTGTTCCTCTTGTTTGCCGATGCTGGGATGTTAAATTGTTCCTCTTGTTTGCCAATGAGGCTGTGTGACGAGAGCAGCGCATGTACATGTACTAACTCGTTGCGTATATTTGTGTTCTGTACAGGGTTTGATGAGTGCCGACTACACCTTTGATTTGAAACTGTTCAGTAGTGATAGCAGCCTTATCACTGAGCCAGTCAAGGTCCGTGCCAATCTCACCGAGGTCTTCTTCATCTACCGATCTGCCAAACTGTTGGGTGCCAACAGGAACGTGACTGATCCATCGATCCCCGATGATGAGATTGATGTCTACATCATGATGTACAACACGACGTCCGATGAATGGACACCGACCTGTGAAGACTGTGATGCCAGCTCCACCGGGACGTTCATGAATCGTACAGAGACCATGGCCACGTCGTACCTTGATCGTTACCGCAGTCCGCTGCAGCTGGGCACCTTCTTCAACTACTCGGACCAGTACGGAGTGTTCGGTGTGAAGGAACCCTATGAGTGTGTCAGTGTGGCACAATCAAACACCACGCTGATTGAAGTGCTGCGTGAAAAGGGTGCATATGGAGTTGTAAACATCTCATGGCTGGCGACAAAGACACTGGGCTATGAACAGCTGGGTAACTATGCACAATCAAGCCATGTTGTTCAGGAGGCAAACTGGCTTCCAGCTATTGAGGTGCCACTTCAACTGCCTAATGCTACCGTGGGACATATCAAAGTCAGCTTTACAACAACCCATGAACATGCAAGGATCGACAACCCCTATGCCTCCATATTTGTGCTGAAGACTGCACTTCCAGGCGGCGTGATTGAGTTCAGTCTTGGTCAAAGAGTTGTGGCAGTGAACGAGACCATTGGGAGACTTCACATCCCTGTGTCTCGGAGATGCAGTGACTCCGAAAGTGTCACCGTGCACTTCAATGTGCGCTACCAGGCATACCCAGCCACATCGTCAAGTGCCTCGGCGTACAACACCAGTGACTACATCGTTGCTACGCCAACAGTTATTTTTGCTGCCAATGAAGAGACTAACTACCTTGTCATTGATATCCTCAATGACAATACCCCAGAACTGAATGAAACATTGACCATTGACATAATAGCAACAGGTAATTCTACCCTTGGTCCAGAATCTCAACTGCAAATTGTCATTTTGGAAAACGACGATGCCCATGGTGTACTACGGCTGGCATCAGATGAAGCTGCTGTCAAGGAATCTGCAAATCAATACCTGTCCCTGACACTACTTCGTGACCGAGGCAAGTTTGGATCAGTGCAAGTGCAGTGGGACGCAATCGGTGCTACAGCATTGGGTCTTGACGATTCCAGTCACCTATCGTCTGCAAACCTCTCAGCTATAATACAGCGGAGTAAGCAAGGAACACTGGCACAAGAACTGGACTTTATCCCAACATCATCTAGTGTAGTATTGGCCGAGGGACAAGCCAGTGTGGATCTGAAGGTCTACATTGTCAATGACGATATACCGGAGTGGAATGAAACATTCAGTGTTATCCTTGCCAATGTAACTGGTGGTGCAAGAATTGGAATGCCAAACACTTCTGACGTCACAATTATGCCAAAGAATGACCACACACCAGCATTCCACCCAACATCAGCTTCCGTCTTTCTGCAAGAGGACTACGTGAGACTTGCTGGTGCAGTGATAGTCTCACTCAATGCAACAGACCCTGACCTGGGCAGCAATGGTGAATATTCATTTTACCGTTCGGACACGTCCAGCAACTGCAGCTGGCTGTCTATTGATCCAGTAGCCGGTGTGGCGACAAACAAAGTGCCCCTCATGCCTTGGAACACGTCTGACTTGTGCATCACACAGCTTGCCGTCCGGGATCATGGTGTCCCGTCGCTGTCTTCCATCTTCTCACTCTCTGTTGCCATCAACTTCACATCACGCTGTCGACCGGGCACTGCCAGTACATCTGGTTTCCTACCCTGCACAGCATGCCCTCTAGCCACCTACCAGGAAAGATTCGGTGAATCCAACTGCACATTGTGTCCTAACAAGGAAGTGACCATCAACACCGCAGCCGATAAGCTGTCCAAATGCCGTGGTAAGTTCACCGTGGCATCCATTGCACACCTACATGCAAGGATGGTTTTCCTCCTCCCCGGCTCACCAATGTCGTTTTCAGGGAATGTTGCGTGATAGACCGTATTTGGTGGCTTGTTTGTGTTGCCTTTCTAATGAAAACAGAAACTTGTGAAGATAAATATAAAATAAATGGCTATTGGCTTCATGTGATACCATTACACATCGAGCCCGGAGCGAGTATTACTTCAGCGTCACGATGTATGTTGCCGAGCGAATCATCAGACATGGGGATGTATTTGGGAGGGGATTATTATTTCAACTTAACTTCAAAGTCTTCCGAGTTCTGCAGTAGATACATGACAGTAATTGTGAAATAAAACAGAATGATACTTGGGATATCAAACTGCATATTTTAAAATGCCAACACTGAATCAGCTCTGGGGACCGATGGGGTGCCGGTACTAGCATGGGAGTCACTTACTTTTCAATGGCTCCTTGCTGACAGGTGATCTATTTAAACGAAGGGTATATTGGGGTGTATCTAGTGTCCACTATACAGCCCAGTTGGTCAGAGCACCTCATATCTGAGAATGTGACTAGTGCATGGACGGTTTTCTTGGCACGTTCTTCCAGCTGTGTGTCAGCGAGGAACAATGTCACAAGACGACACTGGACTTGATCCATGCCAGCTGTGCCCAAGAGGAACCTACCAGTCTCAAGCAAGACAAAGCAACTGTACCTGGTGTCCTTCCGGAACTGCAACCATTGGCAGAGGAAGCAAATTACCTACAGATTGCTTAGGTAAGTGTATTTTTCTTGGATACCAGGCTCAAAAAATGCTTGGAGCTGGTCTCCAAATACGGACGTATGAGCAAATTCAAACCTGCCGGCATCACCCAAACCTGTCTTTATAACTTATTCTATGATCAGGATTACAGCAGTTGACATGCATACAACACAGATATGCTGGTGTATGTGCATGCTATTCCTGATTGGAGGTGGGTTTCACATTGTAGACTGAGGCTGTGCATCTGCTTATGTGCATATCTGGGATAAAATTATTGCAAATTCCCGGACCATATGTCTCATTTCGCGAATTAACCTAATCTTTCTTTCGATACACTACATGAGAATGCATGCAAGCATGTTCACGTGAACACACACACACACACACACACACACACACACACACTCTCCTGCACACACATTCTCTTTTTCTTTTGCTGTAGAGCAGGACATGTTTTCATGCTCCATAGTCCAAATCCCTCACTGGGCATGAAAGTCATGGTACTGAGAGTACAAGCAAATGTAATGAGTATATCCATTCCTTTCTGGAAAAATTCGATTCTAGTCCTCTACATTATTGTTGACTCCTGGCCACTCGGGCTTGTCATTGTTCTTGTTCAATCTGCAGCTGACCAAGATGGAGATGGAATACCGGATGTGATTGACAATTGCATACACTACAAGAACACTTTACAAGTGGACAGCGATGGAGATGGTATTGGCGATCTGTGTGACTGTGACGGTGAATTTGCGGCCAGACTGTGCGCGAACGATGGCTTCTGTCTGAGTGGTGACCGCGACTATTCATGCCTGTGTAGCATTGGTTACACTGGTACTCATTGTGAAGTGGAGATTGACGAGTGTGAGTCGAATCCATGTGCGCTTGGTAGCACATGTGTTGATCGACTTGCCATGTACGAGTGCGTTTGCGATGACAGTTATGCCTGGGGATTCCAGTGCAATCAAACAAACCCCACCATACGCCAGGTATCAGAAGCAGTTCCTGTGGGTGGCTCAATCGCCAAAATTCTTCCTGAGAAGCGTGAAAACTTTGAAATCAACTCGTACGTTTACAGCATCACATCTGGAAACGCAGACAGCCTTCCATTCCATCTCGACTCTGCTTCAGGAGATCTATGGCTGGACAGACACCTTGATAGAGAGACGTTGGATGAGTATTCCTTCACCCTGTCTATTGCGAGGATCAATGAAGCTCCGCCAAGAGTATCTCTCTCAACAGAAACGAATGTAAGCATACTGATTGAAGACGCCAATGATAATAAGCCTGTGTTCACCACCTTTAACTGGTCAATAGCAGTCAGCGAGGATGCGGCATTCGGTACAACGCTGGGACTGGTCAGCGCGACGGATGCTGATCTTGGAAGCAATGGCTCGGTGTGGTATAACATGACCATGACCGGGTTTGCTTTCCCAGTCTGGGGAATCGACAACGACACCATCTTAGCGGTCGAGTACGAGACTGTCAACAATCTGTCCGACTACGACTCGATGTGGCTGGAGAGAATTGTATCACTGGATCCCAACAGCGGTGTGTTAACTCTGATGGACCAACTGGTCTGGAACAAGACTTCACAGATCATGTATGAGCTTCAGGTTTACGACCGGGGATCTCCTCAGCTCCTTGGAAACTCATCTACGTTTGTTTTGACAATTCTGGCGTCCAACGATTATTCACCTTTCTTCCATCCGAAATCTCACACTGTTACTGTGAAGGAAGATATCAAGATTGATGAAACTATCGCTCAGACGCAGGCCTATGATGGAGATTCTGGTCCATCTGGAGAAGTCCGCTACACGATTGAGAATGGCACCTACTCCAAGTACTTCACAGTGGACCCGTTGAGTGGTGAGGTGATCGTGGCGAAGACTCTGGACAGAGAAACACATCCTCTGGGAATGGTGATCAGGGTGATTGCCACTGATCAGGCTCCTGCACCGGCACCGCGGCGCACGGCTGTGTGCGTCATTACAATCATCTTGAAGGATGTCAATGACAACCATCCTACGTTCCACACATCCAACGTTCATCTGACTCTCCGAACACCTCAACCTGGAGACGTTATCTACCAGACCAACGCCACCGATCCAGATCTGAATCATGCTGCTGACGTCAGCTATGACCTGTTTGTTGATGCATACAGCTTGTTCTCTGTGTCGCCGACCGGGGAGCTTGTCTTGGAGCAAGAGACGACAGAAGCAAGACCCGTGTCTTACTATCTGTTCATTGAAGCTGCTGACAATGGCACTGTTCGACTGTACAGCTTCCAACGTGTTATTGTGACATTCCTCGGTCCCGATGATCCCGATGACTTAGGTCCCGTACCAGTCAGGATATCAGCCGACGTTGATGAGAACACTGCGCCAGGTTTTAACGTGCTGAACACAACGGACGTACAGGAGCCTGGCGGCTTGCCATCTCACGTCATGGCCAACTTCACAATCGTCGGCCAGAGCAGTGGAAATCACTTTGCACTGTCCGGTTTGACCAACGAACTCATGGTAACAACTCCCGACGTGATAGACCGAGAAGAAAACCCTTACCTGCTCGTGACGCTTCGAATGACAAATCCTCAACTCAATAATATCTCGACACTCTTCACCATCAACGTGACCGTGATCGATGAGAATGACAACCGACCAGTGTTCACCGAAGAAGCATACTATGCGGCTGCATTGGTACAGCCAGAAACACAGCACGTACCAGGTGTCATCCTGACTGTCACCGCCATTGATGCTGATGCTGGATCCAACGCGCTGGTCACGTACAACGTGGGCGATGCAGGGATATTTCAGGTCGCTCCTGAGTCCGGAAAGATCACCACAGACGATGTCCTTGAGACATATGTGCATCTTGCATTCAGTGTGCGGGCACGCGATCATGGAACACCATCATTGTCATCAACCGTCATTGCCAATGTGTTCACATACCCGAAATCTGTTGCCACCTTCATCACGATTCCCTGCAATTACACAGTGGATAGTGACACGTCGAAAATGCTGGAAGCCAAGCTAAAATCCCTAAGCCTGGGAGGTAGAAGCGTCTTCATTACCAATGTGACTGCAACAGCCAACAAGTAAGATCATGGATAGTTCACAGCTGACTTGTCATTGCTTGTCACGGTTTGTTGCTGGATTTGAGTTCTATCCGAGTACTACTAATGAGTACTATCCGAGTACTACTAATGCACTTTAGTTGCCCAATGATATTCTGTGCAGACAAACTGTATAGTTGCAGTACTTGGTGTGAAGAGAGAGAGAGACAGAGACAGAGACAGAGAGATAGAGAGATAGAGAGATAGAGAGAGAGAGAGAGAGAGAGAGAGAGAGAGAGAGAGAGAGAGAGAGAGAGAGAGAGAGAGAGAGAGAGAGAGAGAGAGAGAGAGAGAGAGAGAGAGAGAGAGAGAGAGAGAGAGAGAGAGAGAGAGAGAGAGAGAGGTGATAAGGAGTATCGCAATAATATGCCTTTCAAGGAGAGTGTTGGCAATTTTTGTACCATTACATGATCTGACTGATGACGTGTTGTACTTTTCTAATCCAGGACACTGCTAGAAGTGGTTGTAACACGCCATGCCCACTCAGCAACTGGTGGAAAACCTCCCATCATTGACTACGAGATAAAACCAATTGACCTAGCGGATGCTGGAGAGTTGATGTGCGGCAAGGCAGTGGAGTCTCGTAGCAACGTTGTGCTAGAAAGCTGGCACATTGCTATTATTGTCATTCTTTGCGTGGCCTCTGTTCTACTCATTGCGTTCTTGGTCTGGAGACGCAAGACAGCCTCAACTAGGAAGAAGAAGAGGTAGGCATTTTTAGCAATAGGTTGTTTGCGAGTAATGTTAATGCGCGTGCTGGTAGAAATGGGATAAAATTCACGATGACACTCTTAGTGGTGGTGGAATCGAGTTGTGTTGTGCATTGCGGAATGTATCAGTGTCGTCGGGCCTTTTTAATAGGACCTGACGATAGACTTCTCCGTTTCTCCCTCTCCCACATGTGCACACAACTCAGAGCGACAAATCCGTCTAGTGTTTCCGAGGAAGAGGTCAAGATGAAGCCATTAAAGTCTCCCGGGAGAAAGGAGAAAAGGTACAACAAATGCATGTACACATACGCGCAGTGCAGTGGCGCAACCTGAGCAGTCCGTGCGCGGCAAACTCCGAACGCAGCACAGTATGGATCACTACTGACTTATTGCCTGTTACTTCACACATCATCACCAGGCCTTTAGGAGGTTATACCAGTCATGCATAACCCAGGCACTGTAGCTCATCATCGGGCCGACAATTTTGAGAACCATCATCAGCCGCTGCAGACCCTGATGTTGTCCTTGTTGTCCTTTGGACCCCGACGAGGTCCCTTTCGGCGCACGTTCTGCATGCTACATGTATCACTCAACCCGAGAAAGGCACTGTGAGTACTAGCACACCATTTGACGGCTGCAAGCTGAGTGCCAGTGCAGCTTTACTGGCTAGCCTGGGATCATAGCCACCCGGCATGGTGCGTAGAATCGGGTCCTTGTAGGCAAGCTGTCTTCCTGCGGAGATCAAGATGCGTGTTGGCCTGCAGCCGCATATTATAAAGCCTGGGAACTTGAGACACCTATGTGGTCCTGCGTGTATGTATATATTTGTGACCCCGAGGTCCCCTTTTGGCGCAGGTGCCCTTTTGGCGCAGGTTCTTTTTTGGCGCTGTGTCCGCGCAGACTGAGCAGGTTGCACGACCGTATGCATACGCCTTATTTATTATACATGCACAGGAGAAATTCTTGTCTTTCTGGCTGCTTCTTCTTGAGACTCTTCTTGGAACAAGAGTAAGAATCAGGTCTTCTGAGTGTGGTGTGCGTGGGACTAACGTGAGCGGCCTGAGTGAGAGTAATCAGAAGAGCCCATCGTCGGGACTAAAAAAACGGACGACAACTGGCGCCCAATGTGGGGCTCGAACCCACGACCCTGAGATTAAGAGTATCATACTCTACCGACTGAGAAACCCCCCGACGACACCGTGATCTTTAAAGAGGGGGGGGGGGGGGGAGGGACTGCTCTCTAACTGCAGGGTTGGCTGTATCCACTTCTAATGAATGTGATTGACAGCATGTGATATCATAGCATGCAGGGTATACGGTAGGTTGTGTCACAATGCAGCGTATTCTATCTTCCCTGTGTATGACAGCATGCGTCGCGAAGCCAAACGCATCATGAAAGACAAGAAGGCCATGGAGCATCCTGACCTGGCGGATGGTAAGACAAGGACAGACTGTGGTGTTGTTGTTGATCGCTGCCAGTAACTGTTTTAAAAGCCACCACTCACCAATAGCATGTCAGTGGATATGCATAGGCAGCATGCCGCTGAGGCAGAGAAAAGCACCTTGCTCGCTTACGATCAGACACGGCTTCATTGACAAAGTTATTGGAACCTACCATATTTATGTATATCTGTGTATCTTGACAGCGTAGTGCACACTATAACCCACTGAAACTTGCTCACATGACCCAAAACCTGATACAACGTACTCATCAGCTCACCTATACCTGCACTGGGTTTATGTCACGGAAAGCACCATGATGCTCTGCGGTCATGCCGAAAGGTGGTGGTTTGAGGCTTGTGCATTCAGAAAGCTGTATGGCTTTTATAAAGTACTCACTCAGCTCTTGCAGAAATGTTTGCTCAAAGTGTCGTAAGTTTGTTGAAAGTTTCTTTCCTGTTCCACTTTGTGTTGGGTAGACTTCTACATTCGCTCGGGATCGATTGTCAACAATCCCCTCTACCAGCCTGACCGTGACACGTTTCAGGTAAGTGGATGCTACTCTGGGAGTCTCTGTATCCATTACTGAGTTCGAGGGAAACAAAGGGGCGGGGTCTTTCCTTCTGTGCAGCTGAGAGCCTGTTCGTGGGACTGGAAATGGAATGCTTGCAAGTGCAACGAAAACGCACTGGAGCTGGAGAGCCCTTAGGAAAATGGTGAAAATGAAGGAAAGGAGTTTGTTTTACATATTTTTTTCGAACTATCCATTTGGAGTTGGATGCAGAGCAGTAAAGGCCACACTGGACCACTGCTCAATAAACCGTAGGCTGGCTACATGATGGTGTTCTGGGGTTATACTACCCATAGACTCCAGCAGTCTATAGTGGACGTGGAGCAATGTTGCTGTCCAATCATCGCTTTCATTCTCCATTGAATCTCAGCAGCCGTGTTATTCCACGGAGCTTTTGGAAGAGTGCAAACCACCACTCGATCGTATGTGATATTGCTGAGTTCATGTCTCCGTTTCCCGGGTCACTGTGTTCGTATACAGATGTCCAGCTTTGAGGAAAGGCGTGGAACAGCCTACAGTTGGGTAAGTACTCTGTGTAGTGCTCACCTGGTTACACATTGCTACTGATGAATTCCTCCAGAACGGCCTGCATGGAAAAGGATGAACGATCTTATCCATATGAGGATGAACGATCTTATCCATATAAGGATGAACAATCATATCCATATAAGGATGAACGATCTTATCCATATAAGTTTTGCCTCCATTGTCTTGTTACCTTGCATACTCACAACACTCTTTACAAACAGTCTCCGGCCTACACCAATCTATTGAAAATTAAGTTATCCGAACCTTGCATTTCTCATGCCTCAACCATGGTCTTTAGTCATCCCATTATGCCAGCCTACATGGTCTACATGGTCACACTGTCATTGCTACTCTAGTATGGTATAATAGTACTGAGCGGATCATTTCACCTGTGATGCTCTTCTGTTGTGTATCTATACCGCAGACTCCGGATAATGATTTTGGCACTGAAGATGAGGACATGTTCGCACCGGCTGAGGGCACGGGTGTCACCAATGCTGCCTTCAGGGATGCCAGTGATGACGACTCAATGGGTGACAACTACATGGAGAGGGACGAAACCATACAGACACCATACGTCGGAGTTGACAACCCGATGTTCAGCATCGACTCCGACGCAGGACATCTGGAAATGGATGATCCCGTATTGACACCGAACGGCGAGGGAGTGGACAATCCTATGTTTAGCATGGGTTCGAACATGGGTACTGGTCACCTGGAGATGGATGGAACCATGCTAACTCCAAGCTACGGAGGCGACAGCCCACTCCGTCCGTTTAGCCCTGAAACATCTTCCCAGACAGCGCTCATCAGCGTAGTAGAGGAAGACGACCCTGTCCAGTACACGTACAAAGGTACAACCAGCATCTCAACCCCGCAAACACTCATGAGGATGAAGTAAGTCATGAGAAAATATGAACTGTCCCGCCTCTCTAGGTTATCATATTATCTGTAATGAGTTGGAACCTTCTGGTGACTGTATTTGGAGCAGAGAAGAGTCTTTGAATTGCCCTGGTCCCTATGCTGTTGTATTAATTGGTGTAAAAAAAGGAGGTCAGTTGATTACTAGGACTAGATTTGAAAAAAAACTTACCATCACGACCACGGTCAACTCTATACTTGTGAAGTAACACTGGGAAGTGTATTCACAGTGTGTTCTTTCCCTCAAGTGTATTTCAAAAAGAATTGAGATCGTAAAGTGACCGAGTCCGACATGTGCTTAGCCTGATGAACAGAATGTAATGACATGTTGTTCAGGCTCCAGTTTACTTCTTTGTCCTCAGCTTGAGGGGGCAGTAGCTGGTCGTAGAGTGGCACACACACACAGACACCCACACCCACACACACACACACACCATTTGGACCATTTGACGCCCATCGCCGAGGGCGATGATAGCGACGCTACAGCAGAAGCCATAGCAACTTGTACTGGGATTGCACCATTCAACAGCTTGCAAGGCTGAAGAATTGACCGCCATTATTCAGCCTGGTCTACACCACACAGCTATGAAGTGGCTTTTTCTGGCCAGTGAATCCCTACTTTTTGGTCATTTTTTTCTTTTTCTTTCCCCGCACACACATCACACCACATACTCCGGCATGCACCGGCTGTTGGTAACCGCCCAAGAGAATGAAAGAAAAGTCAGGAGGAGTGTGAGAAAGAGAAGAAAGACGTGTGTGACCATAATCGTCGGGAATCGAACCCGCAACCTATCGATTGGAAATCGCTGCACATACCACTGTACCATGTGGGACATACACACACACACACACACACACACACACACACACACACACACACACACACACACACACACACACACACACACACACACACACACACACATGTTCCTTGCAGTGTGGGCTACATTTGTATCTGATCTATGCTTCGTTCTGACTCTCCCGCTCTCTTCCTAACTTGCCCAGGATACCGTAAATGTCCAAGGCAGGTTCTCAGGTAAGCTCAAATACCACATACCTGGGTGGCAACCGCACAGTTTGCCATACAATGAACACGTACTGTTTTGGCCCGGGGGTGGGGTGGGGGGGGGGGGGGGGGGCAGTGCTTGTTTAGCTTACCGTGCAGATTAATACTACTGGTAGCGTGAGATGTTGTACATGTCCAGTTTGGCCATCACGTGCAACGAGAAAATGCCTACCTCTGGCGCCCCAGACCTGGGCCGATTGCATTGTACAAGCCGGTGATATTTACCCTTGTACCTTCCCGGCCCCCTTGTATACCTCAGTATGATGAAGAAAATGTGGAGGTGAACTTGAGGATAGGAATTTAGTACTTCGGCCTGTGATTAGTTGCAGTTAGGCAATGCTCATGATATGACCTATGGCCAGGCATGTGCAAATCGACTTGTGTACGTTCACCCAGTGTCCATACGGAGACCATAATAGTACAATCTGTATAATGTTTTCCCCCTTATAACCTCCATTTTCAGACTTCTGTTGTATAGTTTCCGTGCGTGCGATTTGGCATAATACGTCACACACGACTGTAAGTTGCACCCTTTTTCGACCTTTGGGTTAATTCTAGGGCAACTTACAGCCAGGAAAATACGGTTAATATTCACTGCAACTCCGAGCAAAGTTGTGTTCGATTGATGATCTTGTGTGTCCTGCTAGGTTTGGCTAGACCAACACGGACAGAAGCAAATATCACGTATCTGATGTAATACTGCAACTCTTCTCTACTACCGAACAATAATTCTCAATCAAAATACCTCATCATGTAGCTCAGAGTAGTAATTTGTGTATTGCTTGTCAAGCTAAATCAGCCATACATCACCAGAAAGAACAATTGTTTTTGTTCCTCATTGCCGGCTTTGTACAAGTACAAAATATGCCTCTGTCTTCAACACTGAGATAACTTGCCACACACAGCACATCGCAGTCTTGTTGGTGCGTCTGATTCTAGTCAAGACACAGTGCACACCATTTTGAAGTGCTCAAGCTGTTTCTTCATTTTCATAATTCAAAGTATTTTTCAAAAGATCTATCAGCAATGGCTGAATGGACGCTAATATTCAATCACTCAGTCTACTTTGTAATCACTGTTTAAAATTGAACAACGGACCATCCATCGTCTACCCCCTCCCCTTCTTCTATCCTCTTCAAGTTCACACCAATACGTTAAAAATATCTATTGGTCCACAACAGAAATGATTGATTTTCAATGCCAATGACAATCCGGCATGGTATATTGTGAGAAGTCACAAGTGCATCGCTGGAGTACTACAAATACTAGCGGACCAGTACTTGTTTGAGCAAGCCCAAGTACTCAATGGAGGGGACTGAATAGAATGGAGATTGGCGCTGCAGGATGAAGTTGAATCTAGCAAGATTCATGCTAAGCTTGAGTACATATTATTATTACACCTTCCAGTGGCTAAAGATGAATCAGTGCCAATATAGGTGAGGAGGGGGCGTTTGCCAGCCATGGCGTAGAAAGAAAAAATCAGAAGTGTGGTGGTGCACCAATACCATGGTAAATAACTGAGGAAAGGGAGCAGTACAGCCGACGTGAGACGACCGAGACTAAACAGGTATATTGACTATTCAAGCGCCTTTGCCTGACGGACATGAACGGGCAACGCCAGCCATTTAGTATAAGAGCAGTGAAAAAGGGGGACGATACAAACAGAGATGTGGTAGCTCGGAGGAGACGGACTTTACTACTTGTGGGGGAGTTCGAAACAAACCAATTAAGTTGCTGTAGGTGCGGGGAATAGATAATAGTATTATTATGTGATCAGGTCGTATGTGTATGGAGGGGGGGGGGGGGGGTGTACTGTTGTGAACTTTCCACGATAAGGCTGCATGAGCAGTCCTCGGATGTGAAATTTAAATACAGTGTCACGGAAACAAGGCACAGCACACAGCCAAAGAAAGCAAAGTGTCCATATCTCCAATGCATACGTATAAGAAGGAGACACTTCAGGCTCTTGAACATCTTGAAATATTCAGTTAATAAAATTGTTATTTGCCAGCGGGGCGGCCACATCTACCGTTCGCAAGACACACATGACCGTTCCTGGAGCACTTTGTCCCCACGCGACGGTTGGTCCAGACGTTGGGTCTATGTCGAACAATGCCCTTAACCGTGTGTGGTCGCTTGGGATTGTGACAGTACTGCAGGAAAAGTAAGGCAATAAAAGCATAACGCGGACAGACAAATTCAGATTGTAGTCAACTGATTCTACAAAACAAACTTGATTCGTCATCAAGAGAAAGGACGGGCCCTTGCTTCTACCTTTTGTACATACCACACTCGCGCGATTAGTGCCTCTGGGGCACTATTTTTCAACGTCCATCACAGATGGGGCACCATTCAAGAGAGGGCACTATTCAAGAGAGGGCACTATTCAAGAGAGGGCTCTATGTTTTCAATGCTGGTACGTTTACGTGATCTGGGCCCGCATAAAAACAAAGATGGCAAAAAAACAGAGCTTTAAGTTTACTGTAAAGTATCACGACTCGACATAATGGGCAACAAGAACTGTGATGTTGATCCTGAAACCACCAGTTCAATGACATGAACAAGAACATTGCCAAAAGAACACCAAACTTGCACATGGACTTGGTTACAGGCCTGGGGGGGGGGGGGGGGGGGGCACTATTCAAGGGAGGACTATATTTTTAATTGCCGCTTAGAGACTGGGGCACTATTCGAGATAGGGCATTATTCAAGAGAGGGCTCTAATCGAGAGAGAGAGAGAGAGAGAGAGAGAGAGAGAGAGAGAGAGAGAGAGAGAGAGAGGGCCGGAAAGAGAGAGGGCCGGAGAGGGGAGAGAGAGAGATATACAGCTAACAATGAAAGCAATACCTGGCATCGTGAATTGGTTGGATTCGGATCCCCGTGTTGGTAGCAGTGGCCATGAATCTGACAGAAGCCCTTGGTTACCACGCAGCGGGTGTCTTTGCAGGATTCACAAGACAAACACGAGAGCGGCTTGCCCTTGCACACACCTCTCCTGCAGGTGTCATCCTTTGTGCAGCGGTTTTTGTCATCGCATTTAGCTCCAGACTGATCCTGCCATGCGTTGCGCGTGGCAATACCAGCATCGCAGTACTACACAGCAGGGTTAGAAGAAAAGGCAAGGAGGCAGTCATGCACAAAATGTCAACTATAGGCAGTGTGGCTGAAGGGCTTCCATGCTGCCCACGGTTCCAATGGTCATGGGATTGTATATCGTTTTTTTCCTTCGTATAAATTTTTAATAGACAAAGTGTCTGAAGTCCTTGCTGCAAATAGTGCTCAGTACCCTAACAAGGGCAGAGCGTACTACACAAGGCAGAACAACAGAGACCAAAAATCTTTCTCGTTTATAATACTCCGAGTTTCGTGTTCAAAAAACACTCATCAGATGATTTTAAAGCAGTTCTAGTCAGATTTTGGATTTGAAATTTTGGATGAAGGTGCCTCCAGCCCTATTGATTACACTGAGCTCAAAACCTCAATTTCTCAAATTTGGTGCTTGTCGCATTTTGTATCTAAACTCTTCATATTTTAACTAAAGTCTGTTACCCCTCTTGATCAAAGTCTGGTTGGAATCGAGAAACTACTGTACTTAATATGCTCAGTTATATTTGGCAGCAGGATCATTGCACAGCATTGCACAATGTAGATTCCCCACCAAAAGAGTAGGCATGCAACCGTACAAGAGCCCGTGACAAGACTTTGTATTGTATATTTATCTGATCGGGTCAATCTTCTTCATGCACATACACACCTTGTGTGTACTGAGTCTCATTAATGAAGTTGGTCTAACAGTTCTGATATAAACCCAGCGTAAATTGACTCGACCGGGGTCTGTGCCGTGTCTCTACACAGTACAGAGTGCTGTGCCCTTGCAAACATGTACGTGTGCTGCCAAACCATGAACTCATACCGCATGTGTATTTAATCAGTGTGCCGAAGCACCGTGATGAGCGACTTAGCCTCTCAACACCCAATGGGCAACGAGAGCAGAACTCATTAATTTTCATTTTCCTTCAGCTGTGTTCAAATAAGCATCTCTACTGGTAAGTTCCTTACTCCGCACAGAGACGCATTGACGTATCCATCCGCCCAGCACTTTGTCTCAATGTTGCAGTGTTTTCTACCAGCATTGCATGGCTTGGTCTCGTGCTCTGGTGGACATGCTGTACCACGATCTGCTGGCCGGGTCACACAGCGGTAGCGGCGGCGCGTTCCAGGATTGCAGCTATCAGAGCAGCTTGACCAGCTACCCCACTTTGTGACTAGACAGTCCACTGCAGCATGAAACAGGCAAAGACAGAACAACACCATCTTGACCGGGGTTGGTTTTCTAGCCACAGGTGCAGACAGTTGAACAAGTTGGCTGTTGCTAGCATAGGAGCTAGTGCTCCCCATCGGCAGACTGACACTGGCCTGACTCATGACTGCATTTTCTGATAATAGAAGAAAAATTATTTTGTTACTCAGTTTGTATACATGTACACAGATATGGCTGTACTCTACGCAAGCCGAGACTTCATGGTATCACTATGGGACGGACTGAGAGAGCAATGCTGGTGTTGATTGTGAGGTCACCAAGCAAAAAGCACAATAACTATGACTATCATTCCGATGAGACCTTTCGCACCATTACTTCTCAAATCCGTACATGGTGATAGCGTGACGAAGCACAACAATGACAATTTATGCAGCATATTAGCGGAAAAATTGTGATGAAACGCACACAGGCTGAATGATAGTGCGTTGCACCAAGGAGTGCAAGAACTATAACAGGGAGGTGGGACGTCAAATAGCACTAGCTTCCTAACAAACTCCTTCTGTCTACAAAGCTCAGGCTGTAGGCTGCTTACAAACACATTGGTTGCCACTCTGCCGAGCACCAGTACAGCAACGTTTCCTATGGACAACGGAGTACACTTTGTAGTTGCTGAACACAAAAGCCACACACAAACACACACACATACACACACACACACACACACACACGCACACACACACACACACACACACACACACACACACAAAATACTCAAAGCATTAATCATCGAATGCAGAAATGCCCTACACTCCTATCTTCCCTTAGGATAAGGGGCAGCTGATTGAAATAAATTGATTCCGCACTCAAGTAGGATTAGGTTAAGCAAGTGCTGTATGCTGATTGCTACAGCTGGTTCAGTCTCATGATCAGGGGATGCAGCATTGCATGATTTCCCCGAATCACACATTCAAGGCGTTGTTTAATTTAAAACATAGAATACCATTCTCATAAAAGTACAGTGCATACTTGAAGCCACAAGACCTGCCTGATTATTGCCATACCGAGGCATGAAAAATTTGAGTTGCCACATTTTCGTTTATCGGTCACTGAATGTGTTCAGGGCACGATTTTCCACCTCTGTCAAATGCTTCCACAAGCTCTGACCGGTCATGCTCACTAGCTAGCAGCCCAAATTTCAAATTCCCTCAGTCGTACATATATGTACTTCACTAGTTTGAGGGAAAGAGACATATATGTACAGTCTAATATCATGACATGGCAGTGTAATACACTCGGATGGAGAGCCAAAAAAGAGGATAGCGGATAACTTGTAAACTTATGGTCCTCTTTTTTAATCATGATAATAATTATCCTTTTAATTTAGGACAGTACGTATTATACTGCAAAGGAAAAAAGGCCTCTATCTGTTGAACTACACGGACAGTGCCCATTCCGACACAATCATCTGCGTCTCCAAAACACCTAGAGTGCAGCTGCACTTGTAAATCCTAATCCCAACTGATTCGAAGAAGAACGTGAAAATTCAAGGCAAGCCACACTGTGTACTCACGTATTGTGCCGAACGCATCTACTGCGACCCCACCAGCCACATGACCGGTAGTGCTTTTTAACCCGATTCTCGACACCTGTAGCAGTGTAATTACACGTGTTCGGCCTGCAGATGTACAGTGAGACACAGTGGTAGCATAAGAACTGAGTACATTGGCTTACTGAATATTGAAGCTATCGGATGCTATGCGGAGAAACGATCTGCCCTTGAAGCATGTTAGTACAGTAGTTTTGTAATCTTGAAGGCACTCAGCCAACACATACATTGTACATGTACACACACACACACACACACACACACACACACACACACACACACACACACACATACACACACACACACACACACACACACACACCACCACCACCACCACCCGGCACCACCACACAAAATGGACACACACTTGCTCTCTTTCTTTTTCTCTCTCTCTCTCTCTCTTTCTCTCTCTCTGTCTGTCTCTCTATCCCTCTCTCTCTCTCTCTCTCTCTCTCTCTCTCTCTCTCTCTCTCTCTCTCTCTCTCTCTCTCTCTCTCTCTCTCTCTCTCTCTCTCTCTCTCTCTATCTCTATCTCCAGGGGCGGATCCAGGAATTTTTCAGGGGGGGTTCAAATTTTTTCGAGTGCACAGAATTAAATTCACTTCAAACTGTTTTCGGTTCGTTCACTACGAGTACACCGGAAGTTGCAAAATCTTTATTGTCACGGTAGCCCTTGCATTGCTTGGGTAGACGAGGGTAATGCGTTTAGAGCCTTACAAAGTACAGAGCTGCAGCACAGGCAGAAACTAAGGCCGTGACTGCAGCATTTTCCGAACTGACGGAAGGCGAAGTTCTCTGACTGTCCTCCGGCTGGGACTCCGTGTCGTCACATTCGCGCCGTACACGGCGGAACAAAGCCAAGCTCAATGGCAACTGATCGGCCGCTCGCCTCTTTGGCAGACGTCGCGACATGGCAAACTACACGACAAACACAAACATTATCTTCGTACTGCGACGGAGGAAACCTACAGTCCAGCCAGCGCGAAATAAAACAAAACGACAAGGAAGGGAAGGAGGAAAAGTGGCAGTTTCTCCACCTTTTGCTCCACCGCGACATGGCAAACTACACGACAAGCACAAACATTATCTTCGTACTGCGACGGAGGAAACCTACAGTCCAGCCAGCGCGAAATAAAACAAAACGACAAGGAAGGTATTACTCCTAAGGAGGACAAGTGGCAGTTTTTCCACCTTTTGCTTGTTGCTCCACCACTTGAAGTGAACTGTCGATCGTTTCAAGTCACATGATACGCGTACAGACACTTCGATTCGAACCAGGGGTCTATACGACTCCCTGATTCGAACGGTACGCGTACAACAGTCCCGACCACTGCATGCATGCAGTGACCTAGTACATGTACCTGCACTGCCTGTACGTGACTCGTACTGCATGCATGCAGGATGCATGCCAGTGAAGTCTACTACTAGTACTTGTAGCTGCTGGCTACGCGGTACGCTACACTTCGCTGGCTGCGCACGTGGATACCACAAAAATATCGACTGGACCCATGGTCGAAATTATTTTAGGGGGTTCGTCCGAACCCCCTGAACCCCCCCCCTGTATCCGCCCCTGATCTCTATCTCTATCTCTATCTCTCACACACTCACACTCACTCTTTCTCTCTCTAACAATACTCTCATCAGAAACTGATCAACGTAACTGTATACAACACAACAATCATTGATGTATTGTTACTATTCTCAGGCTTCTCGGATCATTTAGCCGTCCCCATTGAAAAGAAAAACAAGTTCAAAGATGTAGTTCTGTACACGGTTAAAGCGGTGAAATCAGTGACTGGTGAACGGTATAGTTTTATAATTATTCCCGTAGCTATGCAGAAGACGTTACTTCAGTAACGTCTGGCGCTAGCCAGGGTCCACACAGCTTTAATTTGGTGTTTGTTTGTTTGTGTGTGTCACGCCTGGCGCTATCCCGTATCTCTCCCGTACCGTACCATACCATCAAAGACAGCTGGCCACAAACAGCTGGCCACAATATTCAAATAGGGCTTTCAAATGCAAGATCATAACGTGAAGCAACTTGGAAGAATGAGTATGAATGCGAAGTATATTGGGTAATGCATGCAGGGCGATTGTGCGGGTTCGAATCCCAGGTGATGCCTGAAAAAAATAGGAGAATTGAAAAATGTATAACATCCCTATGCTTTTTGTGCCTAGGTCATCAAGGTGGTAGACGTTGTCGTATTACCCTCGACCGTACCTGTCCAGTACCGTACCGTACCATCAAAGATGGCTGGCCACAAACAGCTGGCCACAAAATTCAAATAGGGCTTTCAAATGCAAGATCATAACGTGAAGCAACTAATAATACTTGGAAGAATTAGTATGTATGCGAAGTGTATCGGGGGATGCATGCAGGGCGATAGTGCGGGTTCGAATCCCAGGTTATGTCTTGAAAAAAATAGGAGAAATGAAATTTTTTATAACATCCCTATGTTTTTTTGCCTAGGTTATCAAGGCAAAAAAGCATAGCGTTAGTCCATCAGCCAGTGGTGCCAAAGTGAGTCCCCTGTTGCACTTACAAATCGAACACCTGGAACAGACATCAATCGACAGCAAAAGCATCACTGAATCCGACCTGCCTACTTTCCCTGGCGAAACTCTTGCACTCCTTTTGCAGTGCGCCTTGGAAGTTCGACAAATTTCTTCTTCTTCATCAGCCATTACGAGGTTTTCCATCCGTTTTATCATGACATCCAATGCGTCTTCAGTGAAAAACGTGGAGTTTTGTCAACGTTTGGTGTGGTTTTCCGTGGCGATCGACCTAACATCGCGAAATAAATCGCCGTCGATTTGAGCAGAGGTGAGTTGGCTTGGAGCACGTACAGATTCAAAAAATATGTGTACATGCGCACCGGGAAGAAGATGAAGATGCTCACCATTTTCAAAATAACTAATTCAAAAAACTACATGACTATTGTACTGCAATTGTTGTAGTTACTCGTTTGCAACTACAATGGTATGAAGAAGATAATCAAGCGAGGTACAGAGGGATTGATGGCTGATCAAAGCCCAACGGACCAGCCCGAGGGCTTTGATCAGTCATCAAGCCCGACTGTACCTCGCTTGAATATGCTTCAGACGATCCCCAACAATTGTTTTGATTTTGAATTCAATCGCTTTATTCTTTGGGTGATCTCGAGTGTGGTAGATCTCTCTCGTACTTCGAAGTAGTACAACTGTAACTGTACTACTACCTGGTTGCAACATGTTCAAAGCAGCCTTGCCTTTATTTCAACTGTTTGCTGTCAGCATCCAGAGCCATGGCGTTTGCTAGTTGGTCGTAATGGAGAAGAGAACTGCAGGGCATTCACTCGATGTACAACATCCATCGCCGCAGATTCCTTACTTTTAGCTCTCCACGTTCCTTATTTTTCCAGGGATCAGGACCTTCCCGGGGTGATTCCATTCAGGGTGGAAGCGTAGATCACTTTTGCCAAACAGTAAAAACTACGCTTCAAACCTGCTTGACATGACTCGGGGTGCATACTTCGGAAACCCGAAGGTGGATGATGTTCAATGCTAGCTCATTGTAATCTTCCTGAAGGTATGTATTCGGATGCTCAATTAAATAGAACAGTGAAAGAGATGTGTAATGGAACAACACTCTACAAGTAGGCGAACAACAATTTTATTGTAATTTGAATCCAGGCACACGTGTAATACGGAAACTGCAATGGTTTACACTGCAAATCTTCTCGATTTGCAAGATTTTTCCCGTAATTCACAAAAATCTGAAAGTTCATTCCTGAAACGCGCATGGCACTGATTGGAGATTGGGTTTAGGTCACAACAATGGCTGTCGATGAAATGCCAAAAATGGTCACTTTGTCGGCTTCCCCCTGCAGAGTGTGCAAGTCGTTTACTCTTTTTATTTGCGGATTCGGTGTACAGGGTACCTAAACTCCCCATTGAGGCCAAAATCAAGTATTCGATTTCTAAGTGCAACAGGGTGCTTGAATTTGACGACTTCTGAGTTCTTGGCTGATGGACTACGTAGGGCCCTGAGCTTCCAGGCTCTCTCGTTACGAAAAATTATGAGTAAAGTCAAAAACAGATTTCAACAATGATTCACATTGTGATCAGCACATGTGCTGATCACAGCCTAACTTACCCACTGGGGTCACTGGGGCCAGCCATGACAATGGTGGACATAACACCCAGGAGAATTGTGGCGGGGATGATGGGATGCAGGACAGCCATCGTGAGTAGCCCGAAATCGACGCTGGTTTCTGCGGAGCAGCAACCAAGCGAGATCAGCAGCAGATGATGGAATATGACCAAACCTGAACTGAAATAGGAAATTCCCAGCCATCAAACGCTATAATTTCTCCCATCCATCCATACACTCACTACACGTCATAGTGAAGTTGTATTAGAAATCTGAACAGCCACAGCGGATTGTGTGCCGGCAGCAATTCGTTATACCGACCTGTTGACCCGGAATATAATGTTGTGTACCTTGAAGGAAGACCAGTCACCAGTCACCAGCCATACAAAATTTAGTTCGGACTGGGTTTTGGGTTTTTTTCGGGAACCAATTGTAATCACTTTCTGGACGGGTGCGAGGCCACAACGTGGCCTTTTCCGCTGCAAACGTAAATAGACCTGGATTTCAGTTCCTACAATTGTAGCTACAACTACAGTACAATACTCTACCAAACCAGACCTAGTGTTATTACCTGTTAATCTCGATCGTCCCGAAGACTGTGACTCCTGTCCTGGTGTCAGTGTTGAGAAGATTTCTGTCCTTGATGCTGACTCCACTCTCCGTTGTCCTCTAGCCAATTGCGCTAACTAAGATAATGTTCCGGGGACTGAAATGACGATTCCAAGGCTCTGTTCTCCTTTATATGCCTCCGGATACAAGGACAAGATATCGGTTACAGTCATGAATCGATCATGGATCGGCCTTGCTCCGTTGGTCGTTGAGTTCTCATGGTTGCAAGTGGTGCAGCCGTGGATGCCGGATCAGCTACAACTTCATCGTGACCACACAACTCCGGTTTTACCTTGCTCCGACATTTACTTGTCTTGTTTAGCTCGCACATGACAATGAACGATCTAGTATTATCCAGCCAAGTTCAATGGAAACCGGGAATCTGTCAAGGATTATGCGGTAGGTTGCCATCGCACATCACTTGGATGTTGCCTCTGTCTGTATGTCGTCTGCTTGCAAGTCAAAGTCGAAGAGAGTGACAGGTTCTTGCTTTGTTCTCCCATACTGTGGAATTCCCCCGGACAGGTTGTCAGAAGAAACAGTTAGTTCGTGCAGGAAACAAATAGGTGCCGTGCCGGCTGCAGTGCTGAGTCCGATACCACCAACAACAGCAAAGTCTACATCCGTGTGAGCCCGTGTCGCGCGGCGCCGATCCACCTACCTGGACTTGCAGGCACTAGTAGGTCCGCGCGATTCATGATCGGACATAACCATGTCCGATCATGAATCGGACATTGCACTTGCACTCAGCAATGCAGCTTGCTTGCATCTCCCGTGCAGGAAAATGGCGTTCGAAACGACGATGATGGGCGACAAGCATAGAGACTTAGAGTCGTGAAAATAAAACCCAGGTGCGGATCTACCACCGTTCACCGAAAACGCGTTCACAGAATTCCCAGACTAGACGACTCTGCGCTCACGAGAGTGAGTGGGGATCAATGCTGCTGAATGTCCCATTGCCGCATTGGATTTCGCAAGCGCACATTGCACTGTGAAATGTATGGGAAGTATAGCTCTGACTGAGTGAGGAGTCCAGGACAGCAGAGATGACAAAGCCATTGAAACCATTGCCGGCATTGGTATGGTATCGTCCAACTCCTGCGTCCTACAGTGCTAGTAGTAGTACAGTCGAATGTCACTTATCCGACCACTTCGGGAATCAGGCATGTTGGATAACTGATATCATTTTGTATGTGCATATATGGCTGGATTTCACTGATTTATGTACACAATACCCAAATATATTCATGCATATTCATGAATTGCTCCATGTACACATACATGTTAGCATACTTGACCACATCTACTTCAAGTAAATGCATAATATTATTACACCGTGTATTATACAAAAAAATTAATAGAATTTTACTGTTTAAACACATGGCGAGGAGACAATAATTTGATAACCGCAATCATTGCATGAATAAAGTACACAAATGTCAGTTCAGCTAATTTTATTTATTTATTTTTACTATTGACACAGCTCACCCCTACTGGAAAACAGGTGGAGAACAAAAAGAAACGAGGAAAAGGACAACACATAGGGGATGTAGGGACGACGTGCTGATGTGCTGGGAGCAACTCAACCGACCAGAGGTCTCGGCGTCAGCGTTGCAACTAGGCATCGAAAAATGGGTGGGGGGGTTGCACAAGAACAACTGCAAAACAAACAGAGCGGCTAGAGAATGCCACAAAAATAAAAACTTGGTGCGAAATAATGAGAAGAAAATAATGACGCCCAAAAGCGCTAAATAAGAAATTAACAAAGCTTCCAAACTCTCTCTCTCTCTTGTGTAAATACGAAATTAAGAAAAAGGAAAATCATAAACCACATAGCGCTAAAGCTGCACCAAATAATAATTTAAATTATAACTAAACCGGGTGGGAAACCAAGAAATCATAACAAACAAAACTAACTACTTGTAATAATAAAAGGTAAAATTTAATGAAGCCCAATATCACCAGCATAGCCGAACCAAGGAACATGACCCGTGCCACAATCAAGAGTTCATCAGTAGAAGTCGGTAGCCATCAGCCAGTGTTGGTGCGTGAGGTACATGTACTTATGGACATCTTCTTTGAACGTGTGGAGCCGCTTCAAGCTGAGTGGAGCCCGTAAAATTTCGCTTGGCAAGCTTTAGGCTCCGGCGGATTATGCTCGCGAAATCATGGAATTATGCTTTCATGGATTCTCGCATTATGCTCGCAAAATCCTCATATTATGCTTTGGCACGCGGGGATACATATTCACTTTGTTGTACTTATGGAACCCCTAAATTCGGAAAATTGTGCCTTTTTTGTACTTGCAAGGGCCATAAGTACAACAATATGTTACACGAGTATCCCTATACCAAGGTGTCCATGCATGCTAGTGATTATCATGGAAAAGGGAAAACATGACTTCAGTAAAATATTTTTTCATTGCCAAATCAGTTTGAGTTACCTTTGAAAATTACCATGTTCAACTATCTTCGTAATCGTCATACTCGTCCAACCGATATGTCACCCTCACCCTGCGAATAATCAGCTCATCTCTTCCGTAGCTCCACCTCTCCTTCCATCATGACCGAACACCAACTACACTGCCTCAATTTTTTTAATTATTATACCGTAGCAATGTCCGAAGCCTGCACAGATATAGCAGCTAAAATCCAGAGGTCATGACTTCGTATCATGAATAATGAACATGTACGCAGAGTCAGTCAGTTTGCGGACTACTCGTCACTATCTCGTCCGCCCCAGGATACCTGATAAAGGCTGATTCACTCGCATCTTCTGCTACATGTACTGCATCAGTGTGAGAAAGAACTACTGTAACTTTGAAGAAGACGAGTTCGACCATACAATAATGTATTGCCATGATTTCTACCCTGCTTTTCATTGAAAACACTGTCTCAGTATCTGCAGTGCATGCCCTCCAACTTCAAGCCCTTTACCATGCAGACCACCAGGACTGATCAGGTGCATTGTACACAATTGTGTAGCCTGCATACTACTACCAGAATTGTGGTACAATCATGTAGTTATGCTCCTACACCGAAAGGATGCCAAATAATTAGGCTCCAAATTTTCAACCACCAAATTATACCAATAATTATGCCGCCATAATCCGCCGGTGCCTATCGCGGTGACCTGCTGTCCTCATCTGCAGACGTAGACCAGCCTCATTATTGAGTCATAGTCATATCAGGCTCAGGCTAAGCTAGTAGTTGGAGCCATAATCATGATACTAGTATAGTAGTAACAAACATTTTAGATCTGCACAGCAATGTGGCATCCACGGCCAACTCCTGGCTTGGCTAAGGTCGTATCTCCATGACCGAAAACTGACTGTAGTTGTTGGCGGTCAGTCCTCCCCACTGTTCCCGATCAAGGCTGGAGTGCCCCAGGGTAGCCTCCTAGGTCCCACTCTTTTCCTGTTATATGTAAACGATGCAGAACAGTGTTTAGCCCCAGGCTCCAGTCTAGCTGTCTATGCGGACGATACAACACTCTATGCCCTAATCAGAAACCCAGATACCATCGCTGCTGCTTGCAATAGCCTCCAAGCATCTATTGACCGCCTGCAGACTTGGGGTGCCCAATGGAAGATAAAGTTCGAGCCATCAAAATCTCAGGCAATACTCCTTGACCGCCACAGACCATCCCTGGATGTCCCACAGCTCACATTTGATGGCATGCAGGTGCCTGAGAGCCCTCAGCTCAAGCTGCTAGGAGTGTTATTTGACAGTACTCTCTCCTTCCGGGCCCACATCCGTTCCCTTGCCGTTAGAGCCAACCAGCGACTCGGCCTGCTCCGAAAGGCATCTCGGATCCTGGACAGTGCAGGGCGCCTAACTGTGTACAAAGGATTTGTACGGCCTATAATGGAGTACGCCCCTCTCGTCTGGGCAAGTGCTGCACATTGTCACCTCCATCAGCTGGACCTGGTCCAGCGTCGAGCCATGAAGGTTATTGGCCCCTCATTGCTCCCCAGCCTGGCAATCCGAAGGCATGTTTACGGGCTGTGCTACCTGTATAAGCTGCAATGCATACCAGGTCCAGCTCTGCTTACCAACATGGTACCTCCCCCAGCAAGAGTTAACGCTGCACCCCGGACGCGCCGGCAACGCCAGTCCCTCGGTGGCCACTCTTTCCAACTCGCAACTCCTCTGCCAGCCTCCAGTCCAGAGTTCATCCGCCGCTCCTTCCCATACTTTGTCCTGGAGAGCTGGAACACACTGCCTGCCCCAATTCTCGCCGAACGCCCAACTCTCAAGAAATTGCCGACATTCAAGACCAAGGCCTACCATCACCTCCGCCAGACCAATTGGCTATGGGCCACTGAAGTCCACCAGCACTGAGAATAACCGGTTGTCTCTATTATTATTATCATTTTCTCTCTCTCTCTCTCTCTCTCTCTCTCTCTCTCTCTCTCTCTCTCTCTCTCTCTCTCTCTCTCTCTCTCTCTCTCTCTCTCTCTCTCTCTCTCACTCTTCCTCTCCTGGGAAGCTCCTCATGCTCATTCTCCCTTTCTCTGTCCATTTCCCCTTCCTGATGCGTAGACCAACTGTTGAACCCGAGACCACTAGGTCGGGGGAGGTTGACCTACCTCATCGGCACGCATGCCACGCTCCTCTGTGTTGTCAAAGTTCGCTTGTCCACTTTTGTCTACCTCCCCTTTTATGTTGCTGGCCAGTGCTTTGTAGTAAAAAAAAAAAAAAAGATCTGGCGGATTGGGAAGAAACAGTTCTCGGTGCAGTAGTACTAGTAGTAGTAGTAGTAGTAGTAGAATTTATTATTTTGATAGGGAAGGCCCTGTAGTCTGTAAATCTACACTTGTACCACACCAGGGCAGTAGATCTACATTACGACATAATCTGTCCCCGGGGAAAATCGCGGAAAAAATCGCAAAAAACGCGGCATAATATGGCATAATTTGCGGTGAATTTGCGGTAAATATGCGGTAAATATGCGGTGAATATTATTGATATGCGGCAATTTTCAGTGAGTACTAGTAGGTAGTGAAATCAATCAGTTACAAGTCTCTGGTGTAAGCACTCATCATATTTGAGTACGAAGCCGCCACGAGGAAACGTTGCTGACCGAACAGTGCACTGTGTGTACGTGTAGTGCAACAAAAAAGTTCAAAAACGCGAAAAAAACGCGGCCGCGGAATCGCGATTTTCCCCGGGGACAACATAATCATGAGTACATCACCATGAATCATGATCACTACAATCATGTATAAAAATTAGTATTGGCTACATGATCACATGAGTAGTTAGCATTGAGCAGTAGCGTTGTGATATTCATCATAATGGTCCACTTTCGCAAAAGCTTCTCTGGCACGAATCATGTTGACCTACATTTAGACAGACTACAGCTGTAGCAGTTTCTATTCCTTCGTGTGCTCCAAATCCCATGATGCAGTCTTTGCCAATCATCTTGATGTTGGCAGCATGTCTGACGTTGCCGGGGCAAGCGGCTAGAGAAGGCAATAACCGAGCACCCCAGACGGGACCAATCGGGGTCGAGGCAACGAACGGCCACCCACTGGCCTATGTGAACCATGCAGCCTCGGTGCGAATGTGGAGCGCTCCGGCTACACCAATGAGCGTGGTCGAGAAGCAACTGCAGGCGGAGAGAACTCTCCAGGTCCTTCCCGGGCAAACCATTGATTCGCGGAGGAACTACCCGGGTGAGATTTTAGTTCTCCACAATGGTGCGAGAAGAATCTCGCACAGTGATGCCAACCCTATTCCCATCGATGAATCCGGTTGGCCAAAGGCAGACGTGCAAGGAGTGATATTCGACGAAAGGCCTGCATTCGCCTGGGCGCCGCCGGAGGACGATCCGCAGAAGAAGCAGCCCAAGGAGAGCGGTGTGTTCAAGCTGTCGCTGCAGGGCTACGCTGACATGAAGTCGGCCTCGCCACCACTCACGGTCGCCAACGCTAAGTATGACGAGTCGTCGAACACGATGAGCGCGGATGTGACGCTGCCAGAAGGTGCACCCGACCTGATGGTGATCGAGTTCACGAACACCCGACGTACCAGCAAATCGGAAAACGGCACCGGCTTTACCAACCTGCGCATCACCTATCCCGGCTATGAGCACAATACAGAGCAGCTGTTCCTTGATCCGTATTTGGAGGCGCTGAAGCCATTTGATCACATGCGATTTATGGGCTTCACAGGCACCAACTACCAACCCTGGATGTGTGGCGGTGATGAGGCCGTATACTGCAGCGTAATCGAGTGGAAGGACAGACCTTTGCCCACGGATGCTATGTTTGGAGACACAACAGTAAGTATAATAATTATTATTATAAAAGTGACCAGGGTAACATTGTACAAGTATTTGTATCAATAAGAGCTAGAGCTATGGATCATTGAAGTATCAGTATAGCTTATCCCACGGACATGGTTCTGGCACTGGGCCTCCCATAAACATGCAGTGTTGATATTTTCTGCAGTTCATGACATAATGCCTACCTGCTGTAGTGCAGTCAAAAGCCATAATTATAATAGGATATTGTTTTGTGGGAAATCCAGGGTCTTAGCACTGGGATTTCAGATGGGATACTTGACAGCAAATGAACATTATAAACAAACAAAAAATCACGAACAACAATACAAAATAATGCCTTGGAGGTAAACAGAGGGAGACCGACATAAGCAGATCTACGCTGACAGGAAAGAAAACAAGAATACTGTTCAGAACTGTCTTCCCAAAACTCAGCAAAAGACCGTTACGATTAGTGGCGTTTGGCGCTAGCCAAGGGTCCACAATGCGTTACTGGGCTCTCCTTCTCCGACATCTTCATCAGCCTCCCCCCCCCCCTCCCCCCCCCCCCCCCCACACACACACCACTCCTCTGCCACTTCCTACACTACAGTCAGTGTGCCAGGTAATACACTCCCGCGGATCTGCACTTGCCGCACAAACAGAAAACTCTTCCACCGTTCCGATCGGAACTTGACCTTCCTACTTCAAAGTAGTTTGTGTTCCTGGCCTAGTAGTGATCATGGAGTTTTTAAACATCCCGCCTTGCATACATTTGAATCCTTTGTGCTGATGTACGTCCAAGCGTTCCGTAAGACTTCAACATATCAAGCATTCTGTAACATACGGTATACTCTTCCAGTTGAAGAAAGGCCAGTCGCAAGTAGCCTCTGACTGCATGTGTGGCAGTTTCAGTGTGCTTCTGCTATTGCATGCCTATGGCTGGCTCGGTCGTGCCCATGAGTTGATGTGGTATTCTGTGTTGCAGGTACGGGCTGGAGCACATGGACAGCCGTGGGAATACATCATCCTACTCGCCAACCAGGTTAAGAAGGACATCTGGATCAACATTCCGGTCTCAGCATCTGGCGCCGGCTTCAAGGGGACGCACACTCCAGCCGACGAGAAACAGAGCTACATTTACCAGCTGGCCCTTCTTCTGCGGAACGGCAACGAGTTCACTGGCAACAAGGGTCTTGACAAGAGCTTGAATATCTACTTTGAACACAGCAACGAAGTGTGGAACTTTGGCTTTCACCAGTATGGCTACAATCAGGCTGCAGCCAAGCTAGAAGTGCAGAAAGGAGGCAGCCAGCTGAACAACAACAAGGTCCCCTGGGTCAACGGGTCCAATGAACAGGTCTGGGGACATCGCCGTCACCTGGAGAGGATCCATCAAATTGTGCAGGTGTTTCAGGAAGTGTTTGGAGCCAGTTCAGTGCCGGAGCGCATCCGACCGATCTACGCCTGGTGGTCAATCTTCCCAAAGCAGTATAACAACACATTGTCCTGGGCAGAGGCGACCTATGGAGATGTGAACAAGTACCTGTGGGGCATAGCCGGAACACATTATTACTCCGACACCGAAGCAGCCCGTGAAGGTGCGAGCGTGTCCGATGTGATACAGGCCCTCAAAGACGACAGTGATAAAAATGTCAACCGCACTAAAGCGCTGGCGGCCATCAAGGAACACTTCAAGCTGAAGCTCTGCTCGTACGAGGCAGGAACAGGAACACACGTTGGTAACCGGACCAACATTGGCAATCGCATATTGGCGCAGCGTGACCCGCGCATAACGCAAGTCATAATCCATGATGTACGTGACAACTACTGGCCATTGGGCGGTGACTCCTACAATTACTTCACACTGAATGGTGAGGCTAGCCGATATGGTTGCTTCTTCTTGCTGGAGGACTTGTTCGAACCTCTTGACACCTACAAAATGAAGGCGATTTGGGAATTGACTGGGTACAAGCCGTAATGACGACTTTAAAGTCCATCCCAGCAGCTGTGTCATTCAATGTTCATCAAGTAACCTAGTTGCATTGATATGTGCAGAACAGTTATGCATGGTCTATTGTAATCGCCCTACACATACCTGCTTGCTGGACCCTGGCTACTGCGGTCTACTTCGAAGTACATCATGTAAGACAGCCAGAGGGCTACCATTAATTACTCTATCCTCCGCAAACCGTTGGTGTTTTGCAGAGACATAATTATGCTATAGCTGAAGCTGAATCCGGTAATGTGACCTACTGTAGGTCTAGCTTGCAGTCTAGTACCCATATACGACACGCAGCACATGACTCCGAATGTAGGTATATTAACTATTAGATAATGCGATGCTATTCAATTTTAATAACGGCAATCAATAAGACAAGCTGAATCGTCATTTGTGTGTACTTTATTCATGCAATGTAAAACGGTGGAGACAATATGCAACAAAACGATGAAGGTGGGAAGAAATAGTGTAGAGAAAAATTAGGAGTCAAACAAGTTTTCGTACAACACTTATCAGGAATCATCCTTGTACTAAGGGACACTGAAACAAAATTGAACTATCATAGAAAACCTAAATTAGAGAAATAGCACCAAGAACAACAGCAGTGAAATTTACAAGTGTGAATTTTAACAATGAAAGCGTGAGCAATCACGAATGCGTGTGCTAACAATTAACTTGAACTCGGATGGTGAGCCAATTTAATTATGATAAAAAAGGAGAAGGGCAAAATGTTACGAGTTATGACCAACTGTCCACCAACGTAACCAGATCTTACAGTCAGCGAGTGCGACAAAATGGCACAAAACTGACAAGGAGTACTGAGACATCCGGCGAACTGACACCTTGCTCCAACACTTCTCCAAGGCGCAAGCCAACAACCTTCCAACTTGGAAGGCTCAGGTTCAGAAAGGTCCAAGAGGGAAAGGAAAGCGCAACGAAGTCAAGAAGAGCACGAGCTACGCCCCACGGCAACAAAGAATGCCCAAAGTTACTGAATGAGCCTTCCAAGTTGGAAGGTTGTTGGTTTGCGCCTTGGAGAAGTGTTGGAGCTAGGTGTCAGGTCGCCGAATGTCTCAGCACTCCTTGTCAGTTTTGTGCCATTTTGTCGCACTCGCTGACTGTATAAGATCTGGTTACATTGGTGGCCAGTTGGTCATAACTCGTAACATTTTGTCCTTCTCCTTTTTATCATAATTAAATTGGTTCACCATCCGAGTTCAACTTTGCACACCTGATGAGCCATCATGACCTATACGTCGAAACGTACGTCGTGTGGAACTACTTGTTCATGATTGTACATAACTAGTCCATCTTAAGTTATTAACATGATAGTGGAGTTCAGTGGGATGTTGACGTTTCGGTTTGTCACAATTCGTCTTCGCTTAGTAGCTTCCCCTTTCTGTGTTTATTACATACACTTGAGCCTCCTAAGTTAGTTGGGTGGTCTGTTGCTTTGCATCGTCGAGTTGTAGTAAGGTATGTCCAATAGTCTCACTAGTTCCGTCATCATCCAGTAACTTTCAGCACTCTTTGTTGCCATGGGGCGTAGCTCATGCTCTACTTCGTTGCGCTTTCTCTTGGACCTTTCCGAACCTGAGCCTTCCAAGTTGGAAGGTTGTTGGTTTGCGCCTTGGAGAAGTGTTGGAGCTAGGTGTCAGGTCGCCGAATATCTCGGTACTCCTGGTCAGTTTTTTGCCATTTTGTCGCACTCGCTGACTGTATAAGATCTGGTTACATTGGTGGACAGTTTGTCATAACTGTTAACGACGTAACATTTTGCCCTTCTCCTTTTTTAACAATTAACTTGCAAATGAAAACTGAAAAAAACAAGAGAAAGAAAGAGCTTAAGAGGACAAAGTGATAAGTTGATAACGTATAACAGCAGCATATTTCACCTAGAACACTAACGGCCAAGCTTGGCCACACCAAACACGACACGTTACTTGAAACATTTCTACCTAAGTGTACTATTTTTCTGTACACACAAATAATTAGGCTTGTACAAACGCTGATAAATGGCTGCCAAAACCTTTATCTGTGGTCCATAACCATGACGACCACGGCACAGTACAGTGAAACAAGAGTCAACAATCAGGACTAGCTAGCAGATGATTGTACACTGAAGACTTTCTACTAGGTACAAAATCTACGCACAGAACCAACACTCTCACCGGCACTCCCACGACCACTCTCCTCATCGCTCCCCGACTCACTGCTTCCTTCGCCATCCGTTCCATCCTCCGATTCCTCTGTATTCTCTCTTATCTGTTTGGTCCATCCCGTTTGGCTTGTTGTGAGAGTGTAATATAGGGTACACAGTCACGGTGATAGTCAACCTCGGATTATAACAACAACTCGCCAATAACACACTTTTTTTACGAGAAACCACGAACCTCGAGAACAGAATACTGCATGATAGAGGTACTTTCTTCAGACCTTTCAACAAGTGGTTACTAGTACTTGGAAGATGCCTACCTGATTTCTAATACAGTCAGATAAATGTTTTATCTGGCTGTAATCCCGAGCCGGAGGACTCTGATTTGTATCTGGCTGCAAGTGTATTAGAAAATGTCATATGCCGCATGTATGCTATTGCATGATACATGTAGAACCTATCAAAGATCATGCATATTAATGGCGTCTCTTTGTTGATGACACGGCCCTTGTGTGCTCTGATAGCTCTCCCGATCAGCTTGTTTTTATGATGATGCAGACTGGGGTGAATTCCACAGTGACCTGGATGGAAACTTGTAAACTCAAGCCGAACCTAGCCAAAACGGAGGCTATGTTTGGCTCCCCTCCCCATCCCGCCAACCCTTGCATTTCCCTGGTGTCTATCGTTACACAGCATAAACATCTTGGTGTAATTCTTGATAGTCAGCTCTCCTGGTCGCCACAAGTTGACTATATCCGAAAGCGTACTAGCACTGCTCTAGGCATGAAGCAACCTCACCGTCGCCACTTGAATGACGGCTGCAAAATCCTATTTCACAAGGCATACATCCTACCAATCTTTGACTGCTGTGACACGTGGTGGTCTGGTTTATCAGTAGATCTAACCGAATCCTTGGAGGCACACCATCGACTGCTTCTGTAGATCCTGTTTGGCAAATACCGCATGTATCCCTCCCAATGTTTGTACAACCTTGCCCATGTCTGTCCCCTTTCAGTTCGACGCGAGCGTCATCTTTGTGTTCTCATCCACAAATTACGTCTTTGCAAGGTTCCGCAAACTCGCTTTACGACGCTTATCGTGTCAGAGGTTTTAGTCTGTGGAGGGGGGGGGGGGGCAATTTACTCCAAAGCATAGCCCGAGCACGTAAGGGATTTGAGGTAAAGAGATGATGAAGCACAGGGAAGGGAAATGACCGCACAAAATTATATTATAATGTGGGAAAATTGCCTTTTTCAATTGCCAACTGCCTCCCAACCCAAAGCCAAGGAGAATGTGAATGAACAACTCACAATCTAATTAGGACATCAGTATTACATTCCCCGAGAAAGAAATGGAAAGATTCGCACCTCGAACACTACAGTCCGAGTACCGTTTTGTTTGTTTGTTTGTTTGTTTGTTTGTTTGTAGTCCAACAGCCTCTTTTCCGGGCAAAATTAAAAAAGCAACACAATGATGATAATCAAGGGGGATACGCAGGAGTTGCAAAGGGGGATACGCGGCAGTTGCAAAGGGGGATACGCGGCAGTTGCAAAGGGGGATACGCGGCAGGAGTTGCAAAGAAAGTAAATGCAGCCTCAGCGTTTGCGAGGACAGCAGACTGGTCATTGACGCGGCGCATCCGCCGGGCACCGCGAAAGCAGGCAACACTGGCACGCAGGAGACCAAAACCAAGACGACAACGCAGCAACGCCATCACGGACACCATTGCGTATGGCTCTCCGGTTTTCTCTGCAGACAGAGCAGCAATTCGCTTGAGAAGAGCGGAAGCAGCTCGACCGGCTCCACCTGTGGCTGAGAATACGACTGGTACGAAGGAGGCTCGCTCAACTTCTTGCACGCTCTGACCATACCTGCGACGCTTCTCGCGCTCATGGCTCTGGTAGCGAGCAGCGAGAGAAGAGGAACGGTTCGAAGGAGCGAATGGGTTAAACACCCGTATATCAAGATAAACGCGTTCAAACCGTCCTCCCCACACGCCACTCACCGCCACATCCAGACGGGCCTGATCCTCGATGGACGCCATCCGGTAGCGGAAAAGCTCGCCGGTGAGGGGTTGGAGACGAGGCTCTACTTCTACGCTGTGTGCCACCTTCTTCAGTTGGCCGGCGATGATGTCCAGTACCTTATTGTGGCGAAGCGTCGGGAAACCACCGGTGGGGCAAGAGAGAGCATGCTCAACAGAGAAGGTGGCACCACAGACACAAGTAGAAGGGAGCCGTGCCAGGTGCCAGCCATACCGCAATGCCAGACCATCGCGAAATTCACACTTCGACAAGCTGAACCCATGCCGACTGAGGGGGCGACAAGTGAGCCAGCTGGACGCACCCGCCTCACTGCCAAGGTTGATGGAGTGCTGGAGCTGGAGGGCAGAGGAGGCTCGGGCGGTGCATTGCCGAAGGGCTTCCGTGGCAGCTGCCTTCATATCCTTGCGATTAGAGGCATTCAGGCTGGCGACCTCTGCCAAAGAGTCTCCCAGGTTGAAACTCTGGGTGAGGATGTTGGCAACCATAGGAGCAGTGATGGCACGCGAGGATTGGTACTGGGCCGACAGAGAGGTAGGATCCAATATCCCTAGACCACCATTCCGGCAGGGGAAGGAGAAAAGGTGCGGAGCTCATAGCTCATTTCCTGGCCAGTGAGAGCTGGGAGGAGCTTCGTGGCAATGACCCGCTCCAGTGAAGCAAGGCCAGCCGTCATTGTAACCGGCTACTGCGGGTCGAGGAAAAGAATGATCTTTATTCGTACTGCACAGGGTTATATATGATGTAAAGGTGTCAACTAGATAGGCGGGATGGTAGGTGATAGGCCGAAGGGCCGTGGATAGAGGGGATAGGAGTGTGAACAGCAGGTAACACTGTTACACCATCCCACTCCCCTAAAGGAAGCATAGGGTTCTACGAGCAACTCAAGTAGGTAAATCTGCATGTGGATAAGCGGAATAAGTCCAGAACCCAACAGTCAAATCGCGAGGAAAATTACACAGAATGCAGTGCAATGGAATTCCAGAAGTTAACTCAGCTGCAATATCAGTGAAGATTCCTTGTATTTAAATAACGTCTTAAAAACACAATGTCTCTGCCAGACTCATCGCGCAAATTAGTTGCGGGTTCCCATGTAGCTTCGTCGACAGGATAGCCCTGCCAATGGACCAGGTACTCTCGCTGTCCCCTACGTTCTCGGTGATCCAGAATTTCTTCGACCATGAACCGTGTGTTTCCATCGAGGTCAG